CATAGGATCCATGTATGGTATATATGCTAACATTGGGGGTATATTGATGGTAAATGTTACCATATATAGCATACATGGATCCTATGGGATATATTGAAGCACCAAGCGGTCACCAACCAAATCAGATTCCCACCGTGATCAACACGATTTTTGCCAAGGAGCTGAAGGGTTCTAGGTCTGGCCCTTGCCACCGGACTGCAATCAGGCACCACTGGTCGGACCTGCACGGTCATCTGGGATCACCATTGGCAGGCAACCGAGGTTGAAACATCAAACCATTACTGGTTGGTGGTGCAATAACCATCTTGAAAAATATGACTTCGTCAATGGGAAGGATGACATCCCATCTATGAAATGGAAAATCAAATTCATGTTTGAAACCAGCAAGCAGATTATTTTTTGGAGTCAAACCACTTAACTTTCACAATCTTTGGACTGGGATGTTGGCGACTGACACTTAGAAGTCGCTTGGATTCTCGACAAGCTGGGATGCCCTATGCTTCTATACTCAGGATCGAAAAAGAGAGGGAAAAACATATATATATATATTTATATATATACTACATGTGATTGATTATCATTTATTATCATTCATTATCATAAATCATCTGTTGGTGGCTTACACACCATTTTTTAGTGGTAATGACCATGTTCATTGGTTACAAGTTCCAGATTTTTGTTGGTGATCTACCCACTTGGCTTTCGGACGATTCGAGGTGCTGAACTTTCATCTACCTGGCCGACTGTGAAAGGAAACAGCAACAAACGTGGGTCTGTCATGGGGCAAACTTATGTTCAAAAACTACTGTTCATTCTGGTAGATCTACCTGTCATGGTAGAAACTTATGTTTTAAACATATTCAATGGAAGATCTACCTGAAAAAGTGATTTTGGCTGCTTCAGCCATGTTTTGCTTACCAGAATTGGATCTCACCCATCTTTCAAGGTTCTGAGGGCATTTCGATCGCATTTCTTCAACCGTTTCAAGTGATGTTGATCCCTCTCAAAAATGGGAACATCCCGTCTTCCAGGACAAACCAACAACTGTCACCCCAACTTGGGCATCAATTCATGAAATTTTGCTGGGAATAATCATTCACAAAGCCGAAGTGAGGTCAATTTGTTGGGGGTTCTTCCGATGAATCCATCAAAAAATACTATCATTTTTTGAACCCATATTCATGAATAGAAGCAATGCGTTCCACCAGGATTTCGTTTTGGGGCCATTTTCATATCTAACTAACGGTACGCCCAATGCCATAGGCCCTTAATTTGAGTATTGAGTATGTTGCAAATCCCACCCATGTCTTGTCAAATTGGGGATGATGATTTGTTGTGTTTGGAACATGAACCATAACAATTCTGTATATTCATTCATATCCCCTTTTGATGGTAACGTCATGTAAGATCCCATTCCATGTCCAGTAATCATGGTGGTCACCATTGAACTTACCACATTATCCCCATATGTTGTTGTTAAAACCATGTAAAACCCATTTTGTAAACGGTTAAGCAATGTTAAGCAGTTAAGTCTCCCATTGTCAGCTGAACAAATCTTATATAAACCCATCTTTTTGTTGGTTACCCTCTGGTAAAGTAACATAGACCCTGGCAGATAGGGGTTGGAAGACTACTTTCCATTAAAAATTGGTGATTTTCAGGGTCTATGTTTATTTACCAGAGGGTAACCCATAGAAAGTTCCCTGTGTCACAAAAAAACACCCAGCTACTGACATCGGGGCGCCTCAGCTGCGACTCCGGGGAAGCTGCTACTGGTGAAGACGCTCTGCACGCCGACGATGGGAGGCAACCTCAGGGCACGGCTACAGTGCCTGAAATTCGAAAGAGAAATTATAAGTTATCAGTCACTTATAACCACATGTATCTATATATATATATTTATATAAATACACATAACTCAAAACCATTTAGAACTGGTAAAGGGCTGAAAAACTGAAGCGAAATCTTGGGGATCGTTTTTTTTTTCTGGTAAAGCTGCCATAAACTAAACAACTACCATTTGGAGATGATATGAAAAACACCCAATGGTAATATCGGGTATTGTTATTGGGTTTACCATGGTTTACCACCTTATACATATCCGTATAAGTAAGCTTGTTCAGTGTCTATTCTTTACTGGTCATCCATCATCATCCATCCCATGCGGTGGGAATCCAAACATTATGGGATATCGGATATGATATTATGAGTATCCTTTAACCCAACTATTAAGGTCATATTATGGGAATATTATGGGATATTATAGTATTGGATCTTAGGGTCATATTATATGAATTCCTTTAACCCAACTTTTGACCATAGCACGTATGAGCCCGCCAAACGAATAGATTCAATACTGAACCAAGAAGTCTAACAAGGTCTTCAACATATAGGGGAAGCGATTAGCAACATGTACCAACATCTGATGTGGAGCTGTGAAATAAAACTTGATGAACGTGGAGCTTACGTAGCAACGGTACCAGCAGTTGCCACAGTTGCAACGGGGGAGAATCCATGCTGGACCAGTGATTCCTCAGTGTTTTAGTATCAAACTTCAAGGCTTTGTTTTCGCCAAATTCATCACCATACTCCATGTGACCGTTTCCATAAATATCATAAATGGATATAAATGGGGGTACCCTCATAGCATCTCATAGCTGGATGGTTTACATTGGAAATATCATCTGAGCCATGTTCTAAATGTCTTACATCCTGGCACCAAATAAGGAAATGCTTACGCCATTGCTTACGTTTTGCTTATGCGCGCACAGGTTTTGCTTACGCGCGATTATCTTGTCTTACGCGGAGCTTACGCTGGCTTGGACGCACCACAGTTTTGCTTACGCCACACCCTTACAAGGGCCCCTTGCTTGACATGAACACAAGGGTTTAGAACGTGGCTCATCTAGAAATGGATGAGATCTGGGGGTACCCCAATGACTCAGGAAACATCCATGTCTATCTAATCTGATTATATCAGCTGATTGAGGTCAGCATCATGTCCCCATTGAGCCTCCCAACGGCCCCTTCTCCAAACTCTGGGCTCGCTTCCGTTGCTCGGGTGATAGGGTCCACATGAGGATGCGATACTCGACTTCTTGCATTCGCCCTGGCTGCGACTTGAACAAATTGTCAGGTTTTAATTTTGTTGAGACAATCTGCAGGAAACTCAGGAAAACCAGCGTCTGTCCCATCAAAGATGCAGGTGTCCTGTAAATTCCCTTTCACCCTGGGCGAAACTACAGTATCTCGATTCGCAAGTGCGCGATCGACGGCCCTCATCGCCTTCGAAGCGTGGCCAGCGTAAACGCAGCCTTGCAGGTGTGCAAAAAGGCAGCTGACAGGTACCAAGCACAAACCAAGGCCTTCTCCCACAGGTTCCCTAATCTGGGTTCTGTATTGTTTTGCCACCACAAGCGGTATCGATGGACCCCAAAATTGTTTAAACAAAACATGTGTATTCATTTTTTGTGTCAAATCATCCAATACATCCAATGTTTGTTTCACGATTTCGCGTCTTACATCAATGATCATCAATAAATATCATATACCCTCTGGTAATTTAACATAGCTATTGAAAATGACCATAGAAATAGTGGATTTTCCCATTGAAACTGGTGATTTTCTATAGTTATGTTAGTTTACCAGAGGGTATTTTCGAAAGTTCCGTCCAGTCTCACCATCCCATCATCCAAGTCCCTTTCAGCGAACGCCTGAAATCTGGACCTTTGAGGCCTTCAACGATGGACTGGATGGTCTCATCCCCGTCTTTCACAAAGAGCACCTGGTGCCAGTAAACTGCCGAAAAATCCGAAAAACATGCCGAAAAACTGATGAAAAAGGCCATTTTATGATCTTCATGTTTGTTTCTTGGGAGTTTCAGGATCTCACCTCTTGGCCACCCATTGGCAGTTCCTTATGTTCCTTGGACAAATGATGACAAATGTATCTATACATATCTACACCCAATCTCCAAAGCCGTTAAATCCTGTTCACCCATCGGCTGCCTCCACTGTGGGTGGTGGTATCGGCGCCAAAGTCTCCTAACTGACGTATCAATTGGGAAGGCGCCGCATTTTTGGGGGTATCAAAGGAGCTACAAAATTAGGGTCTTGCTTGATATTTACTTTTTGACAACCAAACATGGCAATTGAATATCCCATATTTAAATGGGTTTTGAATGGGAAAAACATCTCTAAATGGGGGGTAGTTTCCATTGCGTTTTTGACTAAGCAGTCACCCCTAAAATTAGCCCAAACAATGTGTAAATCATAGCCACATCATTATATAGATTCGTCGATCAAACGGCTTCTGACCAGCAAACACGTTACTTTCATCATCTTCAATCAACAAGACTGGGGATAGATAGATAGATATAGATAGATATAGATAGATATAGATAGATATAGATAGATATAGATAGATATAGATAGATATAGATAGATATAGATAGATATAGATAGATATAGATAGATATAGATAGATAGAGATAGATAGAGATAGATAGAGATAGATAGAGATAGATAGAGATAGATAGATTTAGATAAAGATAGATAGAGATAGATAGAGATATATAGATAGAGATAGATAGAGATAGATAGAGATAGATAGAGAGAGAGATAGATAGATAGATAGATAGATAGATAGATAGATAGATAGATAGATAGATAGATAGAGATAGAGATAGAGATAGAGATAGAGATAGAGATAGATCGATCGATGGATCGATCAATATATAGATAAATAGATAGATAGATGGAGAGATATAGACAGATAGATCGATGGATCGATCGATCGATACATAGATAGATCGATAGATAAATAGATAGATACATAGATTCAGTTTTGGCATATTGCAACTAAATGTAGCGGAGCAGCCGACAAAGTCTCCAGAAAGTAACAATCCCTTTCAGAAGAACAGCACTCAGCGCTATTGGAGAAGGTTGATGCAAACTTGCTTTTCCCGCAATCCGGACATTCCATTTTGGATCCTTTTGAATAAATCCGACAACATCTGTTTGTCCGTGCCCCGCAATTTACCCGTTGATCTTCATTGTTCCTGCAAAACAATGGCTAGGGCTTATACAGTTTTAATCAGTTAAAATCCGTTATAATCAGTTAAAATCCGTTATAATCAGTTATAATCAGTTGTAATCAGTAATAATAAGTTATAATCAGTAAACATCCGATATAATCGGTTATAATCAAGTTATACATATATATCCCATTTTCAGACACAGCAATCTATTATAGCAACTTGGTCAAGTACCCATGATATCACCACCGATTTTTCCTGCTGCGGGGCCTGATATGGCACTGGCGGCTTGGGTGGAGGAATCACCACCTCAACAATTTATCTGCTGCGGAAAACCACACAAACACACATGATTCTTTCTAAAAAGGTTCTTAAAAAAAAAGAAAAACATAAATCATCATAAATCATCATTCTCATGAATTGTGTTCATAATATGTGTTTGTCATTTTCATACATCACCTACACATGACTGCAGACCATGATGCCATGTTCCAAATAGATACTGAGAAATTGCCATTGAAACTTGTACACTTGTATTGGTAAACCCCGGCTATTTACAAAATCATTTGGCAAGTTGCAAGCTTGAATCGAGGTAATGACTGGAAAGAGCATCACGATATGGCCAAGGCGCGTTTTGACGCTGTAGGATGTGTTCAACCCTGAAACAATTATAAGACAGGGCATTTCAATGCCTTTGGTATTTTTTATGGCTAATTAGAGCGCCTAAAAAGGCGGGAACGTAGCGGTAATATGTAAAAGCAGCTAGAACTTTTGCTCAAGTCACCATCCCTACGAAATGGGGGATATACCCAAGCTCCATGGCACATGGCAATATTTTCCCCTCTATCTGGGGAGCTCATTCCCCCATGTTGGTGGAGCAAAGCCAGATCAACCAAACTATCAAACAACCCGCTCTTCATTGACCAATTGACCAATTTCTTGGATGCTGAAATACCAATTCTAAGTTGCCTCAAGTTCCCAGCAAACCCCACCCCCCTTGCTTCGAAACACCTGCATTGGAGGTGAGTACTCCGTCCAGCAGGACCAGCGCTGACCGTCAGAGACGCGCAGCCGGAAGGTGTACACCGTGCCGTGGATCAGCCTGGAAAATCTGTGGTGGAAGTGGTGGGATTAGTCCAATATAGATGCTGTCTCATACTTAGCAAACTTGGTGAACCTAACAATATGAATTTAAAAGTGTTTTTTGTTTTTACATGTTTTTACCAACTTAAAAATTACAGTCTTCGAGCAATCCCCACCCTGAAACACTATTCTGACATAGTTTCTGACATACCACCTGGAAGCATATATGGAATTATTCGGGCATTCTTTCTGGCATACACTTTGACATTCTATCTGGCATTCTATCTGGCATCTGTTCTGACGTGCTTTCTGGCATATATTCTGACATTCTTTCTGGCATTCTATCTGACATTCTCTATGGCGCCTGGCTGAGGTCCGACAGTGCCCAATGACATCTGGATCTAGCTGTTGAGGGAACTAGGGGGAAAACAAAAGCAACTAATTATATTATATACCCTCTGGTCAACTAACATAGCAATGGAAAATCACCATTTTTAATAGGTAAACCATCTATAAATGGGCTATTTTCCATGCTTATGTTAAATAGCCAGAGGGTGTATATATATATAGACATATTTGGAAAATGACCATCAATTTTGCGGGATTGACCCAACGCCATAAACGTCCTTTCTGGTGAAATTGGGATTGATTCAATGATGGCTACGTTGGGCTTACATGGGCCTACCAATTCTTCATTGTCCTGATGCGGTCATGAACAGCCTCTGGAACATGTCAGAAAACTCACAGACACACACATATCATATGTGATATTTTTTTTTTGTCTAGGTGCCCTTTGATCACATGATCTGACCAGTGCCACACTTTCTTGATGGCATCATAGATCTTTTATCTTTTCTACTGTTCTTGCAACAGGTTCAAATGTACTCTGAAATCATCTAGATCGACAAGCTGGCTACATCCGCATCATGACTCGTCACAGCATACTTGGATGTTCCCTACACTTAGTTAAGTGCTTGGCAGATCTTAGTAGCAATTCGTAGGAATACACTTCTGTTGCCAACCATTTGAGGCTACCCTGAAGGGGAACCTCCAAGTAAGCACCCCACATCCCGGCAACCGTCTCAACTTTTCATTGGCCAAGTGACTCTTCTCCATCTACATTGAGCTCCTAAGGAGAACATGGAGCAATGGCTGGCTATCACAAACGGAAAAGAATCAGGTTTTGCATATCAATTACACACGTCTAAAATAACAGCTGTCCTTTTTCTTAGGACACTTCTCCATGACTCATTGACGAAGTTCTGGACCGTGAATCATCATCCTCCATGCTACAAAGCCCAATGCTGAGAGCTAGACCTGCATAGTAATTAATGGTAGACCTCCTACTCAACATCAGATAAACAACAATTACCCAACAGTTATCCATAGTAATTGGTATAATATCCATCCGTAGTAACTGCTTGATACGCTTACCAATTACCAACATTTCGCCGAAACATCTCCCATCACCAAGCCGTGCTTGGTCCGGGAATGTTGGGATAATCCAGCCACTAGCCTCTTGCAATCCACCGTTGATATCGTTTTTCCAGCAATCACATAGATCATTTATGATCATTTGCAGTCATTTAAGATCATTTTTCCAACATATTAGAAGCTCCGAATTTCGTTTGGACATGCCCCTAGCCACGTTTGACACCCGAGGGCTTTTTTCCAGCCGCCCAGCAGTCCTTGCAGCAGAAAACGTCCCGGCAGCTGCAAGGGGTTTTGGCCTGTGGCTTGGAGATAGATTTGTTGAAATTGAGCAAGACCTGGCCAAAAAAAAATCTGGTAATGGTACCTCCAAATAAATTGGTACCTGAAATATGGCCATTGGGTATTCTACCACATATGGTAGCCTCACAAGAAACCACCATCTGAGTGGTTTTTGGGCCACAGCCTATATCTGGTTGGTGGTATACCTACCCCTCTCAAAAATATGAAAGTCAGTTGGGATGATTCTTCCCAATATATGGAAAAATAAAAAATGTTCCAAACCATCAACCAGTATATAATTCGAGTTGGGCAATTGGCAATTCATGTTTCACCCTCTTCAACCCACAGGTCGTCCAGATTCTGAGCCATCTGTGTGCGCCTCGGTCCAATGAGTTTCATTTATATCATCCTCATGTCCGAAGCAAAGGTGCTAACATAACACCCACTATAGACACCGATCATGACCAACTGCTGGCAAACTATATCAAGCAGTTGGTTATGTCATATTATATTCCCTATGGCCCTATGGCTACTCTATGGTTAATTGTTGATCCCTAACTATTGGGTGTATATTCCCTCAACTGCTGGTTGAAGAGATCCCTTGTAGATCCCGGTGCGTCGCCCTTCCACACGGCCTGTCTGATGGCTTCCCACGGGTTTGCCTCTTCACGAATCCTCGGAGGCCAAGAAACTGGGCCGTTGAACGATGGCCACGTCATGTGCCAAATCAAAATCTTGTACCCTCCAAAACATAGCGGGCTTCAACATTTTCCCTGCAACCAAGTCTCGGAATGTATTTTCAACACTAAGCAAGGACATTGAACATTATTTCACCAGCAAGGACGGGTGTATCAGCACTCAACAAACGTGAACGAGATAGAGGGCTTTGCACAGCCCCATCATCTTCGCAGTCGTAGGACAAACGTATCGACGTATCTGAAATACTCAGAATGCCAAACAGAGCCCCTAATTGCAGCATGGCCAAAACCTAGAGTCTCTTAGAGTACATTCAATATGCGTGCAAGATACATCTAAAATCCAATGTTTGTTGTGTATTACTTGCTCAGTGAATACTCCCACATCAATAATAGAAAAACACCAGTCATAATCAAGACTAATTCTACAATCTATAACCGATAGTCAATACTTCCACATCATTAAAATACTTCTTGTTCTCGTCAAACTTTTCACCCAGCCGTACGCCCAAGAGTCTGTTGTTCGAGTTGCGCCCAATGTGGGGCTCTCAACCTCTGCAGCGCAGCATCCAGCGGCTTCAACACTACACCGTATAGCCACTGCAAAAAGCGGTGATGGTATGCCCCATGTCTCCTGATTCTTCAGCTGTTGAATTCCCATGGATTGCAATTTATGCAACAAATGCCAAATCTATTAAATCTATTCAATTCTATTCACATCTCACACTTCTTGGCAATCTTCCATAATCTTCTCATGCACATCACGTCAAATCTACCGACTGGACTCCAAGAAACGCCGCAGTGTCGAGGGGATTTGCGTGTCCAATCTCATCGATGGCGACCTCAGCGTAATGCATGGAGATTTGACGACACCATGGAGGTTTAGCCGCTCGGGATTTCCAACTCATCCCATGGCGTCGAGACGAACTGTTGGGGTAGTAGGGACTAGTCGTTGACCAAAAAAATACAAGAAACATGTCCCTAAGCCATGAGGTACTGATAGGTATACCCAAGTCAAAGCATCACCTGGCCATGGCCATTCGGTCGAGGGGCTGCTGAGAGCTTCAAGACTTCTTTCACCTGACCCCGCTGAAGACGAAAAACAGGAGCCTAGTGCATATATGTTCTACCTGTGTATATTATGGTAGATAAAGGATGAGACATGTATAATCTTTACACATGCTACATGCATGACGTGTTTTGCATGGGTACAACAATGTAGTATGCAGTATGCACTTTTTTTGTGCAACTTTTACAGAATACATCAATTTGCCAGATCTACACCAGGTAGAGCTTCCGAAAGTGTGGAAGCTCTTGGCCCCCATACTTTCGGCCAAAAGTTCAGAGACCCCCAAGCCAGCAATTCTCGAGTCATCTTTCATGTTGATTGTTTAATTCCTGGAGTCATGGTCAATCTTTAGTAGTCCACCAAACAATCCTCATTTTCTACTGCTTATTTTCCTTAGTAAAAACCTCAAGGATTCAACAATCCACGGTTGGGGATGGAGTACATCTCAAGTTTCCTAAGTGCTGGCTACTGAGACATCAGTCATTTTGCTGCTAATCTGATGTGATGTCTTTGCTTTCTGCCATCTGTATCCATCTGTCTGGACCAATCTCGACCCCATCCCCGCCTCTGCAATCCAAGCTTTGCCAAGCGGACCCAAGACAGTGCTGCTGTCTGCCTGTCGATTTGAATAGCCGGGTTTTAAATTTAGGGATGCATAAATTATCATAAATTCATAAATGGGCATGGGCGATCAAATTTAGATGCGGGGAACCTCCAGGTTTGAACAGATTGAGGGGGGGAAGTCACGCGCAAAATTAATTTTTGAGCCCTGATCGCGAGCCATACCCAGGATGGTCCCCATGATATGATTTCATATTTTTCTGCATTCCATAACATGTATATATATATATATACGTATATTATATATATATGTATATATATATATATGTATATACATATATGTATATATAAATATATATGTGTATATATGTATATATATATATAAGTATATATATATGTATATATATATAATTATGTATATATATATATATATAATCGTCGTGACGTAGATAGAATATTGGATCTTCAGAAATATTCCCATTTTACTGACACTATATTCTATCTACTCCAGGATGACTTCTTGAACATACTACTGGATTACTGGATCTACCAGTTCTGTTTGGGGTCACTGAGACTCACTGGGAGGCCTTCCGTTGCAAGGGTTGGAAGCAATGCCGGCCTTGGCGTTGATCTGACACGAGAGGTTGGGAGAATGATGGAACAGTTTCTAGATCCTCTAAACCCAAACCTTACCCAAACGACATATACCCTCTGATAATAACTAACATAGCTATTGAACATAGCCCCATTGAAATATTTGATTTACCCATTAAAGATGGTGATTTTCCATAGCTATATGTTAGTTTAGCAGAGGGTAAACACGCCACCAGTTGGGTCTTGGGAGTCACAGCTAGAAACCTCCAGTCATAGGGGATTTCCCAGACAGCCATGAATCATGTTTGATTCCCGGGAGGTAGTCACAACTTCAGCTCGACAAGCCATCCTTTTCAGGTTTTCAGGCAAGGAACACCTTCTGAAATCAATCCGATTCAGAAATGAGACATTCTGGAAAGATGTAAATGGGCATGGTTTCAAGACTGCTGTGCAGTTTAAGGACCAGATAGGACCACAAATCAGCGGGTGCAAACATCCCCCGGCCATGACCTGCGGGTCATCCCAATGATATCCCCAGGTCACACCGGTCCCAACCCGATTTCGGCAAGCGACAGTAGTATGGCGACTCATCTCGCAGGATGCCTCCCTGGCAACGCATGGACTCTTTTAAACAGCAAATCATGAGGTACTCCCTTCGTCAAAATACCCCCATGGAAAACATAACTTAGTCTTGTACCATATTGGACCAATTCATTTTTGGGGTTCATATAATCTATGGGTTATTTTGGACCAATTCATTTTTTGGGTTATAATATATGGTTCATATAATGAATTGTACCATATATTTGATATTAGGGCCTAGGGACAAGGGATCTCCAGGCACTAAGTATCGTTGGTAGCCACACCACTGAGTGGGACTCTCCGGCGTACGCCGGGCGCACCCCAAGACGTCCTGGACATTTGGCAACATTCTACGTATAGACGATCCAAGTGCCGATCAAAATGGGTATATAAACGTCGCACAATTATGGGTATATTATATATATATTATATTATACCCCACTCATGATGTCGTGGTCAATTTCAGCATGAAAACCAGGTTGAGCCAGGGTCCCAAGACATCAGGGACAAAATCCAACCGCCATGACGAGTACCCAAATCGTCACTCTAAAGATAGAATGGCGTTATCCAATGACATCACAAGCATTACGGGATTACCAATGGCTTGCCAATGAGCTTGTCCATTCTACCGAGGACCTATATAAATCCTGGCATTAAATCTCAGTGCGAACTTTGTCTCCTTTGGGGGTATATATATATATCCAATTTTCGGATCACAATTCCATACAAATCCATACAAATCCATACAAATCCGTATGTGTTATTGCTTACTCTCTGGTAGTCAAACAAGGCTAGCTAGACAATGCCCAAACCAAATGGAGGGAACGTCATCGAATTAAATGGTGGATTTTCCAGCAAAACACGTTTGATGACCCAATTGTCAGTCATATCATATATATATAATGGTACTAGATATTGCAATAGACTACCCTCCAGTATATTGACATAGACTCTAGAGATTTTTCACACCATCCCAAGCTCCCGGGTTCGCGGCCTGTTTCTTGAAGCGAGCTGCGGCTTCTTCCATCAGACCTTCAAAGTCCTGGAGACCGACAAATCAACCGGTTTCTGTAGAAATTTACGCCAAATAATCATTAGAGCAGTAATAGATATTATATGATAATAGCAAAGAAGAGAATCCAATAGAATCTAATAGACTTAGATAGAATTAGACATATGTATGTATGCATATATATATATATATACATATATATATAATGATGAATGGCTTTTTACATCTATTTACATCTATTTACATCTTTTTACAACTTTTTACATCTATTTACATCTATTTACATCTATTTGCATCTATTTACATCTTTATAGATCTTTATGGTAGATAGAGAAATACAAAATCATTGGCCATATTACAGTGGATCAAATTATTATGTATACATTGATATCTGGATAAATTGGAATAATTCACTCTATAACATGAAGGAAGGATAAATAAGGCTGTTTTGGGAGTTACCCCAATCCTAACCATCAGTCTAGTGACGTCGCAGTGAGGTCGATATAGGTTATCCAAATATATACTTGACCCTCCAAGTACCTATATAGAATAATGAAGCAATGTAGAGTAATATGCCCATTATCTTGGGACTTTCACCAATTGTTATGGATTCAATTGCCAAGTCACCAGTCTCTGTATGTGTGGTATATTGTAGTATATTGTGGTATAGATGGCAGTGGCGATGGCAATGGCAATGGCAATGCAACTTATGTATGCATATAAAGTCATGTAATCATATCTAGATGCCTTTGCAGCAGAGCCCGGCGGAGCGGCAATGTGTTCAGACACCAGCCAATAATAGAAGTGGGCCTGTATCATTTCGAGTGTGTTTGTTCATGCCTTGTTGATACACAGACCTGACTTGCTTGTTTCCAGGCCTTGGAGCTGCACAGGGCCGTGGTCGGAAGCTCTTCCAAGCACATCTGTGGCAAAACACTTTGGCTCGCCAGCCTAGGACGTAGCCAAGAACCCCATTGGTCACCCATTTTCCCATGAACTCTATTTTGCAGATGGACTTCTCAGCCATTTTTTGACAGTCAACATAAATCATGCCAATCATGCCATTTTCCGTTGTTTCATGGCTGAAATCCTGGTTTTTCATGGTGAAATCCCACTTTTTCATAGGTAAATCCCATGAGATTCCCATGACTTGGCCCGGTGAAGTCCCCCTGGGAGCCCTTACTCCACACAGTCTTGATGCAGTGCGTGCCGTCGCAGGCCGATCCTCAGGAATATGGAAACCAAGGCTTCAAAGGTACAATGTATATCTATATATATATATAATATAATATATATAATAATATAACAATAATTAAAAAAATAATAATGATAGATATATATATATATATGTAATGCTGTACAAACCAAGAAACATCAGAAAGTCCCAATTTTTGGGATCCTCTGATGCAGTGACAGCCAACGTCACTGCTGAACTGCTCACATGGTGTTTTCTCTTCTTTTCTTGGCTCTATAGAAGTTTCTTTGGTGGCTCAATGGTTACCGACATTTTTGGTGAGGTCGTTGCAGGGTCTCCATAGTTACCCAAATAGCTAGCAATTGGCAGCGCATCAGCATTTTGACCAGCATCTTCTCACTTTGCTTTTGCCACCACAGCTCCCCAATCTGGGACTTGAGCAGTTGTCTTTACACTGTGGCAGGTCCAAAATAATTTTGGACAAAAGATGACAAAAGTTTGGGACGAAAGGTCGCGTGACATGCCTCAAAACTGCAGTTGACATGTTTTGATCATAAATTCAAGTATCATAACGCCCAAATATATAGATTGTTTTTTGAAAAGTGATTTATCGCTTATCTTAACCTTAGTGGGAATCCTAGGCGTTCTATCTTTTTGTGGGTTACTATATATAAGTTCTGTCAGCTTCTCCAAATCCAAATTTGAGACATCTCATGGAAAGACACTGCGGGCAACTGTGTGATGCCCATCAGGTGCTTGTGAATTTCTCAGATGTTAGCGTCCAACGCATGGAACACAAAATTGCACTTCGAAAACAGGCGAATTCGCCTTAAATTCGTCAAGCAGAGTGAAGCCATTCACTCAAATATCTCAAATTAAAAGTGATTTTGACTCATCTTTGGATTTCAGCCGACGCTCCTGCGTGTAGCCTGACGCATCAATGTGGATTCATCCCCTTCAAAACCACCGGGAGCACCATTCCACCCAAGTGACCGGTAACGCGAGTAAGTGAGTATTGATACAGTCCAAAATTCAAGATAACCTCTCAAATCTGCACACTATTAAAATCAGGCTGATGAATATATTCACCAACTACAGTTGAACAATATCCCCCTGAAGTTTGTTGGAAAAAAACATATCCTTTTGCTGTTTAAGTCCGATCTTGTTCCCGCCTCATGCTTCCCCAATCATTTTTGCCAATGTTCCTGCTTCCTTCAAAACCATTTCTTCTCATTCAATCACAGCTTATATAAATTCATCTATATATAATCAGTTCTTGTGATTTTCCAATCTTTCCTGGTTCAATTACACTTTTTACTGGCTAAATCCATCTTTTGAATGGTTAAAACGTGTTAAAACATAAAACCCAAAAAGTGTTGACTGGCTGAAACCCCCTTTTCGTGGTTCAATCCAGTCACCCCTCGCCCCTGTGGCGCCTTCCACCATGGGCCCCAGGGAGTCCAGCAGCTCACAGCGTCGCCGCAGCTGCGACAGCTGCGACAGGTGGAGCTGCGAGGTGCGAAAGTCCAGCGCATGCGGGGCCAAGGTCCAGGGGATGGTCAGAGAGGTGCCCTGTGGTGGCCATCGCCATGTGAATCACTGTGCTGGTCTGGGAATGCTGGGGTTACATGGGGTTACTTATATGTTACTTGGTAATTGACCTCTCGATTTTTGCGTTCATATTGTTAACACGGAGAGTTTACGTAAAGATCTTGCGATTTGTGAAGTGGACTTTCATATCAGAACTGAACCTAGGTCAGCAGTTGGGTGTACCTCATAGTAGATCATTTAATTTATGCGATGTTGTAGGTAGCAACTTACCATGCTTCTCTGACTCTGGGGATGTAACCAATGTGTATATACATTACCAAGCAGTTTGTTGGGATATCATAATCCCAGCGGTGTGGGAGTTTCGTGCCCACTGGAACGAGAGGGCACAAATCATTGACTGATTGGGGAACGGAGAACCCACCGGCTCATCATCATGTTCCCCATTAAAGTAGCCATCTTGCGTATCCCATTTTCAGACACGCCCGAATATCACGCAATTCACATGCAAACTGGAAATCTATTCGAACATTTCAGCGATCGAGAATTTCTGCCAACGCTGCAGAACCTCCTTGTGTGTTTCTAGCAAATAGATTCTGTCTACCATGACTTTCGCTGCTGAAACGTGGCTTGAAGAAGCAGAATTGGGCCACATCAAAAAAACTCTCATCATCTAACCATTGACCATCAGACCATCAAGCAGCTTGATGTTCACGGCCAAGCTTCATTTCTCGGCAAATTTGGATTGCCGCTCTTTGCGAAATTTGTCCAGTACGTTGCAACCGTTTCAGCTAGTGGCCACTCGTCCTTTGCAGCAATGCTTGCGGAGAGTTTGGGGAATCACGGCATCATTTGAAATGATTTATCAGACAAGAATCTATGTATATATATATATAAATACATAATTGTATGTGTATTTAATATACTGTACTTCCTTTCTTCATAGTTGGGAGCGGTGAATTGAATCAATTGAGCCATATTATATTTTCCATCAAAGATTAATAAAGAATAGGCCGTATGACAAAGAATCTGTCAATATCTTTGATATTCCGGTTGTTCTAGCAAGATTTCCCGATTGATTCATCTCTTGAAAGTCTTGGTTGTTTAGAATACTTCATGCTTCAATCCAAAGGAAATCATGTAAGCATCGTTTTTTGATGTTTTGAGCACAAAAAATTGGAGTTTCCTGCATTTTCCACCATCCAATTCTGAGAGTACTCTACATACTCAAAGATGTATGGAAATATATCTCTGCATCCACATCCAAGATATACACAGCACAGTCGAACATCTATGTAAAACCAAGGATGGCCTGGAATCATTCCGGGCCAGCCGGCTGGGTTTCCGTACAGCCAACCTGGGACCCAATATGCACCCCTGGTTTTCATACCGCAATATGGAACAAACAAGGGACATTTGGGGACCCTCATCTTCCGCAATTTGGTTTGATGTCTTCACCCATCCCAAAATTTGTATGTATATATAATATTTGTCAGTTCAAACCACCAATCTTGATTGATTGAATAATCAAATCTCTCATTCTCGCTGGCTCCATCCACACATTCTAGGGGGGAAATGAATTTGTCTGGGTGGAGGGTGCATCATCATCATCATCATGATCATCATGATCATGATCATGATCATGATCATCATCATCATCATCATCATCATCAATAACCATCAAAAACCATTAATAACCATTGATAAACATTGATAAACCACTACCATCATCATCATTATCATCATCATTATCCTCCCCTTTAATTTGGCCATCCTATGGGTATCCTCCGCATTTTCGTTTTCAGACTGAGTCATCTTCACCGGACCTGTCCTTCTCCAGTTTCCAACCTCCCTCAGAAGCTCCCACGGATGCATTCCTGGAAAGTCCAGAGCTGGTACTGGGTCAAAACATGTCCAGGCAAAAGTAAGGTAAACCCAATCATCAAACATGATCAACTATAGGCCTCGTTTTGCATGTTTTGCGAAAATAAGATTGAAACAGTTGGTAAATTCTTATTAGGTTTACCACGTTCTATCCTCTCCTTCTGTTTTGGGTTCACGCTGGACTGCCATAAATTCATCCGAGGCAATGCACTTCAACGACTATCATCAGCACTTGTATCCCTAAATTCTGTAGGTTGCCATTACATCTGTGTTGTTGCTGCGCTTTGCTTACTCTTTTTTTTGCTATTTGTACTTTTCACAAATTGCTCGTCTCCCATGTTGCAGCTTAATTTGCACATCATCACCATCATCATCATCATCATGAAGTCATTCCCGATTAATTCCCTAATTTGTTGTTGGTCACAAACCGAGCAGACAGCCATTATTAGTTCCCAAGGTATGGATCAACCGCGAAAATTCCACCATTTTGATTCCGATCTCACAGTTTGGCGCAGCTCACTTGCAGCATATCCCAATCCAGTACAATGATACCCTCTGGTAAATGAACATCACTATGGTCCAAGATCCACCATGCTATCAGCTGGGTAAATCCACTATTTCGACTGGGCCATTTTCAATAGCTATGTTAGTCATTATATATATATATATATCCATTTACAGATGGGGAACCATTAAATAACCATTAAATACCATAATGAATGTCTCCTGGCTCAAGCCCAAAGGGTAGCCATGTGACTGTGGTTTGTGTCACCGATTCTGGCTGCTTAGATCCCAAATTTGTCATCATGAAAACATGGTTTATGATGTTATAGATATCCCATATATAAGTTGTTATAGATACTTTAACAGATAAATAGATCATAATAGATCATCAGTAACATAGATATTTATCTGTTACACGTGCTATGTTTACTGATTAGCCCATGCTTGTTGCTTGACCAGCAGATCGTCATCTTAAGGATGATATAGGGCTACCCTCCGATAGGCCATTCTCTGGATCTATGGATCTTTGCTGCGACAGACTCTGGCTGTTTCTGCAAAGCCACCATTTTTGATGCGTTCTATAGATAGAATGGTATCTATGTATAGATACATATTTTGGGTATCTATAGAATAGTATTTCCAGAGGATATTCTGAAACCCAAAATATGTATCTATACATATAATACCCTCTGGTTTTTTAACGTAGCTATGGAAGGTCACCATTGAAACAAGTTTGGTAAATGATCATAGATCATCCATTTTCATGTGCCATGGCTTCCATAGCTATGTTAGATAATCAGAGGGTGAACCCATTGATTATCCCTATTATATATATCCCATGGTTTCTGTTGGTTATATATATATATATATATATAAATCCGGGATATAAATTCGGGATATCATGGGGATGTAATAGTGATAATCAATTTTTCCATCCCGGATATATACCATTAAATACCATTAAATACCATTAAATACCATTAAATACCATAATAAAATTCAGGATATTAAAAGGTGGTCATTTAAAAACCCGAAATTTACATGATAACCATTAAATATTGTTGTCCCATGATAAGCAAAAATGGTTATTTAAACGATGGTAAACCATCAATATCGTTAATAATGGTTACCATTAATCACCATTAATCACCAGTAATAACCATTAATCACCATTAATAACCATTAATCACCATTAATCACCATTAATCACCATTAAGCACCATTAATCACTATTAATCACCATTAATCACCATTAATCACCACTATTAACCATGATTAACCATTGCAGATGGGGAACCATGAAATAACAATTAAATACCATAATAAATGTCTGGATATATAACACCATTAAGTACCATTAAATATACCATTAAATAACCATTTTTGCCAGACACGATCCCATCTTTTCCTGGATGCAACATGTTGCAACCAGGAGTCCAACCATCGCCTCCCAGCCACACAAAGCCCAGCTCTGCAGCATGGCTGGCACCCACCGTGCCATTCTGGTAGGAATCCACGGGGAGGATGACGCATAGCGCAACCGAATCATGGTTATAGATGGTGAGTAACCTATATAATCATGGTCATAGATGGTGATTTAATTTTAATGTGAGTTAAACAAAACAAATAGAAATTTCACCAAGAATTTTCAGATTGTTTTAAGGATTCAACCAACAGAAATGATGACTTAATCGACGAACTGGTGGTATAGTGGGAATATAACCCCTGACTATAATAACGATTGAACCACAAAGCCAAATATAAGACCAACATAGACCAACCACTTCATGAACACATCGTGGGACGTAGTGGGATTCAACCCGCACTCTACAATGTAGTTGACGCCCCAATAATTGATAGTTAATAAGCCAGTATGCAAGCGGTTGACTTGTTGCTGGTGACTAAGTGCTAATAAACCCAATCAAGAACAAATCTGGAATGTCAACCTGCAAACAAAAAAGAACCTCGTCTGTTGACAATCGCTTCCGGGATGTCTTAGATAACGAACATTGATAGTCGACTTGGATAAGTTGGGGGTGGCCCTGCACTTAACTACTGTACATAATCTTGGTGATATGTTTGAGGCAGCATATAAAATGATGAGGTATACCAGACACGTGCACTTCAGTCATTCCGGATATTCCTCAAGAACATCGCTATTTCTCAGGAGAAAGTGTGGCTGATACCCTTGAGGATCTGCAACTGTTAAGGCCATCCAAGGCCTCACATATTGGAAAACATGCTTTCGAGCCCCTGGGTCTCTGAACTCCTGAGTTGTCTTGGTTTGACACTAGACTCACTATTACACCCTGAAACTGGCATAGAACCATGGCAAACGGGTTTGGCATTCATTTTTCCATGTATCAATATGTTGAAGTTCCATCTTTGATTTAAAGCTTGGTGACACCCTTTTCTAGATCAACTCTGGTGGTTTAACCATCCCAAGAATCTGCTCGTCAGGGATCACAATCCTTGCTTTTTATGGTAAGTAATAAACAAACAAATATGAAACCATCAATCAGCTCTGTGGATCGGAAATCTCCGCCTCGCCAAATATGCCAGCCCATTTGGGTGCAGGGCTTTCAGGTGTGTGCGCGAAGCAATACAAATAGGTCTCCTCACAGAGTCGGAAAATGAGTTTATCGTGGGGATGCAACGAACATGATTAACATGGGGATTTAACCAACAGAAATATGGATTTGAATCAACAATAAACGAGGGATTCGACCAACAAAATAGCGAATCAAGATTCGACCAACGACATATAACGATTCATATAAGATGATGGTTTCCAGCAGATAATCAGGCTGAGTTTAGCAGTATTTTTTTCACACCGGTCAACGAACCAAAATGGTAATCAACAAAATCAGGAATCATGTGAATAGTATCTCAATCTGGGGTCTGGGGATAAAGTATTTGGATCAATTGTCTAGCTATGTCAGACCTCTGTTGGGACTACACTGGTTCATGCGGTAAATCCTGAAAAAAAACTCAAATTGACCAAGAACCCATCGCTATTTCGAGGCTTATTTGGATCTTTGCGTTCAACATAAAAAAAAGACTGCTTGCACATGTTCGATGCTTATTTGGGGATTCATTCTGGAGATTATTACACATGAAAAAAAATCCCCAGAAATCAAAGCGGTCCACCCAAAATTCATGAACGGAGACGGAGCTTTCTTTTGGCCAAGCCATGGAGTTTTTGTCCCATGTCTTGGACATGGCCGACATGGCATTGATTTCGAGTATTTAACCAGACGATTTTGATCGACATTGAACCACATTTTGCTATGATCATTGGTTCGCCAAGTTAACTGTTGGTAATCTAGAATGTGGTGCCCTCCCGCTATCAGCTGCTTCATAACCCCGTGAAATTCCATAGATCATGATAGATCTACCATAAACATTGATAAACCATAGTTGAGCTAGTTCTAAACCAACTTAGTCGTCCAACAGGCACAGAATCTCGACGCTTTCAATCAGATCGGCCCGTCCGTGGCTTCAGAGAGTCGATCTGCAGCACGAAGGGTAGGACACGCGATGGCGTAATCTCCTGAACCCAACAGATCAATGGAATTTTCTGGGTAAAAGGGGATGAGTCACAACCTATTGTTACTATATTTGGATGAACATTGGCTTACTAATTATTTTAGGCTTCACCAGTTTGGGTTTTGAACCACAGCAGATGGTGAGGATCAATGGGGGTCAAAATGTGGTGTGTATAAATATATAATCATACATACATACATGTATATATATATATATGATATATCATATATATATATAACACATATATACGTATATATATATGATATATATATATACATATGAGACACACATATATATATACATGATATATATATATATATATTATATGATATATATATATATGATATATGTATATATATGATATATATATATATATGATATGATATATATATGATATGATATGATATATATATAATGTACACAATAACATTATATATGTATACTGGGAATGTGGTTTTTGGATGGGTTTTCCACCACATCAGTGGGATAAACCATGGGATAAGGGTCAAGCATCCAACACGGTGGTTTTTCTTTCCCAGTCATGGCAGGGGGTTCCTTGAAAACTCCCTGTAAAATCCAGCGCTCGAAATCCGCAAAAACGGGATGCAACCAATAGACATGAGTTTGAACAGCGCTCATGGGGATGATATACCTATAAGTCTATAAGTAAGGCCAGTACTCGAAAAACAACGTGATAATACCATGGAATGATTGGAAATACCACATCAATTCAAATGTTACAAATATAGGGGTTCAAACTTTGTGATGCTCCAGCCATTTTGGGTTGAGTAGAGCAGTGGTTTGACCAGCAGTGGAATCGGTCTTGGAATTTGGCAGACATATTTGGGGCCACAAACCTGCGTGATAAATTGATATGAATTGATGAAACAAATGAAATGTATTGATTTTGACAATGAGGACAATAATGGATATGAATTGATGTGATAAATTGCAATTATAATTACATTTAATTGCTAGGCAAGAAATCCCGACAACATGGATTTGAACCAAAAAACGCCCAAGTTCATGCAAAGTCTCCATAGACATCAGCCGCAATCCAATACCAATACCTGAGCCCAAATTTTAGACAAATCCTGAACGGCTTGAAGGATCGACACGCCTCGAAAACTGCGGCGATCAATGACACGCCGCCATTTTAAGGGGCCCTTACTTGTCAAAAGCCGCTTGTCATGAGATATTATATATATATATATTATCATATAAATATATGTATATATAAATAAGTATAATTATAGAGAGAGAGAGGGAGAAAGTCAAAAAAAAAACAATGCACATATTGTATATATATATATATATTATATTATATATATATCATATATTATAGATAGAAAGTACAAGAAATCCATCAATGCCACAAAGGACACAGCCAAGGCACCACTCATGATGGCCATTCTCCTGGTAAAAGATGGGAAGATGACATCATGAAGGGGGTAAAGGGCCATCTAAACCTTCGGTGGAATAAACTTGGGGGTATGTCCTGTTACAAACTTCGTACGAGGGTATAAATATAAAATGGATTAAAATGGTATAAGATAAGCATCTTGGGGCCGAAAAGCGACAAATGCTACAGAATCTATACAAGAATACAAGAACATTTGGCATCATTTTGCACATGTTGTACCTGTTATCGCCGCTGGTGGGTGGAACGGGACTTCTGAGAGTGCCTTTTTATCCCGGAGAACCATGGAATCCCTCTTGGATCAGGAATATTTGAACAAAATTTGACACACTTTTCGATTCGATCTGTTTCCCAGTTTCCCACATCCCTAAAGCTATCCCTAAAAAAAACACACCGGCCACTGAACAACGCGACATCCCACCGACCACGTCGCCACGTCCTTGAGCTCCGGCGCGTAGACCTTGAGGATCTGCTCCAGTTGGCTTCCCCCGCTGACGTTGAAGAGATCCGTGGTCATCAAGGATTTGAAGTCCGACTTGGTCATCCTGGGACGAGAGCTGGTTGAAAGATGGTTAGATGTGGTAACCATTCATGAAATACATAGATGTACACAGTATATGTTAGTAACCAACTATAGTATACTATAGTATACTATAGTGATCTGTATGGTGTAACTAACAGTTGCTTACAATCCTAAGTTGATATAACAGTTCCTGAAACCTGGATGACATATGCTGCAATGATCTGAAAATACGGCCATTTGGGGATGTGTGATGGATACAAATGATACAAATGGGGATTTGTTACAAGTGCATACAAGTGTAATGTTGTGGGGCTTCAATCATTTATCCTCGGATGATATGCGCTTGTCCTAGGCATTCAACTTTAATTCAGTCATCAAAAACAGGGGTGAAAATTCAACAAACAACGGTGACTTAATGGGAATTTAATAGGATTTTCCCAATGAAAAAACATGGGACTGGAATACCACCAGTGGGGGGTATGATTTGCCATTGTCCTGGGTATGTGACCGAAAATTGGGCAGTAAATCAAAATCAAGCAATAACTGGCCGTAAGGTCTGGGGGGGGACAATGATGAAGCAACATCGATGAGTGACCGTTGCTCAGCAGGGAATGGGGGGAATGATCCACAACTATTAACAACCATCCCATTCCCCCATTCCCTACCAAGCACCAGAAAACTAATTATTGGGGGAGCCAATTTTCAGACCAAGCCAGATGTTTTGTCTGTGATCGAGTCATTGTCTGCCAAAAATGGGTTGATATCTGTGACCCACCCAAAAAATGGGGCTGATATACACATACTGAGCCACCCCAGGTATAGGTTTTCATGGAAACCGGCTTTGGGATGATGCTTTATTCAGCCCAGATGGATGATTACTATTGATTACTGTCATGTTCTTTATGGCTTTACCAATGGTTTACTAGATGAATTGGATATCTATGGATATCTTGGAGTTATGATCCACTGCATCGTCTCAAACTCCATCAAACCTTCGAACCGGCTGGGCCGAAAAAAGTCGATCCCAAACTCTGAATCCTCCAGCTGATTCCGAAGACATTTCAAGCTTGGCAAGTCAGGGCTGCTTAGCTCATCCCATTGCAAAAAAACATCCCAAGAGGCCATAGAAACTCGCCATTTTTGGGGATACGATGGTCCTATGGAAACCAAAACATGGACCTATTGCTTGTGCAAAAATGAAGGGAATGGAGGAATGGCAGGATTCCGGGATGATTGTGAATTGATGTTAATAGTAATTAATAGTGATGGATTTGGTATACTATGGGTCATTCCCCCATCTGGGTAAATTATAATATTTCACTAACCTGAATTAAGGCCCATTTGGGGATGATTTCCCTTATTGACTATGATTCCAGTGAGGTTGCAGTGAGGTCGTTATAATTTACCCAGCCCCATTCCCTACATTTAGCACCAGTAAATTCACCGACGTTGGTTCCCTCGTGCCGAGAGTCTTTGCCCCTTTGTGCAGGATCTGACATTTGGGGGTTCCCTCACAGGAAGGCAGCACGGTACCCTCGTCTTTGTTGAACCCCAACAGCCTTGGCCACGGTTTGTTTGAAACGATGGATCCCAGAAACCATGGGTTTCAGAAATGAAGAGATATATACGTATGTATATATATATATATACGTATATAATACATTATAGTAATTTATTCCCTGTAACCATGAATGTTTCTCAAATTGACCACACTGAGGATAGAAACCCTGGCGTTGGGGCTCAGGCTATCAAGAGAACAACGTGTTCAACGGAATGCATATTCAAGTTCCTTGGTCTCTTTGAGTCATAATCAAAGAATATCCAAGAGACTTGAAACAATCGGGTTTGCACGTTTCATCTGGTGACACGAGTCAACATATGCTGCTCACAATGGTATAAGACACTGTTTCACCTTGGCACAGATAATTTTAACAACCCTAAACAGAATGAACAGAATCAAAATGAACACACATTCTATTTGAATGTGGACAACTACCAAGTTGCCATATATGGTCATAAATGTTCCGAAATTTGGTTTCATAAAATTTTCCATGATGCCACGATGCACAAAGCCATGCACTGATAACACGGATCAGCAATCCTCATCCACGGATCAGCTTGAAGGAATGTTTAGTGTTTTTTTGAAGTATGTTTAATCCACCAACTATTCAAACCATATACCAACTATTCTGGTTGGTGGTTTGAACCCCTCTGAATAATATTTGTCAGTTGGTGTTTTTATTCCCAACTGAATGGAAAAGTTAAATTCATGCCCCAAACCATATACCAACTATTCCATGATTCTTCAGGACTTTTTACCGGGTAGTTCACCTAAAAGGTATACCGTATTGAATCTCAGAGCTTCGCTTCAGCCATTAAAAAATCCACAGAGTCCCAGCAATCTTCCCATCCTGAATCATAGCTATATCATTATATATCCCATTAAATATCCACATATTCATTATCATCCACTATTCACCATCATTAACGATTATTAAGCATGATTAACCAGTTATTCACCCAAGAATCCTCCCATCCATTCATTCAAGGCACACCTCCACTGGGTTAAATTTCCCTTGCTGCAGCAATTGCCACGGCAGTGCAAGCAGCTGCACCCCATCCACGGTGGGACTGAAGAAGGTGCCATAGGCCTGCGCGCAGATCCATCACAGGCTATAGCCATCAGGACATGGATCTTTAGGAACTTATATAGCAAAAATAGAAACACCTAATGATCTTTATGAAATAGATTGTAACTTAATCGTAAATTGTAACCAACTCCAATCATTTTCGATCTAGTGTTGTGGCGTGTTAATCAGTTGTGTAGTGGTAAACGTTGTGTAGCTTAGCAACCATTACAGAATTGAATGGCAATGGTCAGTTCACCGAATCACATTCAGGAAATACCCGTTACTTGTACTTAAAACTAAGACTGTATGTATATACATATATATATATGATTATATGTGTATATTGGTCTCATAGATTGCTGAACAGGACTATCAAATTACCAAGTACGATGCGCATCCATGGTTTGGCATCTGCTTGGATGCACATCGCTAATGTTCGCAGCCTCAATCTATGGGGAAAAAATAGAGATATGATAGGATCATCTATAAGGTACTGTAATTGTATTCGTTGGGATTTATCGGGGCTTGTGGAGATTTATAGCCGTAATACAATCTGATAGACTCTATAGATCTCTCCCTCTCTCTCTCTCTCTGTGTCTGTGTCTTTCCTTTTTTTTTCTCTCTCTCTCTCTCTCTTATTAAGGTGCAACGTTGTGTATAAATCACATACGTGGCCTATATATAGTGTCGGCTCGACATGCCGTGAGCCATCTGTAAACAACAACACAACGTGCCACAACGTGCCACAACGTGCCACAACGTGCCCTTCCAACAGCTCTGCCTCATCACCACATCACGGCTGGGCAAAACATGGACGGAAATCATCAAAAGACCACTTGAACCGACGGAAAAACCGTTTTTTTTTTGCTGCTTTTTGTGAGTGTTCCACGCGATTTTTCGGCCATCAGCAATCATCCAGCCCCAACCTTCCAGGCTTCAGGTAGCGGCTCGGGGTTCAATTCCACCGTGGAGATACCGATGAGTTCATCTGCAGCTTTCTTCAACAAACACTCCACGGATCCATCACACCTCGACGCCGGGAAGGCGCGCGCCAAGTGGGAACTGCCAAATCAGCCCAGAATTACCAGGCCTGGTAAACATACAAAAAACTATGGAAAGATCCACCATTTTTAATGGGTAAATCCACTGTAAATGGCTAATTATGTTGCAGATCTCCAAATCAGACTCAGTTGGGAGACTTGGAGACAGGATTCAGATCCAGACCTGTCCTCCATAAAAATTACATCGAAGCCGTAGCTTGTGGATGGTTGCTGTCTGTCATGGAGGAACACAACCCCAAATCTGATTAACTGGGGATCCTTACGGCGTGCCCATGGGGAACCATATTAGAACCACCCCAAGTATAGCAAACAATCATACGCTATTACCCAATTCCGGAAGTAATGATGCCATACTATACCCATAATTAGGATCCATGGTGCTGCTATATCTGGTGCTCCATGGATCCCATCAGTATACCCCCTTTATGTTCCTGTGGCTTATAGCCCTCCAGTATTACCCTGAAGCCACCACCAGTTGGCGCTGAGGCCAGGCTACTTTGTCGCTTCCTCAACGCGCGTCAGCGGTCGGCATGGTTGAAAAAAAGACCGCCACAACACTCGTGGCAAACAGACGAGGTTTACATATAGCGGGTCCCACATAGGTACAGTAAATTTATATCGCACGTATGTATACTGTATACATGATAAATATGATAATAACAATAATCATAATAATAATAATGATAATGATAATAGCAAAAGTAGAATGATAATAGCAATAATAATATAATAATAATAAAATAATAATAATAATAGTAGTATACATGTACAGGACATATGCATGAGAAACTACCGCTTCGGACTATGCTCCATGGCACTCTGATCCCACCATTTCGTTCGCTTGCGCCTTGTTTGTCATGTCTAGTAGATGAATAGTTTACAGCCAGAGGAAGCTGAGACCAAAGGTGGCTTTGACTGCAACCACGACCAGAATATTGTTTACCCTCTGATAAACTATCATAACTATAGAAAGATCCACTATTTTTAATGGGTAAATCAATCCACTATTTCTATGGCCATGTTCAATAGCTATGTTAGTTTACCAGAGGGTAACATTGGTTTGCAAAGTTGGTTTTCCTCGTGCCGACTTTTCCCTGCTTGACGAGACCAACTTTTTTCGATGGCTTGGGGGCATGTTTGGGCTTGACGTGGTCAATCTTGAATACACTACAAAACTGGATCTATTACTGGGCACTATTAATTATTGTACTATACTCCCCGTTCATAAAGGTTTAAAGGTTTACCTAGATGATACAGTTTCTGAATTTCTTGCTTGTAAGTCCCATGTTTTGTTGCTTCAAATACCCAACACCAATTCTTTTACCCGGCAAAACCATGCAATTTCATGCATCCCCCACGTTTAGTGGCCACATCCCCAGTCTTCTTGGTTCTTGGTAAAAAAATGTAAAAAGTGACCACTTTTTTGGTGGCACTCCCAGGGGCTCCCAGCCGTCCCATACGCCGCATCGCTAAGCTTCCAGGAGCTCCTGGAACTGGCTCTCAGCATCTGCCATGGGCTGTGCGTTCCAATAGCTGAAGGCACCCGACTCCATGATCACGCGACGGTACAGGGCCTGTGTTGGCAGAGTGTTTTTCATGGCACGGGGCTTGATTGTTGGATGTGAGATTTTGATGTTGTGGAAATTCAGCAGGAAAGGGACAGGTGGATAAGCCGCAAACACAAGGCCAAAACTTCTCATTTTTCCCTTAGCGTGCAATTCAAATCTTTCATGCAGGTCACACTAGATTTGTGTAGCACAAATATAGATTGTTCAGAAACAAGAATACAACAGAAACGGGGATTCAAGCTCAATTGAATTGGGGAGATTTTCTGGCAATCAAACATGGCTTTTCCAAAGCTTTGCTTCTTTGGTGGAATACGTCAATAAAAACAAATGATGTGGGATGGAGCTGCTGGGGTTGAATCCCTCCATGGCATGTTGCGGGGCTGCCCGCTATAGCAGGTCCATTTGGGTCATTTGGAGGTTTCCTAAAATAGGGCACCCCAGAATGGATGGTTTATAATCGAAAATCCAACTAAAATTATGGATGGAGGTTTCCTAAAATAGGGCACCCCTAAAATTTATGATTTGGGGATATTTGGGGGTACCCCTATTTTAGGAAACCACCATTTGGTCGACTATCCTATGCAGAAGCTGAGTCCTTTATCTTCACCACATCTTCATTCGTTACTGAATACTGAAAGTTCAGGAGCAAGACCCGCCGTTCAATCTATCTTCAAACTTACCTCAAGCGGAAATGCACACTTAAAGAAAAAAACGCGTGATCATCTACAAAACTAGAGGACAGAACTTCGTATACAGCAATGTATGCACTATATATATATATATATATATACACACGTATATATATATATATATTATATTATATTATATATATATTATATTATATATTATATATTATATATTATATATTATATATTATATATTATGTATTATATATTATATATTATATACATATATATATATATATGCTCAGCGGCCCCCCCTCGACCCGCAATTTCCATGTGTTTTCCATCGCACTTCCTGGTCTTATCGTGCAACTGATGCATCTGCCAGAATTTGTCAGCAACAATCTTCTTACATAATTCTATATTTACAGTTTGAACATGTCATAATCATACATGAACAAGACAGCAGACACGAACATTGAGCACTTCTAGAAACACCTCCTTCCCGTAAGCAAGGCGAGTTACGCGTTTTAGCTCAAAGCAGATGTTTGGCTATTCATTGGTGGAGACATGGTTCAGTTTTTGCACAGACCAAGCTAATGTAATGCATAGGTGCACGTCACTTGAACATTTTCTTCTAAGTGTGGAATGAAGTTTGATTTCGTTATTTCCCAAGCATAGTAATGCAGACATTGAAAAGGAAAGCAGAGAGATTCCAACAATGAACCAAACAGTTCATGATGAGCCCAGAGGCAACCAAGTGCAAATTAACGAAGAACACAATCCTTCGAAATCCAATTTCAGGAAAATCTATACATTGCGGTTCTCTCACTGGCTTTCTGGCGTCGATGGTGGAGGAGGTGTCATCGGTGGTGTATCCGGAGGAGTGCCCGGGAGCGTTCCACCCAACCCTGCCAACAACTCCGGAGGTGTCATCGGGACTGGTGTGGCCGCATCTTCTCGAGGAGTGTTTGGCACCATATCCATGATTTCGCTCCGGCCTTCTTCTGGAGTGTGTGCTGGTGACTCTACCCACGGGTCTGGATACTCATCGAACCACCATTCTGACATTTGGGAAGTAGGTGTGTTCAAGCCCGATCGTTCACGTGGTGATCTGCTCCGCTCAGTGGCACCATCGAACTCGGAAGGGATTATTAAGTGGATGGATTCGGCCGGTGTGATCCAAGCAGACCTGGGTTCCGATGAGGATTTACGGTGAGGAAACATTGTCATGTAATGCCCATGTATCACAACAATGCACGATAGCGAAGTGCAGGAGTATGAACATTTCACAATGGTCTTGTCAAAACCTGGAAATTAGAAAGATTTTAAGAACAAAAATGATGACAGCTAGGACAAAGCACCTCCAAAACTCTTCAGATTCGCATATCCACCACTCAACGTCCCTGGTAGTTCCCTGGTTTTCTGCTGACGTCCTTCTGGGCTTTGGCTTGGCAAGCGGCACGGGTCGTAGGATTTGCGGCGGCGCCATGAAGTTTTAGAACAACAAATTTATGGCTGGCAGGACAGAGCGTCAGTTTGAACCAAAAACTTAAAGTATGCTAAATTGAAAAGACACACCTCCTACCCGCAACAAAGGCGGGCTACGCGTGATGGGTCAGAAGCAGATGTCTTGCGATTCATTTATGGGGACACGATTGAAATCTTGCACAGACAAAGCAGATGTAATGTGCAGGTGTACGTGGCTTTTTACGTTGACATTTGTTTGGTGAAGGAAAGAAGAAAAGAAGGTGGAGCATGTGTGAAAACATATTGATTGGAAGTCCGTCAAATGCAAAGACAATGAGCATGCAGAAGCAGGCGGAAGCTACGATTTTTCGACCATGGCACTGAAGCTGGCAAACTCACGATTTCTGTAGAAATTGCAACATTTCACCAGTTGCTTTCCATATGTTGGCGCCCTTGTGACAATAAATCCATTGAATGGAGCGAACTTTGCGCTCAAGTAGACAACTGCCGGGCTTGCGACTAACAAATTTCAAACCCTGTCGCAGAATGCCCCAAAATCGATCGATGATTTGCGTGCCACTCTTTACCTTCACCGTTTTCCCACATGGAAGTTTGTGGGTGTAGACCTTGGTATAATGTGGTTTCACCCAAGTGAACTTGCCGTTGATCTTGACACGCTTCTTCTTGTGCACCACGTGGTCATGGATGACGCCGGGAATCTTCAACTTGTAGGCACGGGCACCATCCGTATGGAGAATGACTTCGCGACGGCGGAGGAATTTGTCGGCCACCTTCTTCCAATCCTTCAAGCGGATAGGGCCAGGCCCAGGAGCTCGCTTGGCAGTGAGCTTTGGAGAAAGACGATACAGAACCAAGGTCTGAGGTTGCCCTCGCTCTACCATACCGCCCCATTGTTCCCATTTCGCTTTGCCGCTGGGCTGGTCACCTTCCTTGCCTAAGTCAACCTCGTCTGCTTCGATGTCTGCCCATTTGTGGCCCTTCCCAAAAATCGTCTTCGCTTCGAGGCTCTTCATGTGCCGAGCCCGCGCCACTTCCAAATTGGTGTAGATGCGCTCTGCTGTCTTCCGCTCGACATTGAGTAAAGCAGGTACAGAGGTAACAGGTACGTTGACCAAGGCACAATGAAGAATGGCGGCTTGTAGTCCAAGTGGTGTCAGTGATTGACCATTGCCCTGGAAGAAGATGGGATGGAAAGAGTGAGGTTGTATTTTGACATCGCAAGATCTGGCCGAGCATCTATGCACCCAAGCCTTGCGTACCTTGCAGTAGTACATGGTGCTCAGAGTTCCATGCGCACAGCGAGGACAAGCTCGACCTTCCCATCGGGGTAGGACACCATCCTTGCGAAGAAAACGAAGTAGGTTGCGGCCGGTCATGTTCGCGAGGTCCTGGACGGAGTGGCCCAAATGTTGGTATCTCCTGTCTACTTTTTTTTGAACAGAAGTAGGGTGGCGAACATAGGCGACTTTCTTCACACTTCGGCGCTGCTTGTGGTTGGAAGCCTTCATGTTGCTTCTGGCCTTCCCTCTTTTTGGAGCTGGCCATGGAGTAGTTCTCTTGTTCATATGCTTCATGACCTTCTTCGGCATGACTGACAAAATTGGAATCGACGAGGAGAGATGGTTATAGTTACTTGATCCAATGCTACGCAGAGAACATGAACCATGAAGCACAAACATCCTCGTGACAAACAAGATCATATAGTGAAACCGTGTTGCATCAAACATGAAAGCAGAAAAGCGCACCAGAAAGTAGACACAATACAGAAAAGTAGTTACTCTTGAAAGACAGCACACAGAAGAAAGGCTGCAGGCTGCAAAAGGTGTTACTTTTTCAAGCGCCCCTTCCTCATATGCGACTAATAGGATCGTTCCACTCAATCTGTTCACTGCATCAGGACCACAAGAAAGTTGAAGCTCACTGGCACGAGGATAGTTCATCGCATAGGACCATGGTCAAAAGGATCTTCATCATTTTGAGCGTCGTCGTCGTCCATGACAGCTTCAAGTGCCTCTTCGATAGTTTGCACTGGCTCGTCCACTTCATTGGCAGGGAGACCTGGCAGGCTGTCAGGGTTGGGTACGAATGGACCAAAAGAAGATGCTGGCCGAGACCGTTTCGCAGGCGAAGGAGAGTCCAGATCGATGGTGATGCCGTTGGAGCGCTTGAGGTTTTGGAACACACGTTGCATCTTTTCTTCCTTCACCTTGACACGCATCTCCTGGTCAGAAAGCAACGCAGGCGCTCGATGATGTTCTTGCAGATCTCCACCAAAAGCAGAACGCCCACGGATCGTGATAGTGCGCGATACCGGTTCACCTTCCAGCAGCTTCCGCAGCAATTCTTGGGACCAAATCATATCGGCATGATAAGTGTCTGGCAACTTATGCTTGTGAGGATTCGCCTTGTAGGTCTTGAAGATTGGTCTCTGATGTTCTGCCAGAATGTCTCTGACATTGGGTTTGGGCCATGGGATGCAATCCACATTGAGTGTCTCAGTGTTTGCAACACGATAATACACACCATTCTCAGACAAAACAATGATGTGTGTTCGTGCCAGGATGGCTGCCATGTCTTCAGAATCCTCTACACCACTGAAGGAAGGAGCGATAATGTCCAGGAAGTCCTTGTGCCCAATGTGCCATGTACTGGTGCTCTGCATCTTCGCGAAGAGTTCACATTCAAGAACATGATTGTAAGGGTTGTTGCACGCATGGCGTCCAGACCCTTGATCGAATTGTGCAGAAGAGTAGCGAGCCCACACGGTTGCGTCTTCTTCCTGAGTAATTGTTGCAGAAATGATAAAGCATCATGTGACATGTGTACAGCTTACACAATGTAGCAATTTGCAGGAATTACAGATGCAGCTAAACAGAATTCCAGCAGTGACACAGGCAAGATAATATTTATGTAGCAGAAGTAATGCACACACAGGTATGATGTGCCAAGAGACAGACGGATTCAAGAATGCCTTGAGGAAGGATGCATCCATACGCTGCAGCATTCCATCATCGAAGACGCCCGGTTTAAACTTGGTAAGCGGTTCCGCCTTGAAGAAGTCCAGGTGCTTCGCGGTGACAATGGACGGCACAAGGTCCTGACGTTCAGCCTGGGTGATTTCGAATTTGGACTGGGTGAATAGAATTGTCTTTGACCCCAAAGACTTGCCGACCCTAGTGCGTCCGATCCATGTGATGGAATGCTGGCGCATGGTCGGTAACATCTTGACGACGACATCGTCCAGAAACCAAGGTTCGAAACTCTTCAAAGTGAATGGCCAGTATTCGATGGTTTTGGCATTTTGACGACCACGATAATAATTGTGCAGGGCTTCTTTGACCTTGCCTTCTGGCCATCCTTCCAACGGACCTCCCGGAGCGTGCACTTGCTCGTCTGTCCATTCCATGAATTGATTTCTATTGTTGCTACGAGGGCCATGGTCTCGGATGAAACGATACCCACTTTCTCGAGCATTTTGATCTAAGGTTTGCTTCTTCTCATACTTTGGAGCCAACGTCCAGATACGAAGCTGCTTGCCACCGATGCGATCCAGCATGTAGTTCAGCGCAGCCAATGCTAGTCGACTTTGATTGCCCCAGTCAAAGCGGACTGCACATCCATGACAGTAGGAGACACACTCAGCAGAGGACACCTTGTTTTTGTGCAGATAGACATGTTTCAGGATGTCGACATAATGTTGGTCTTGGTCAGGTGGAAGATGTGCCGGCACAATGACAATCTGGAGGCTATAGGGCACCTTGGGCTCTATTTTCAGACAGAATGGTTCAGGCAAATCGCGGTACTTGGCCTGGGCACACAGAGGGTACAACGTTGTGTCCAAGAACTCAGTGTCAATCTGGAAGGTGCCTGATACCGCGAAATTCTGAATGATGTCTGCGAACTGCTCCAGTTTTCCTCCCATACGGTCCAGATCACGTACAGGAAGGTCAATGAAGACGGTCTGTCAGATTTCAGAGGTTTCACTTGTGGGCCTAACAGCTTCAGACCTTGGACTTGAACGCATGCCTCTTCGAATGATAAGACACCGTCACGCTCTCCGAGCTCATGACGACAGCTTTCCACGAAGTTCACGTCCACGTTCGCCATAGGATGGTCGGAATCAAGATGGACAGCCAGGAGGAATGATGATGCTACGAAAGCTGCAGAGACAAAGGAAGTGTATGGCCAAAGCTGTGCTATGAGACAACATGTAGCAGATGATGTGTACGACAGCCTTTCACAGTGGAATTGTTTGTCATGTGCCAGACAGTTTTCCAGAAATTTTCAGAAGAAAAACCTCGAGAAAACTAAAAAAACAAAAAAAAAACAATTTTCCAGAGGTATTGGAAAGCAGAAAAGTGCAAAACCAAAAAAACCTCGAGAAAACAAAAAGTCTGACCCCCCCCCCTCCCCAAGACTTCTGGAATATTGTTTTTTTTGTTTTTTTTGGTTTTCTCGAGGTTTTTTTGGTTTTGCACTTTTCTGCTTTCCAAGACCTCTGGAAAATTGTTTTTTTTTTGTTTTTCTCGAGGTTTTTGTACTTTTTCCAAGGGGCCCTCCCCAAAGATTCTCAAAATGTCATTCTTGATTTGTTCAAGTAGGTTGTATTTTTCTTTCGTTTATTGTTATGCCTTTTTTGGCCGAAATTCGGCTTTGATGTTATTATTCTTTATATCATTTGTAGCGTTTCATATATAAATATTATTTCAGACAAAGTGTTTTTTTACTGTATTTTCCATAATTTTTTAATCATAATATTCTAATAAATCAAATCCGCCTGGTCAGCCCTCCCAACGACAATAATCAAGTGCGGGTCGAGGGGGGGCCGCTGAACATATATATATATATATACACATCAAGAATCCACCATTTCAACGAGAACACGAACTGGGATTCGGCGAACCACGGCACCAGCTCAATGGCGAAGTGAGATGGACTGCAATGGACCCTGCGCCTGCGCTCCTGGCATTGGCCAATGGTATCGATCCAAAAAAGATGGCTAAATGGTACGGCCGTATTCCCCCGATCTGGTCACACCAGAGATGCCAAGGTGCTCCCCAAAGAGGAGCAAATCTGAGGCATTTCCGCCGAAGGCGCCAATGTTTCCTGAGACAAACGATGGTTTCCACAAACAAATCATGCTATGAGTGGCTTTAAACGAATCAAATAATGGATTCTTAAAAAGAAAGGAAATCCAGAACATAATATGAAAGGCACAATTGCAAAGAAATTGCAGTGAGAAGTGAATCTTCACTTTATTTTGAGACAAACACCTACAATTGCGATCAGTAATCAAGGTTGCAGCAGTATCAACTCGGGGATATGACTGAGCTAAATCACACCACCTTTGCTGCCAAAAAAACTGCTTTGACACAAGCCGACACTCGAAAAACATTGATATGCGCGTGGCTCGAAAGTTCTCCAGAGTTTGTATGTAAATCATACTTACTCAATCTAAACCACGCAGCATCATGCCAATTCATGCCAAATCATGTTATAAATATTACAAATCCATAAATATTCATGACTCATGAGATCTCATTCCACCTTTTTGGTGATTTTTTATCCACATGTTTGCTGGTTACTTGGGTCCATCTATCTGTTCGCCAAGGTTCTATGCACCCACTGCATGGCCGCGCGCTGGTCCTTTCTGGAATCCCATGGTGAAGTCACATGAAAATCGCAGTCATGTGGTATTAGGTTTAAAAAAAACATCATGAAACCAGCATTCACAAACTCTCCATTATGGTAGGTTTATGGTTTTAATATATTTTGATAATTCAATCCAGCATGATCCATCTCCATATCTTTCCAAATGACATCATGAAATGTATGTCAGACCTGGTATACTCAAAGATGCAAAACTGTATGAACATCTCTAGTGACACCCAGTGACCACTGTGGTTCGTATCGTTTCGAGTATATAGATCTTAGATGATCTTAGTTACATATTGATGAATATTATTGACACACACACATATATATAATTATATATATATCCCGATCCCGTTAATATCAACTAACATATCCCATGATAATGCATGACAATTATAGATATCTCAATCCCAATATCCCATGGTTCTTCCCATGGATTCAACCCAGCCATCACCGACGCCATCACCGACCTGGATCCCGTAGTTCCCGGTAGAGCCCATGGGATCCCGAGAACGGAGAGCTTCGGCGCCAGCGAAGCCTGGCGAATGGCATAGATCTCAGTCTGGCCATGCTTTAATGTTGGTTCATCATAATTAATAGTAATCAATAGTGATTGATAGGATTAATAGATATTAATAGTAATCAATAGTGATTTATAGGATTAATAGATATTAATAGTAATCAATAGTGATTTATAGGATTAATAGATATTAATAGCAATCAATAGTGAGTTTTAGGATTAATAGATATTAATAGTAATCAATAGTGATTTATAGGATTAATAGATATTAATAGTAATCAATAGTGATTGATAGGATTAATAGATATTAATAGTAATCAATAGTGATTTATAGGATTAATAGATATTAATAGTAATCAATAGTGATTGATAGGATTAATAGATATTAATAGTAATCAATAGTGATTTATAGGATTAATAGATATTAATAGTAATCAATAGTGATTTATAGGATTAATAGATATTAATAGTAATCAATAGTGATTTATAGGATTAATAGATATTAATAGCAATCAATAGTGATTTATAGGATTAATAGATATTAATAGTAATCAATAGTGATTTATAGGATTAATAGATATTAATAGTAATCAATAGTGATTTATAGGATTAATAGATATTAATAGCAATCAATAGTGATTTTTAGGATTAATAGATATTAATAGTAATCAATAGTGATTTATAGGATTAATAGATATTAATAGTAATCAATAGTGATTTATAGGATTAATAGATATTAATAGCAATCAATAGTGATTTTTAGGATTAATAGATATTAATAGTAATCAATAGTGATTTATAGGATTAATAGATATTAATAGTAATCAATAGTGATTTATAGGATTAATAGATATTAATAGAATCAATAGTGATTTATAGGATTAATAGATATTAATAGTAATCAATAGTGATTGATAGGATTAATAGATATTAATAGTAATCAATAGTGATTTATAGGATTAATAGATATTAATAGTAATCAATAGTGATTTATAGGATTAATAGATATTAATAGTAATCAATAGTGATTTATAGGATTAATAGATATTAATAGTAATCAATAGTGATTTATAGGATTAATAGATATTAATAGTAATCAATAGTGATTTATAGGATTAATAGATATTAATAGTAATCAATAGTGATTTATAGGATTAATAGATATTAATAGTAATCAATAGTGATTGATAGGATTAATAGATATTAATAGTAATCAATAGTGATTGATAGGATTAATAGATATTAATAGTAATCAATAGTGATTTATAGGATTAATAGATATTAATAGCAATCAATAGTGATTTTTAGGATTAATAGATATTAATAGTAATCAATAGTGATTTTTAGGATTAATAGATATTAATAGTAATCAATAGTGATTTATAGGATTAATAGATATTAATAGTAATCAATAGTGATTTATAGGATTAATAGATATTAATAGTAATCAATAGTGATTTATAGGATTAATAGATATTAATAGTAATCAATAGTGATTTATAGGATTAATAGATATTAATAGTAATCAATAGTGATTTATAGGATTAATAGATATTAATAGCAATCAATAGTGATTTATAGGATTAATAGATATTAATAGTAATCAATAGTGATTTATAGGATTAATAGATATTAATAGTAATCAATAGTGATTGATAGGATTAATAGATATTAATAGTAATCAATAGTGATTGATAGGATTAATAGATATTAATAGTAATCAATAGTGATTTATAGGATTAATAGATATTAATAGCAATGAATAGTGATATTAATAGTAATCAATAGTGATTTATAGGATTAATGGATATTAATAGTAATCAATAGTGATTTATAGGATTAATAGATATTAATAGTAATCAATAGTGATTTATAGGATTAATAGATATTAATAGTAATCAATAGTGATTTATAGGATTAATAGATATTAATAGCAATCAATAGTGATTTTTAGGATTAATAGATATTAATAGTAATCAATAGTGATTGATAGGATTAATAGATATTAATAGTAATCAATAGTGATTGATAGGATTAATAGATATTAATAGCAATCAATAGTGATTTTTAGGATTAATAGATATTAATAGTAATCAATAGTGATTTATAGGATTAATAGATATTAATAGTAATCAATAGTGATTTATAGGATTAATAGATATTAATAGCAATCAATAGTGATTTATAGGATTAATAGATATTAATAGTAATCAATAGTGATTTATAGGATTAATAGATATTAATAGTAATCAATAGTGATTGATAGGATTAATAGATATTAATAGTAATCAATAGTGATTGATAGGATTAATAGATATTAATAGTAATCAATAGTGATTGATAGGATTAATAGATATTAATAGTAATCAATAGTGATTTATAGGATTAATAGATATTAATAGCAATCAATAGTGATTTTTAGGATTAATAGATATTAATAGTAATCAATAGTGATTTTTAGGATTAATAGATATTAATAGTAATCAATAGTGATTTATAGGATTAATAGATATTAATAGCAATCAATAGTGATTTATAGGATTAATAGATATTAATAGTAATCAATAGTGATTGATAGGATTAATAGATATTAATAGTAATCAATAGTGATTTTTAGGATTAATAGATATTAATAGTAATCAATAGTGATTTATAGGATTAATAGATATTAATAGTACTCAATAGTGATTTACAGGATTAATAGATATTAATAGTAATCAATAGTGATTTATAGGATTAAAAGATATTAATAGTAATCAATAGTGATTTATAGGATTAATGGATATTAATAGTAATCAATAGCGATTTATAGTGATCTATGGTGTCTTTTTTAGTGATTAATACTACAGTAGGACCCCAAGAATTTCTGGATTCGTTTTCGTAAAACATGACATTGGCACGGACTCAACAAAAACTCAGAGCTGCTGATTCTATGGTTTCAAGCTTTCGATTTCTGTTTACATGTAAGAGAATATTTAGGGAGATAATCACATCCCCCTAATCTTAAACATCCCCCAAATGGTCCCAATGATGTGGAAATTCCCTAATAAACATTCCTAAATTCCATGGTTTCTAGTTTTTTTTAATATTGCGAGGAAGGGATTAAAATCCATGTGTCAATCATCGCATCTTCCGTTTCCGGGTGAGAGTGACAGCGACCAGTTGGACTTCCGAGACGCCCAGGATGCCCAAGCGATAGTTCACTGTCACGACGATCACCTCAACGCAGGATCAGGGCTGGCACGGTAAAGAATATTAAGCACCCAAAAAAAAGCGGAGCAGGTGCAATTTACCACTCTCAAAAAAAGGATAAGTTATGATAAGTTACTTTTCTATAATTTGGAGGATTGCAATACATGATTTTCCTGTATATTTCGATTCCTCTTCACATTGTCCAATCTACTTCTGCACAGCTGATCTTCGAGCCAGGTTGACTGACATCATTTAATCATACTCCGAATACTTGGCAGGTGAGATCTTGGCAAAATGCATAAGACCTGCTGGTTGGTGGTTTCAACCCCTCTGAAAAATATTAATCAGTTGGGAATTTCTTCAACCAGCCTGGTTTTGACTATTTGTCTGCTGACCAAAGAATACATTGCAACTAGCACCCATCACGGTGCCCCCAAGTTTCTTTGATTTTGCTTCTAATCGGTGTCTAGAAATGTGAGATGCACATGGATACATCACAATTTCATGGTTGATCATATTCTTCCATCTTAATATATCAAAAGAGCCCGTTTGCGGATATGTCCCGTTTCCTCACACAGCCACAGCCCTATCTTCAGTGCAACCAATCTGGGTATGACTCGAAATCATGGTGATGATCGACCCTCAAGTTGGAATGGCTAAACACAACCCCACATAGTATTGGTGATAACTTATACTCATATATATATAATATCCCAATATGTCAATAGGATCAAACACATATTGCGTCTATCTTTGCCACGCAAAATAACAAAATATAATCCTAAAAACCAAACTTCACATGGAAATGTCAATGTCACATAATCTAACTCATATATGCATATATTAATACAATATATGTAAAACAAAAACACAGGTTCATATGTTATATATACAGTAAATAGATGTTATATATATATATAACATTATATAAAACGCAATTTGTATGCATACATTTGTAAGGTTGCAATACATGCATATGTATATGTTCTATCTATATTTGCTAAGAATGACAATCCTTTTCTGACTCCGCAGCCTATCCAACTGTTTCGCACACCACCAAGTCACGCCAAACTGCTCGGCCAAACGTGTGCCGTTGAACATGCCCTTGGTGCCGCCGGTGACGTAGGAGCCACCGTGGATCCACAGCATCACGGTACCTGGCCAGGATGTTATTAGTGGTGATTAATAGTGATTAATAGTGATTAATAGTGGTTAATAGTGATTAATACCTGATCTAATGAAGAATATCTGGTTGGTGGTATAGCTACCCCTCTGAAAAATATGAAAGTCAGTTGGGAATATTCTTCCCAATATATGGAAAAATAAAAAAAATGTTCCAAACCACCAACCAAATGGTATGAGTCAAAACGTTGGTTCCCTTGTGAACCCAAAAATAGTTAAAAAAAGAGCTGAGATTTATGGATGTTCATCCCCCAAATATACGAATATAGGTTTTGATACATCCCCACATAATGTAACTGTAGCTAGTAGATGTTGATTATAGTTATAAACCAGACCAACACATGTTTTGGTAAAACCTATCATAAAGAAGTACCATTTGGGAATGGATTACAAAACCTACAAAAATGGTGATTTGGGGGATGATTTGTTATGTGGCTTACCACATTATATTGTCTGTTTGGCAACAAAAACATGAGAGATTCTCACAGTTCTTATTTGTAAAACAAGAAACATGTTGTTTTTTAACCAATGGCCATGAACAATGCAGAACATCATTTAGACCCTTTTTTGAAACATAAGCATTCAAAAACAAGCACCGTTCTTACGGCGGAATTGTCATCGTCCAACACAGCCGAGGGGCTGGAAAATCCCCCACTATAAATCACCAGTTCAACCTGTTGTTCCAAGCTATGCACTATTAAATATCTATAAATCACCATGGTCAAGGGGTGGGTTTTCAAAAAAAACAATGTTTACCCCCTTCACCAATCGTGGAAAGCCTTCATTTTAACATCCAAGACTTGTTGCTGGTTGCATCCCCATTGGCGGTGACAGAAGGGACATCTGGCTATGGATCAATAGCGATTGCCATTTTGAGGGGTTTGAACATCCAGTTATTCCATATGTTCCAGCTATTTTGATTTGAGAAGAGGATTCCATGGGATTTGGCCCATCCCCATCCCATCGTTTCCCTCGATTTCTTCACGGAGACCATTGCAGTTGCTCCACTGCACCGAGCTACACGATGCATTGGAGCTGCCATGGCATTTCTGCGGGCTCCAAACGTTCAAATAGAGACAATCCTCACTACCTGAGATACCCCAAGTTGGCTGATTTTTGGACAGTTTTCTTGCAACGACGTGCATTTTTGGCTCAAACTTCTGTATGAAATACAATCCTACGATGTGTAGATATCTAATCTTTACATTGTCATCTTTATTGGAAAAGAAATTTAGCACATTCTGCCATGATAACAAACAACACCATTCACCTTACCCAAGGACCAAAACAATTGGTTCGCCGCGTTGAAGCACAGTTGCCAGCTCCACGACCGTGGCTCCAACTGGCTGCCCTTTATAGAAATCCCATTGAAAATATCATGGCGATTTTGGGTGTGAAATCAAATGGGGATTCCTGGCAAATCCATATATGGCAAATTGAAGGATATTACATGATATTAGACATATTTATATCAAATATTGGATGATATTGGATCTTCATGAACATATATATATATATGGCAAATCAGCCCAAATCCGGGTAAAACTATTTGTAAAACTGTCCAACATGGAAGATGGATACGATACCTGTTACGGATAGCCTTATCCCACCATCCCTGGTTATCCCTGCAACCATGGATCCGATGATGCTGCGTCCCTTGACCTATACCGGGGGCACTCAAAACGTGGGTCTGATGGAGTCATCGAAACGAAGGCAGGGCCTAAGACCCTAAGATTCTAATGAATTTTAATGGATTTTAATGGATTTAATGTTTCTTTTCTTTATATATTGAAGTTTAATGGTTTTCTAATGAAGTTTCATGGCTTTCAATGAATTCGAATGAATCCCTGGCAGGTTGATGAGCACCGGGAATACCAGGATCCTGCAAGTTCATGATGCAACATTTCCCCATGGCGAACCGCAAATTCCACAGAAAATGCATGAAACTTCAATCAATTTGTACGTCATATCATATAAACATTGTGTCAATTATCAATACTTGTAATATAAACACATATAACCACAATTAACCACATATAAACACTTCAATCTATTTCTCCAAGTACCCTGCAATATACCCGGCACTGCTTAGTTTCTCACGGCTTTCAGCCGCGGACCCCGACCCTCAATTTACCAAAGATGATGTTACCTGTGTGCTGAAAATATGGAGTAAATACAAAAAAATCTTGGTCAACTGTGTGTGTAGTTCCAGCTATAGGTGGATATAATATATATATATGTATATACACAGTTACAATGCTTCAGAGGTTCCATACCAACTTACAGGAGTTATCAACCTGGCTATACCATTAATCATTATTAACCACTATTTACCATTATGAACCCATTCATTAAGCCATATCAATCAACTCCTAAGCCCCACACCTGCATGCAGTTGCTCCCGAAGGTGCGGGCACTTCGTACCATACTCCAGGGAGTCAATGCTTGAGGCGGTCGCCAACGAAGGTCGTCCACTGGTGCTGAGGCATAGGGAAGACCTCGGGCTCCACATCGGCGTGTCGCGTCCAAGTCGCAGAAGGGCGGGCTTGGGTCGAAGGGATGGCCATGGAGTCTGTGCAAATCCTTTCCTGTTTATTTATATATATATACATATATATATATATACATACATTTATATATAATATACATATCATATATATATATATATACATATATATATATACATACATATCAATGTATATCATACATATTCTAGATGAAATAGCCATATCCATCAACCAACCGGGTTTCTGGGCACGTTTCCTGAGACACATCAGGATTTTATTTGGTGAAAAATCGAAGCTTAGTAGATTTCCGATCTTCTTAGTGGTGACTCACTCAAGTCCAATTCTTCAGCTACCCAATTTGGACCCAGACCCCAACGTTTGCAATTGTTGGATGAGTTCCTCCTGTTTTGAATATATTTTCGGGATGGGTAAAGAGACAAAATCACGATTTCCCCTTGTGCCATTCACTGATAAGTTGCTCAATTTCACCCGAGGATGCCGCACTTGGAGATTTATGGCACACTGGGCTCAAAGCCGGGTTGCCGAGGAATTGACAAACGCCGCCATGGCAGAAGCCTTGCACCGGGCCCTCTGCCAAATGCCTCACTTCTCCTGAAGGGATGCGATTTAACCTTCGGTTCATCAAGTGGTTCTGGAGGAAAAATAATAAAACGGGTCATACATGATAATAATAGCATTTTGGGTGTATCAACTTCAACCATTTTGGATCCAGATGGTCTTTTTTGGAATGACCATATTAATAAATTGGCTGATCGGCTCGAATTCAAATATACCAATTTTGGGATATCCCCCATGTTTATCCAACTGTTTGGACAAACTCATGCAGTATGCAATGCACTAGAGATTCAATTTGTATAATATATATATATACAATCCAATCCGGAAGTTGAAAACGTTGAAATCACCAACCAACTTGACAATTCGAAGACCGATATGGTCATTGGTTGGTGTTCGACATGACTCAACAACATTTCTGGTTGGTTCCCAGCTCCCCTGCTAAAAGTTTAACTGTTTAATTGCTCGCGGGGATGTATACATCACCACTATCCCCAAAATGCTGAGAAATTGAAGGAAATGTTTTGGAAACGCCATGCTTTGTGGTGGTCAATTCGCAAGTTGAGCAAGTTAACTGGCACTGTAACTAACTGTGATACATCTGCGTTGTTGATTTTGGTTGGAAAGTATCATCCAGCGTTTCCAGTCAGAAACCATCCGACATGGGCTCCCTGAACTGTGCAGATCACCATCAGCCACCAGCCGTCTCTCCTGCCGTGGCTGCATGGCCTACCACAAGTGTTTCCCAGAAGCGCACCGCCAGGGACGCTCCCATAGCTGCAGTCTCTTGCTGCACCCCAAAACTTCCCTGTTCAGCTGAACCAGAGAAGCATGAAACAAAACACCAGTGGCATCGAGTGGCAAACGCCCCAGATTTTGACAAAACTGAAGCCGGTTGATTCCACGACATGATTACCAGCCGTTTACCACTTGATGACCAGCTGTTTACACCCTAGGTTTTTTGGTGGATCTGAAACCTGTCATCCGGAGATCACCTTGAAAAATCATCATGATCTCCAAGTCACCATGGGTTTCAATATTTCAGTGGTCTCATTTTAGATGATTTAGGATACCCTCTGGTTATGTCAAAACAGCTATTGAAAATGACCATTAATAGTGGATTTTCCCATTAAAAATGGTGATTTTCAATAGCTATGTTAAATTACCAGAGGGTAATTTGGGGATACCACCTCATTTTTGGAAACCTCCATATAGATATGAAAGCTCAACTGATTTTGTTCATTTTCCTATCAGTTTATACTTTTGATCTTTTTAACACTTAATATATCATAAATCTGGTTGGTGGTTTTAACCATCTTGAAAAATATTGGTCAGTTGGGATGATTATTCCCAACTATTGGGGAAAATAAAAAATGATCCAAACCACCAACCACCCATCAACTATCAACGGGCCATTTTCAATAACTATGTTAGTTTACCAAAGGGTACATCATAAAAAAAACTATGATATATACATGATAATATGTAAGTTTACCAAACTATGTAAGTTTACCAAAGGGGCCATCAACTATCATATATCATATATACATATCATCATGTACCAAAGGGTACTATGATCCCCCCTTTCTTCAGTCTTCCCATCCACATCCGGGATGTGAGGCTTGGACTGAAGCAGCTTGGGCTTCTGCCCCGGCAAACAGCGGGAGGTCCATTCCACGCTGACGCAGAGCCTGCCGTCCTGAGACATGTGGACGTTCACATAGGGAATTAAGCATTAATCATCTTGCTGGTGCTAAGCGAAGGGAATGGATGGGTTGCTGGGGGTTGCTGGGACTGTGACATTGATAGTTAGCCAGTGGATCATTCCCGAAAATTCCCTACGTTTAGCACAAGTACGTCATTCAGCATGGGAAAATGATGGATAATGTACAAGAGACTGATGCGTATATTCTGCATATATTCTACAATACGCAAAGATCGGATGTCTACCAGCAAGAAATACCTGTTTATCGTCGGCCAAAAGGCTTTGCACCAGGGAAATTCAGTGATACTTGAGAATCGCCTGCCTCAAGAGTATTCAGAATTGTCCTCCAAACCCTTATACGGTCTGAACATCCGAAGACACAGCGCAAGACAGTGACATTTCATGGTCAAGTTTCTGGTGAAGCAATGTCGGGATGCAAAAAGGCTGCTTAATATGAATCGATTCACTCCCAAAAAAACAGTGCTTTGTCAATATCCACGTTGAGGACACATAAAATTCGATATCTACAAACTTACTGTTCAAGGCCTAGTTATAACTGCCAAAGTTGGATCAATGAGCTCCCAAGTCATAGCCAATCCTCTGCAAAGTGAAGTTCACTGAATGATGAGACTCAGGTGGATTTGGGCTTGTCTGAAAATGGGGCCCCATGGCCCGATGGTTTCTCATCATTTTCCTGACTAAAACGGGTATCCACACATGTGAATATGTGAGTAAATAATCATGCTATATATGTATATATATATATATATGTGTATGTATGTATGTATGAATGTATGTATGTATGTACGTATGTACGAATGTACGAATGTACGAATGTACACATGTATGTATGTATGTATGTATGTACGTAATGTAATGTAATGTACTGTAATTTAATGTAGTGTAATGTATGTAATGTATGTCATGTATGTAATGTAATGTACTGTAATGTAGTGTACTGTAATGTAATGTAATGTACTGTACTGTAATGTAATGCAATGTAATGTAATGTAATGTATGTCAATTATATTCATTCCAGTGATTCATTATGTTATATTCTATACATACTGTGGATGGTTGCGAAATCCTGCACCACCAAAAGGATGGTTGAGACCCCAACAAAAATCCTGGGATTTTTACCACCTATCAGCTGGGTGCAGGTCCTTGCCAACCACCAGGTTGATACTGGGCCCCTTGGAATCTTCGATGGTCAAGGGTGGGACCTGAGCTTTAGACGCAGGTGGCGTGGCGGCGAAACTTTGAAACCCCCGAAGTGGAGATTTTCCATGGCAAACTACGTCTGATAGATTGAAAAAAATGACTGTTCTTTGGCTGGTGAGATGTCTGGGGTTAGCCATGAAACCGCAAATTGATGACACGGTCATTTTATTGATTGCATGAATAACATCAAAATTACATACACCCGAGGAGACAACACCTCGCTTCGTCGACGAGGAAGACTGGCCACAAATGTGGCCGCAGTGGCCAATGCACACGAAACTGTACAAGACTGGAATACTTCGGTTGTATAATTATGTAATATATGTGGAACCTCTTCAGCTATATATGGGTTATAAACATTTATAAACCAGGTTGAGTACCCGCAGATTGCAAAGGACTTTCGTATCTTCTGCGATTACCGTCCTGGTCAAAACTGGGCTTTTGGCTGCGAAGAAGGGAATGCTTGCAGCAGAGACGTCATTCATGGTGATGTTGCGGGTACGACTCAGATGAAGCAACCGAGTCGTTTTGGGTCCCGCAGTCACCATCTGGATGTGCAGGGCTAAGATGTTCGATGTGTTCATTCATCTTCAACCCAATTGGCAAGAATGAAGATGGAAAATATCATGGGACCATGGGATATCCTCTGGTAAACATACAAAAAACTATGGAAAATCACCATTTATAGTGAGTTTTCCCATGAAAAATGATGATTTTCCATTGTTTTTTGTATGTTTACCAGGCCGGGTATCTCAAAATTTGATGGAGACCGTGGAGACGCTTCAGTGCACAATGGTGCACAAAAGATGACATGTCGCATGACAAAGCAGCAACAAATACCCAACAAAACAGCATTTTTGTGGTCATTATATTGGTCATAGCATGTTGTGGTGATTTGTGGTCATAGATTCTTTGTAAAATGAAATCAATATTTCCCACATGGTGATTTGTGATGATTTGTGGTCATAGCATGTTGCATATCTCAGGCATCGGTGTTTCTCATGGCTTGATAAGCTGACCTGGACACCGCAGCTGCACTGAATTTCTCATCCCCGGGATCCATGAACAAACAGACATAGGTTTGTCCATAGGGTCCCCAGAATTTCATGTTCATCATCACTTTTCCCCATTCAAACTACATGAGTCTCTGGTTGGTAGTATACCTACCCCTCGGAAAAATATGAAAGTCAGTTGGGATTATTCCCAATATACGGAAAAATAAAAAAATGTTCCAAACCACTAACTAGGTCTCATTTGTTTAGTGCTCATCCCCCACTTACGCCCTGGACCCGCCTAACTGCTATGCGCAATATTGCGAAATCCGCCAAGGCACATCTCTGCATGGAGGTAAGGCAAATTGTAGACCAAGCGACAGGGACCGTACCTTGGAGCTACCCCTGGCATCCCCTGGCTGCACTTAGCTAAGCCCATCCCCATGAATTTCATGAAATTTAATGATAGCTAAACCCAAACTATCCCCGCCTTTGGCTAATTCATCCTGATTGTTCATGGTTGTTCTAGATTGCACGGGGGTTCCCAGTTGATTTGGATGGTTTACCCAAATTTGATGGTTAAATCCCGTTCTTGACCTCCGTGTTTGATGGCTAGCCGCTTTTGATGGATATTGATGGCTAATTGCCCAGTACGGAGCAATTTCTGCTGGATAAATTGCACTAATTATATCCCCAGTATATCTCATGATATTCCCGTTAAACAATTTCCCAACCTTGGTTTGTGCTACCTTCTGGCAATTGAACAGTTTGCTATGGACAACAGCTGGCGCCAAGCGACTCTGCTGGCTGGCAATAGATGGAACTTCCTGCCAGCTGATAGTCCTGCTGAGGCAGAGCCATGTTTCAAGCCCGCGGTTGAAATAGTAGGGTAGCTATGGGTAGGCTTAGTCCACTTCTTATTGGGGTATACCTGGGGTTACTCATAACCCACTTACTAACTGGGTTAATGCACGAAGTATGACAATGTTGTTTTTTTGGTACACTTAAGGTGAATCTATCGAGGCGAAATCGAATGTTTCAATGACACATGAACGTCAGGGAACATCATCTTCCCACCTTTTTTTGGGATGGAACATACGACACGATGAGGCATTGATAAATACTAATAAATAGTATATTGCATAATTATTTGTTGTCATAATCATAACATGTCATATACTGCATAATATATAAATATATATATATATTATAATATAAATATATATATATACATGGTGGTTGATCTAAATTATTTCATCCGGAAACGGCCATTCTTTGCAAAATAAGTTGCTACTTTCGCGAAACTCTCGCGAACTCCATGTTTATCCTTCGCGGGACCCATGTGGGGCAACAATGCCTCGTATGAAGGCTCAGTCACTACCTGCCAAATTATCACAAATTACTTCATGATAGCCTTGTAAACATGAAGCCATCACAGAATCCCTTCTCTGGATAGATTGCTGCTTGTTGAGTATGTATATACATATATACATTATATATATATATATATACCTAGGAACTCCAAAAGGACATAATTTCAGCCTGAAGAGGAAAAACAAACTTTTAGGGTCTCAGACTGAAATTTCGGTCTGAGGGTGATCCCAGGCTATTTTCTGATTTTGGATCTCAACCTGAATTTGGAAAGAAATCAGGCTCAAACCAGGGAAGAACTCAAGAACTACTTGGTCATCCCGATGCTTACCGTATCGTGTTCTCGTCTGGTAGAATTAGATCAAGCAATAAGCTCAATAATTAAGAATCCAAAAAGTTACCAGACTGTGGAACGCTGGACGTGTATTGGTGGTAAAAGAATGTAAAAGACATATTTTGCAAGCTTTGCACCGGTTCATGACGCATCTTATTTCCACTATATTGGTTTTGAGACCCTGCAATTTCAAGCTTGATTTAGAATTGCAAACCTGAATTTATGAAAAATCGGGCTGAATTTGGTCAACGACCAAAAAAAATCATGAACAATTCGGGCAAAAAATCACACTGATCGGGCAAAAAATCGCACTAATCGGGCAAAAAATGCCGAAACTCATTTTTTCAGATTTTTCGTGATTTTTCTTGCAGTTCAACTCCTAAATGTTCATGTTTTTTGGGAATTCAAACCATGCTTGAGTTATATATACCTATCACCATGTCACAGAATCATCTTTGAATACGAAGTTATAGTTTGGGGATGGAAACCAGTCAGATTTACTCAGTTATCAGCTAACGCACTGCTGCTTTGTGCTTCTGACATTGCTAATTTGCAGGAAAGTTGCATGATATTATGGGACAGTTTCTTCTGGGATTTCTCAATTATGCACCCCCTTATCCATGCCATTCAATATGTGAAATTGATTTCAATACCATTGAACCAGCATTTTGTGCGCAAAGTGCCTCGGGCTATTTTTTTTGTTCGGGCTAAAAATATTGGTTCAGGCTAAATATTCAGCCTGAATGCATTCAGACCATTATTATGGCCTGAGGATTCCGTAGGTATATATACTTGAGGTCAGGGGGGGGTACGAACGCTAGCAGGGCTGGGGTAGGGTGGTAATCGTAAAGGGAGATTAGCAAGGTGAAGTCGGAATGCGGCAACGGGCTGTTGTAGGGTTGCAAAATCTATTGAGAAACTCACCAATGCAGTAATCGTCTCTCGACAAGTGTTGTAAGCAAAAGAAACGCAATATCAAGAAAAACGCACCCCAAATGGAAGCCCGAATCTGCATAAAGATGTTCGAGACAAAGCAACATATGTATGATGATGATAGGGATGATGATGAGGATGATGCTGTTGTTGTTGTTGATGATGATGATGATGCTGATGATGATGATGAGGATTTTATTGATGATGATGATGATGGTGATGATGATGATGATGATGATGTGGATGTGGATGCTGCGGATGATGGGGGTGATGATGATGATGATGATGATGATGATGATAATGAGGATGAGGATGAAGAGGGTGAGGATGAAGATGAAAATGAGGATGATGACCCCCTACCAGCTGGAAATCTCGGGGGGGGCTCGGGGGGGACTCAGGGGGGATCGAACCTGGGCCTGCGGGGGAGGGTCTAACTGGAAAGTTTCAGGGTTTCCAATAGTCCTGCTCCCTGCCTATTCCTTGCTAAAGCAAGAGCAACTTCAGCTAGCACAGCTTTCGTGATATATATATATAATAATATAAATATATATGTATATATATATATATATTTTTAATCATATATAAGGCTTACTGGGTCACCCCCTTCGAAATGCACTTTCACATTCGCCTGCTTCTTCGCATAATGTAACTTTCGCGGAACTTCCCTATAACAAGTGCAGCAATAATAATGATGTTTCCAAATTGATATATATATATATAGAACTTGAGGGATCGAAACATCACACAAATGGTTATCGCAAGCATAATTCTTCATAAGGATCTTTGGATCAACCACCATATGCTATAAGAACTTTGATTTCATGATCTATGGTGCATTTCAAACATTAGGCCCTAGGCACCAGGCCCGTGTGGGCCCTGGGACAGCAGCAAAACTGCCTGGGCCAAGCTATAATCTTTCAATTTAATGGAACAATTACATCGAAACGATGAGGACAAAATTCTTTCTACTTATAAATATGTACAAGCTGAAGAAACTAGAGTATGACAATTCATCCATGTATCTATCCATGTATGAATGTATGCATCAATGCACAAATGTGTATATATATATATTATATCCAAATATGTATATATATATAAGAAGTATAAACATAAATAAAGGTGTAGGTATCAATTATGCGTTCTTTTCAAATTATATATATGCAGTATAATTCCAAAGCACTTCGCCACAACAGGTTGACGCCTCATCGGTAGATCCAGCTGGACGGCAATCGACCACTACGCTGTGATCCTGGCAGTGGGCCAACGTGAGTAATTACAGCCCCAAATTCAATCTGAAACCCCAAAAACTGGGGTCTGGAAAATGTTGCTTTGATAACTTTGATATGCTTTTGGTTGATATATGATATATGAATATATATGATATGTCCAATTTTGGGGGTTCCATCTGAAATTCGGGGGTAAAACATGGTAAATGGTTCCAATTCCAAGGCTTGGTGTTTTTTTTCATGTTTTTTCGCCATCAATTCCAGCACCCCTTTTCCCTTCACCATATGGTTGCTCCCACGGCCCTCAGTGACTTGCTTGGAATCAGCACTGCTATTTGCTCGCCAGGTTCCAACTGTTCCGCTGACTGATCTAAGCGTCTGTACATGTCAATGGAGATTGACTGCTTGGTGGACCGTGTACCAGCTTACCAATTTGGTCTGTCAACGGAGTCAACGGTCTCGCCTTGTGCTGACCTTTACTCTCTTGCGCTGTAACAAAGAACCATGCGATGAGGTCCAGCAAAGATGTGGCCGATGTGGCCCTCAGAAGCTGGAAGATCTGTCACAAGCACCAAGGTTCCGCGGTGATTTGAGTCGCCTCGTAGGTCACTCATCTGAGTCTTCAAGTCCAGCACGCTTTGAAACTTTAGGATCTTCAGCTTGTAGTCAAGCAGCTCTGCAAGTATCTTGACACAGGCCTCATTGATGGACCCTTCAACTTCTGCAACCCCACAACAGGACAAGCGCAACTGCACCTGCACCATCTGAGAGACCTCCGGGTACTGGAGCGCTGCAAACTCACATGGCTCCTCTTCAATTTTGTTCAAGAGGCTTCGCAAGGATGCCAAGCCTTCTTGGGGGTTCCAGTCCAAGGATAGCAACGAGTGTGACACATTTCGCCAAAGAAGATTCGGAGACAAATCATTCAGCTGGAGGGAACTTTGCGAGTGACGATCAAACCCGCCTGGCCAGGCATCACCAATGAGCCCACCTCCATCCACGAAACCACTCTGCGCCCTTTTGAGAAGTACGATGGGTGTTGCTGCTGAGACCATCGAGGTGGCTGCACCACGAGCAAGCTCCAGCCAATGCTGGAAAACACTGTGCTTGAAGGTCTTGAGTCCAGGGTCAAAACATTGAAGCTCTGCTAGATTCAGCATCCCCCACTGCTCGCCCAAAGCAGTCAGCTTCCCAAAGATCCGAACAAAATGCACTCCACCGCGTTCATGGAGGACCGATCCACTGAGGACCTCATGGACCAGGCGCTCAGCTCTGTCTGCAGTGACTGCCGGTGCGCTTTTTGCGGTCCAGGCCCTGTCGAAATCTGGCGCCCTTGGATAAAACTTGTTGATCCGCATGGCTTCCAGAAATTTGCCCGTATCTGGGAATGTGTGCAGCCAAGCTCCCATATCCCCGTGTTTGATCACAAGTGAATCAAAATCACCCAGCTGCAGTTGAAGGTCCATCAATGGCTCAGCTTCTGAGTAGAAGAGGAGGCGAGACGAAGGACAAGACCTTGACATTGGTCCATGCGGATTACAAAGGATTTTCTCAAGATCTGCCAACGTTCCACATGTTCCACCAGGCAACAGGAAGCCACAAACATTTTGGCCACTGAATGAATTCGTGATGGTCACAGAGAGGTCGCCATTGTCCAATGGGCTGGGTAACAATGACGCAGCGAGCACAGTTGCCATGATCCAAATATGCTGCACAGGGACCATTGGGTAACCATGCCAAAAACGACACCATCAAAATCATGTTTCGAACCCTTCCCTATCTAACCCCCCAACTCTTGTGGTCGTTGAATGACAGGAAGACGGCCATCGAGATACAACAAAACAGCAAAGTATCCTTAAGATCATTTTGGATTGCCAAAAAGGCCATGTGGAGGTTTCCTAAGTCATGGATAGTCATGGGGGTATACCGGTATACCTCAAAATCATCCAAGTGAGACCATGACTTCGTCTTGAAACAGCCATGATGGCGGGGCAACTCCCAACGGCCCGGCTGGTCCGGCCGACCTTGTCCGAATCGTTCTTGTTCTGCTTGGCAAAGAGGCCGCACTTCAACAGGATGCAAGGCCTCAACAACAGATGAAGCCACCCGGGGATGTTCAGCTCGAACAAATGGATGGCAATACATGGTAGTAACTGGTAGTACACCCATGACGTGAGACTTTTGACCAGTTGCATGGGTATTTGGAGGGTCTAAGTACCACTAAATTGCCACTTATATAGTTTTTCGAGCGAGGACATGGCCGTCTTGGCACACTTCCATGTACAGTAATCAATTCACATGAACTCATGTTCCTTTCCAAAGATTGCCAGCAACACTTCTACTAGCGAAGGGTTTAAGTCACATCAGTTGGGCAGAAGTCACATCAACCCCATGTAACGGGGAGTTGGAAGAAAGTCACATCAACTGGGCAAAAGTCACATCATGTCACATCAAAATATCAAAATCCCAATGGCACACCGGCTTTCAAGGAATGTTGTTATATCTCCAAAAATGAAGAAAACGTTGCGCACACTGAGGTATTCACATATGTTTAAACTATGTTTTCAAAGGATATATTTAGGAATCACCATGGCACACGGCCTCCCAGATCTTTAACTTTGTTTCCTAAACAAACATAGATTTCCATGTAATAGCTATGGGCAACATCATCATATCAACAACGTTAAAATCTGAAAACCCAGTGGCACACCGCTGTCAACATCCGCTTCCGCTTGAATGTTTCATAAGTTCTGCCTTCTGTAAACATTCCCTCTCTCTGCTGGCGTCTCCCGCCCGTATCTCCCGCCAGCGCCAAACAAGGCGACCGAGACTGTAATTTTCTTTTTCGGCAAAATGTCTGCACCAGCGGCGGCAGCAGCAGCAGCAGGAGGAAGCAGCAGCAGCAGCAGGAGGAGGAAGCAGCAGCAGGAGGGGGAGGAAGCAGCAGCAGCAGCAGCAGGAGGCAGCAGCAGCAGCAGGAGGCAGCAGCAGCAGGAGGAAGCAGCAGCAGCAGCAGCAGGCGGAAGCAGCAGCAGTAGCAGGAGGCAGCAGCAGCAGCAGCAGGAGGCAGCAGCAGGAGGCAGCAGCAGCAGAAGGAAGCCGCAGCCGCAGCAGCAGCAGGAGGCAGCAGCAACAGCAGCAGGAGGCAGCAGCAACAGCAGCAGCAACAGCAGCAGCAGCAGGAGGCAGCAGCAAGGAGCAGCAAGCAAGCAGCAAGCAAGCAGAAAGCAAGCAGAAAGCAGCAACCAGCGTTTGCCCCGTTGAAAGAATAATGAAATATAATAAGTTTTATAAATCAACGCAATACAAAAATTGAACTTTTTCTAGGCGCACGGCCCCAAAACAATGAAATCGTCCAATTACTAAAAGTTGTGGTGATGCCAAACTTGAACTTTTCCAGGCGCACGGCCTCCCGATACAACTTCTACGAGCTGATACGACTTAACGCTAGGGCTAGTAGGGTCAAATAGAATCATGTCAACAGAACATTGCGCACAGCGATGAAAAAGTGTTTGAATCAATAAACCATCAAATAAAGAACTATCAAAATCTATACGAAACACTGCGCGCACGCAGGTGTGATACGACTTCAGGTCGATTGATACGACTTAAGCCTAGTGGTAGTACAGACAAAAGAGACCCCGTTGAAATAAACGACCTTCTGGAGTTTGCCCAGCCAAGTCAACATCATCACTTCCTGCTTACTCCTCTCTCAAAAATCTGGATAAGTTATACTAATTCAGCATTCCCAGGGTTGGAAGAGTTACCCCAATGCATTCACCATTTCGTCGTAGCTCTTCCAGCTGGACAGTCGCCTGATCTAAACCGACAACAGCGACTAATCCGTTTACAGATTCTAGTCGAATCACGTCGAATCCATGCCAAGAACATTCATGACTATTGCCAACTTGGGCATGCTCAAAGAATTGACCCCCCATTTGGGATGGATAAACAGCTTTAAAAAAGAGCCTCCATGACTCCATGAAAAGAACACCACTAATAACACCATAGATTTCCCCATGTTAGATGGTTGAATAATGTTAAATCACAATTCACTTCATTCCAGATCAGAGGAATTGAAGTTCAACCATGTTAAATCACCATTTAGTTCATTCCAAATCATTGAATATCAATAAGGGAGGATATTCCAACTCCAGTCAAATAACCATGAAATAACCATGGTTTTTTATAACCAGCATATCCTCCCTTTCCGAAGCGGGCGTTCCGGCGTGTGGAGGAAGCGTCCAAAACGTCCATCTGGGATGGGGACCTCGGTTTGAAACTCGAAACAATTCTTGGCAATTCCGGAAACAGATATGGAATGCTAAGAGGAAATGCTAGCAACATGATCATTTGAGTTGGACATTTCTCAATTTATGGTAATTCTATGTAATTCTAGGATATTTTAGGAGGAAATGGCAATTTCAGTATGGAAATGGGAGAAAAACGATAGGACAATGATAGGCACCTACAGGTACCCCCACTGGATTTGTAAGAAACTGATGTGTCATCCACTGAGTCTCCACCCCAACTCATGGTAGGAAAATCTAGGGCGCGGACCAATTCTGACACCAGCATCGGTGGAGGTCGCAGGGGTGTTAGCAGCGGACTACTGTGGAAGGGATCCTTGGTTGGATGGTATGAACCGTCCATAGATATGGGGGACACCTGCCAAGGGGCCACTCAGCTTGGCAAAAAACACTTAAAACTACATGTTGGAGCTTGAGTTCGGACAGTGATTGCCCATAGTCACCAGTTCAGATCGTTTTTTTTGCCGCAATTGAACTTGTGATCCGTGCCATCATAGACTGGCATTTTGGGGCACTTAAGGACTGAGGCTATCAATTGATATCCAATATAAAATATGTACAATGTATATTATAATATTTGTATACAATATCTACCGAAATCGCTGGCTGCCAGCACGTTCAAAGGGGTTCCTAATGAATTTCAAGAATTGAGATTCTTAAGGGGTGCCTAATGGACACCCCTTAGCGTTCATGGAGATGGCACCAACCCAAAATCTTCCAATCCCACCCGTGTGGCATCTGTGGTGCACCCGACTTCATTTTTGGCGTGAAGAAATGCATGCGTTTCTTTTTGCGTCAGATGTAAAATGTTCCCAATTTTCAAGAAAACTAGTCACAATCGACACGAAATGACACGCGCAGGGGTTGTTCAAAAAGCAACCGACACGTTTCTAAGGGGTGCTTATTAGACACCCGTTTGCCTAAGGGGTGCTTATTGGACACCCCCTACCGACCGACACGACACGGCAGTGACACGCAATGACACGCATGTTTTTCTTGATTTCTCGAAAAAAACTCATGACCACTTATGACCGACACGACACGGCAATGACACGAAATGACACGCATTTCTGGATGCAAACGTGCGGAAATCGAAGAAAAATGCACATATTACTATGAATACATCATTATCTGTTAGTTTGGAACCTTAAAAATTAAGGGGTGCCTAATGGTTACCCGGTGCCTAATTGAGACCCGTTTGTACATCCTGGTGATCATGGTCATTCTGATGGGCAAATTCCGCATCAGCATCTGTGCTGAATGACCCCGACCGTTCGAACGGTGAAACTCTCAGGAAAATGTTCGAAATCCTGACGTCGTCCCATGTCGTCCAATGAACCACCATTTCGTTGGTTCATGTTGGTTATATCATGTTATATCCACATGAAATCCCCATTGTAATTGGTTGAATCACCATTTTCCCCGGTGAAATCCTATCATTGTTTCGTTCAACCTATCGGTGAAACCGCAGATGAGATCCCAACACTCCACCGTAAGGGATGCGATGGGTCCAACCTCAAGGCCCAAATTATAGCGGCTTTGGGACATGTCGGGTGAGCCATGGCAGTGAAACCCCATGGTTACAGGAAGGCTTACCCTCTGGTTATGTCAAAATAGCTATTGAAAATGACCATAGAAATAGTTGATTTTCCTATTAAAAATGGTGATTTTCAATAGCTATGTTAAATTACAGGAAGGCTTATTTCGTTTGAAATTCCGAAGGGCAGCATGCGAGGTACTCTGAAGAGAAGGATCGATGCGTCTCGGACGATTACTGTACTGTGGTTGGCCGAAAAATAAACCTACCATTTAAGGGGATGGTTTATACCAGCTATGGCAACTGTTGGGATGGTTTATTATTCGGTTTACCACATTGCCCGGGTCAAATGGGTCGATTGTCCTTCCTTGAGCCATGTGGGTTGGTCACACCCGAAGACAGGAGGCTATGTACTGTACTCATTATTTGCATGGCTTCAGGTTTTGAACCAGTTGTCAATGATCACCAGGCTAGCCTCATGGTTGTTTGATGCATATTCCCATCATTACCCTTGAACACCATATTTTTGCGCCACTTTCTTGTTGCATCATCAAAGATTTTCCTAGTTGGGAACTGTGTTGCAAAAACCATACAAGGCCAGAATTGTAATTATCAGTTAGTCAATGTTGGTCACCATCTTCCGTCTGGTAGTTTAACATAATTTCAGATAGCTATGGACAATTCGCATTTCTAAAAAAAAAGGCCGTGGCTTCTAGAGCAAACTCTTCCATTTCCAGAGGCTTTTCCAACCAACACAACTCCTTCCAACCAGGGGCGTTTCCACCGCTGCCATCCAAAGGGCTTCAAGCGTTGCCAGTCGGGTTCCGGCAGATTCTCCACCGCACAGCGCACCACTACGGAGATGCGATGCATGCAGTGGGGCTTCAACCTGACCACGTTTAAACAAGTGGAAGACGAACATGGCAGTACCGAAATGTTGGCTTTAAAAGTATCTATGTGATCTCTATGTATTGGATATACACTATACAATGTATATATATAAGGCGTCGTGCTATATTTACATATGAACTGCATAGATGCATACTGTATCTGTCTTTATGTATATGATATGAATATATGTTTGCATGTACAAGGAAACTGTGGATATGCCTAGCTGGTTGGTGATTTCAGCACACCTACGAGGATAAATTGGTCATTGGATTACACATACGGACATCTCAAGCATTATCAAGCTGGATATTGGACATATGCGCACCATTGTGCCCACCCTTGAAATCGGTTTTTAAAAGCGTGCCGCCCAGAAGAAAAAAAGAAGCCGAGCCGATACCTGGAGCTGATTCGTCTGCAAAGCACCAAAAGACTGATTGGAAGCGCCAGAGGGTGCAACGAATCACCCCATGCCCAGCTCCTTCCGCCCAAAATGTTGGTTGCGCAACTCCCAACATCATGGTACTTCAATCTGCCCAAACTGTATCTTTCATGCTTAAATCGCCATTTTCGCAGGTGACAATTTCTATAGTAAGGGACACATACTTAGAACATCATTTTTCCCATTTTTTTCAATCCCTTACTTAGAACATAAACCGACACTATACTTTCAGTAAAACATGGGAAAATGTTCTAAGTGCGAACTTAGAACATCCAGAGGACACATACTTAGAACATCTCCATTGATTTTTGCATACTTAGAACAAAAAAACAGACCATATACTTCGAACATTTCCATTGACTTTTGTAAATCTGCATGTATACACACAAATACCTTTGTGAACACCACACTTAGAACACTTTCTCCCCTCGCTGCTGCTGAAAAAAATGCCTTTTCTTCCGGAACAACATCCCAAGCAATCTTTGCTGCAATGGGAAAGGTCTCTGGAGATTGCCCCTAGCCTATTAGTTTATATATAGTGTATAGTATCTCTGCGGGACAAACACTTCGAATATATATGTATAAATATATATATATATGATTCCCATTGGTTCTCAATGGGATGTTCTAAGTATATATGTTGGATATGTTCTAAGTATATGTTTTTTTTCCTTCTGTTCTAAGTGGCGATGTGAAGGCTTATTTTTTCCAAATGATGTTCTAAGTATTTGTCCGCCACCATAAAATTACCTGCAATCTTTAAGAGTATTGTTAAATATATCCCTTTGAAATTGAACCCTATTTTTCTATAGTTTTGTTGGTTAATCTGCAGATATTGGTGAAATGCGACGATCATTGGCTCTGAGGACTGGAACCCACTGACCAACAGCTCAAAGCCCTGCACTGTGGGTGGCCTGACGAGGCAACCGTGTGTTGATCCACAGGAGTGGATCAAATGAAGATCATCTAAGATCCAGCCAGGGTGATATGCAGAAATCAGTAAAAGAAAAACAAAGATGCTAATTCCGGTATGCTCCATGCGGTACATGTTGGTAAATATTCCATATATGGAGCATTGGGGGATATATATTGGTCATTGCTTATAAATGCACACTAAAATGGTGATATGACCAACCCTCAACATGGGCATCCAAACCAAGTTTTGATTATAGCCAATGAATGTCAATGATATATCGCAAGAAAATCCATGAAATATCACCATGAATATCTCATTAAATCACCATTAAATCCAACTTTAGAGTTTGGCTCAAAAAATGTCGTAGCTCGGTCGCCCCAGGTTTCCACACCCACCATCGCCCTCAGCACTGACGCTCCTGGTTGGGTGCTAAGGGCGCTGCCACAGTCCGGTCTGACTGGTTGCGACACCCACCAAATATCATCAAGTGGTTCTATATATTTATATATACATACTATGATTGATAATATATATATATATGATATTATATATTTTCCCACCTGCCAGGTGAGGGTTGTTAGATTTTATCAGAGTTGTTCTTCTCCTTCTCCTTCTTCTCCTTCTTCTCCTCCTCCTTCTCCTCCACCTCCTCCTTCTCCTCCACCACCTCTGCCTCCACTTCCATGTTCACTTCCGCCTTGCCAACTCTTCGCCAAGCTCTTCGCCAACTTCCGCACGCAGTGGGCACTGCTGGACCTCAACTGCAAGGGTCTGAGCGCACTGGGCACCGCTGGACCTCAACCTGGGACCTTCCGAGCTCAGTGAGCACCGCTGGACCTCAACCTGGGACCTTCCGAGCTCAGTGAGCACCGCTGGACCTCAACCTGGGACCCGCCGAGCTCAGTGAGCACCGCTGGACCTCAACGGCCAGATAGAATGCCAGAAGATATGCCAGATAGAACGCCAGATAGCATGTCAGATAGAATGCCAGAAGATATGCCAGATAGAACGCCAGATAGAATGTCAGATAGAATGCCAGAAGATATGACAGATAAAATGCCAGAAGATATGCCAGATAGAATGAGTTCTGATATGCCAGATAGAATGCCACAAGGTATGCCAGATAAAGTGCCAGAATGTTTGCCAGATAGAATGCCAGAAGATTTGCCAGATAGAATGCCAGATAGGATGTCAGAAGATATGCCAGAAGATATGCCAGATAGAATGCCAGATAATATGCCAGAAGATATGCCAGGTAGAATGCCAGAAGATATGCCAGATCGAATGCCAGAAGATATGTCAGATAGAATGCCAGAAGATTTGCCAGTAACAAAACGTATAAATGTCATGGTGGGGATCACTCGAAGTAAAGTAATTTTTGTTATATACCCATTCTATGATATATGTATATACATCCATACATATATATATATATATTTTCATCTACATTATATACACCAGAAGATATGGTTTACACAAAAACGGAGAACTCAATGAACAAGTTTTTGTGGTCCAGTCACGAGGAACATCTTCGTTCACTGGGATCATCCGCAAGCCACTGCCATAAACCTACCACTTAAGGGGATGGTTAACGTTGCAACCCGATTAAAAATTCATTGGGTTTACCAAAGTATACATTTTTCTGAAGACACCTACGTGTACCAGTTGAGTTGAGTTCTGAGATGCTATGTTCATTAGATCCAAGCCTTGCAAGATGAAAGAAATAGGAACTTTTACATTCGTAGCGAACTCGTTTTCCGCATAGGCATATACAAGGTGGTGCCTCGTACCTAGCAAAGCTGTTTTATAAATCGGTTAACTAGGATTTACGGCAGACATATCTATTCTGAATGGGGTTACTAAACTAACAAACACAACTTGGAGGCATAACCTTGTATGATCTTGTATGTATTTCACCCAAATACATTGCCAAAGAAACCCTGAAGGTTCCAAGGCTCATAAGAAAGAACAATTGCAGATTCATTGCGCAGACTTTACAGTACCCCCCCAAAAAAAACATCAAACCACAATATTTAAATCAATGGAACTTGAATAATTATTGGGGTTTCATAGGGTGTCTACGGTCTACATTTCATGAAATTGGATCTGCGCACTTCTGGACGTGGGCACATCGATGCAAACGTTTAGCCTAATTACGACATTGACATGGCTCAAAAACATCAAACTGCACCTTTATAAATTTGTGCATGTTTCAGAGTAACATTTTTCCACTGCGGGTGCAGGATGCAAACCATCACTTGACAAGTCGGAATTTCAACATGACGAGAACGCCCGTGGCCCAGAATCGCCCCGCAGCTTTCATCAAAGCCACCGCATCTCTTTATGTCTGAACTTGCCCAGTAAGCGCTTCCTCGGACTAGGGTCCAGCTGCTCAGGGGCTTGACTTTCAGGAAAGTTTTTACATTTCCAAGTTTTTCCGGGAATGCCCTTGGAACCAATCCCAGAAAATTGGGCGGTGCAAAATTTCAACTTTGACCATGGTTAAACTTCCAGAATAACCCGACATAAAACATCCAGCAGTGGCACCAGTGGCACCAGTGACATCTTGGACCCCGAAATTGTCTATTTACAGATCCTCAACATGACTAGTCAATTCAAAAAGTATAACGGCTGACAATTAATTCATGATATAGATTATAAAATACAGCAACCCCCCAAAAAGATAGGACAGTCAAATCCTATTGAAATATTGTTTTCTATAATATATATATATAGAGTTATTATATTATATATAATTAATTATAATTATATATATTGATTTACGAGGCAAATCTTCATTTGTCATCACATGTTCTATACACAGGGGGGTGCCTGGGTATCCCAGCTGACTGGTCTCAGAGAAGAGAGCCTCAAAGTCAAACTCCGCCACTGCATCTCCCTCCTGGGGCTGGCGGAAGACCGGCAGACCGGTGATTGATCATGGTTAATGGGGATGAATCATGGATAATAATTGAAAAACCCTCTGGTAAACATACAAAAAGCGAACATGGCCATAGAAATATATAGTTGATTTCCCCATTAAAAATGGTGATTTTCCATAGGTATGTTTACCAGAGGGTAATAATGGTGATTTATGACGAATTCATAAGGGTGAATTCATTGAAACTATGTCGCAACTAGGTGATAAGTACTGGTTAATAATGAAGTATGCTGGAATAATAAATATATATAATATATATAACTAGCAAAGCAATACACATATATATATATATAGACTGTATATACATACATATGTATATATATAATATATAATATAATTGTCTTGTGGTTGGGAAACTCGTGGGAGCTCCTTTGCTCCCCAGTGAGTAGGGAATACGGATACCCATATCTCCGAACTGCTCCCTCCAAACCACTAACCCGAAATGGTTACTAACCCCAAGGTTAAACCTTGGAAGCACATGATTCTGGTAAACTTGATATAGCTACGGAAAATCAAGGTGCTATTTAGAGATAAAGATAAATTAAAAATATGGTAGTCATAAGCCCGAGCCACGTTACGTTAGGATAAATAAGAAAATAAAAATCAAATAAATATAAGATGCACATGGATGATGGATGTACAGATACATATATATATATAATACATACCCCCTATGAATATGTAGAGAGCGGGTAGTCATGGGGGGCGAGGTTGTGAAAGTCCTGATTTTGTTATATTAGTCATTAAATTCATAATTATATGAGTCATTACATTAATCATTATATTAATCATTATAATATTCATTATATAAGTCATTAAATGAATCATTAGATGAATCATTATATTTATCATGATCTGAATCATGATATTAATCATTATATTAATCATTGAATATATGTAAAATCATTATATTAGTCATTTTATAAACCATTCAAAGAATCATTCAAATTAATCATTATATGTATCATTCTATGAACCAATTATATCATTCTATTTATCATTCATTAATCATGATATTAATCGTTATATTAGTCAATAAATTAAAAATTATATCAGCCATTACAAAAATCATTATATTAATCATTTTATTAGTCATTAAATGAATCATGAAATGAATCATTATATTTATCTTGAAATGAATCATTATTTTAGTCATTGTACAGAAAATTGTACTAACCATTAAATTAATCATTAAATGAATCATCATATATATAATCATTATTTTAGTCATTATATAAATCATTATATTAGTCATTTTTATTAATCGTTATATTAGTCATTCAAATTAATCATTATATTATTCATTGTACTAGTCATTGAATTAATATGTTTAATAGTCATGATATTCATCATTTTATTCATCATGATATGAATCATATTAGTCATTAGATTAATCATTATACTAATCATTTTAATATTCATTAAAATAGCCATTATATTTGTCATTAAATTAATCATATTATATTAATCATGTTATTAATCATGAAAAATACATATATAATCATTATATTAGCCATTATATTTGCCATTTTATTTATTGTCACATTAATCATTAAATTAATCATGGTAATAATCATGAAATTAATCATTATATCAATCATTATATTCATTTTATTAATCATTATATTAATCATTTCATTCATCATTCAATTAATCATTATATAAATATTGTCATGATATTAGTCATTATATAAGTCATTAAATTAAATCATCATATAAATTATTATGTTCATCATTATAATAGTCATTATTTTAATCATTTCATTAATCATTATATTCAACATTGTATTAATCATAAAATTAATCATTACATTACGTGTTGTTTACATTTATATATTCATTAAATTAGTCATTATATAAATCATTATAATCATGAATTTAACCATTATATCAATCATCATAATCACAACTATATTAATCATGAAATTAATCATTTTATTAATCATCACATTAATCATTATAGTAATCATTAAATTAGTCATTATATAAGTCATTAAATGAATCATTAGATACATCATTATATTTATCATGATATGAATCATGTTAATAATCATTATATTAATCATTGAATATATGTAAAATCATTATATTAGTCATTTTATAAACAATTCAAAGAATCATTCAAATTAATCATTATATGTATCATTCTATGAACCAATTATATCATTCTATTTATCATTCATTAATCATGATATTAATCGTTATATTAGTCAATAAATTAAAAATTATATCAGCCATTACAAAATCATTATATTAATCATTTTATTAGTCATTATATGAGTCATTAAATGAATCATGAAATGAATCATTATATGTATCATTATATGAATCATTATAATAATCATTTTTTTAATAACTATATTAGTCAGTGTCTTAGTCATTATATTAATCATTTCATTAATCATTATATGAATCATGATTATAATCATGATATTGATCATTTTATTAATCATTATATTAATCATTATTTGAATCATGATATTAATCATTATATTAAGCATGAAAATCATAATTATAACAATGATTACATTGATCATTATATTAGTCATTTTATGAACCATGATATTATTTATTAAATAATTCATGATATATATATATATTTATAATCATTGTATTATTCATGATATAAGTCATTAAATGAAATTTGGTTTTCCATGGTTTTTTTTGCAATTTGGCCTGGGGGGCGCAGGTGTGCAAATTGTAGAAACGCGCATTTTTTGAGAGGTACTGTGATGAAAGCATATTCACATGAAAAACATGCAAAAAAATTATGGAACAATCCAAAAAAAACAAAAAGTTCAGACCCATGGGCAAGGTCTGGGGAGAGGCCTGGCTGGGGACATGGGTCTGAACTTTTTGTTTTTTTTTGGTTTCTCCATTGTTTTTTTGCAGTTTGGTCAAAACCTCGAGAAAACCAAAAAAAACAAAAAAAAAAGTTCAGACCCATGGGCAAGGTCTCGGGAGAGGCCTGGCTGGGGACATGGGTCTGAACTTTTTGTTTCTTTTTTGGTTTTTCCATTGTTTTTTTGCAGTTTGGCCAAAACCTCGAGAAAACCAAAAAAAACAAAAAGTTCAGACCCATGGGCAAGGTCTCGGGAGAGGCCTGGCTGGGGACATGGGTCTGAACTTTTTGTTTTTTTTGTTTTTCAATTGTTTTTTTCCATTTGTTGTTTGCATGTTTTTCATGTGAAGATGCTTTCATCACAGTACCTCTCAAAAAATGCGCGTTTCTAGAATTTGCACACCTGCGCCCCCCATGAGTACCCCTTCTGGAGAGCGGGTAGTCATGGGGGGCGAGGTTGTGAAAGTCCTGATTTTGTTATATTAGTCATTAAATTCATAATTATATGAGTCATTACATTAATCATTATATTAATCATTAAATTAGTCATTATATAAGTCATTAAATGAATCATTAGATGAATCATTATATTTATCATGATCTGAATCATGATTTTAATCATTATATTAATCATTGAATATATGTAAAATCATTATATTAGTCATTTTATAAACCATTCAAAGAATCATTCAAATTAATCATTATATGTATCATTCTATGAACCAATTATATCATTCTATTTATCATTCATTAATCATGATATTAATCGTTATATTAGTCAATAAATTAAAAATTATATCAGCCATTACAAAAATCATTATATTAATCATTTTATTAGTCATTAAATGAATCATGAAATGAATCATTATATTTATCTTGAAATGAATCATTATTTTAGTCATTGTACAGAAAATTGTACTAACCATTAAATTAATCATTAAATGAATCATCATATATATAATCATTATTTTAGTCATTATATAAATCATTATACTAGTCATTTTTATTAATCGTTATATTAGTCATTCAAATTAATCATTATATTATTCATTGTACTAGTCATTGAATTAATATGTTTAATAGTCATGATATTCATCATTTTATTCATCATGATATGAATCATATTAGTCATTAGATTAATCATTATACTAATCATTTTAATATTCATTAAAATAGCCATTATATTTGTCATTAAATTAATCATATTATATTAATCATGTTATTAATCATGAAAAATACATATATAATCATTATATTAGCCATTATATTTGCCATTTTATTTATTGTCACATTAATCATTAAATTAATCATGGTAATAATCATGAAATTAATCATTATATCAATCATTATATTCATTTTATTAATCATTATATTAATCATTTCATTCATCATTCAATTAATCATTATATAAATATTGTCATGATATTAGTCATTATATAAGTCATTAAATTAAATCATCATATAAATTATTATGTTCATCATTATAATAGTCATTATTTTAATCATTTCATTAATCATTATATTCAACATTGTATTAATCATAAAATTAATCATTACATTACGTGTTGTGTACATTTATATATTCATTAAATTAGTCATTATATAAATCATTATATTAATCATTAATTTAACCATTATATCAATCATCAAAATCACAACTATATTAATCATGAAATTAATCATTTTATTAATCATCACATTAATCATTATAGTAATCATTATATTAATCATTATATAAGTCATTAAATGAATCATTAGATACATCATTATATTTATCATGATATGAATCATGTTAATAATCATTATATTAATCATTGAATATATGTAAAATCATTATATTAGTCATTTTATAAACAATTCAAAGAATCATTCAAATTAATCATTATATTTATCATTCTATGAACCAATTATATCATTCTATTTATCATTCATTAATCATGATATTAATCGTTATATTAGTCAATAAATTAAAAATTATATCAGCCATTACAAGAATCATTATATTAATCATTTTATTAGTCATTATATGAGTCATTAAATGAATCATGAAATGAATCATTATATGTATCATTATATGAATCATTATAATAATCATTTTTTTAATAACTATATTAGTCAGTGTCTTAGTCATTATATTAATCATTTCATTAATCATTATATGAATCATGATTATAATCATGATATTGATCATTTTATTAATCATTATATTAATCATTATTTGAATCATGATATTAATCATTATATTAAGCATGAAAATCATAATTATAACAATGATTACATTGATCATTATATTAGTCATTTTATGAACCATGATATTATTTATTAAATAATTCATGATATATGTATATATATTTACAATCATTGTATTATTCATGATATAAGTCATTAAATGAAATTTGGTTTTCCATGGTTTTTTTTGCAATTTGGCCTGGGGGGCGCAGGTGTGCAAATTGTAGAAACGCGCATTTTTTGAGAGGTACTGTGATGAAAGCATATTCACATGAAAAACATGCAAAAAAAACTATGGAACAATCAAAAAAAAACAAAAAGTTCAGACCCATGGGCAAGGTCTGGGGAGAGGCCTGGCTGGGGACATGGGTCTGAACTTTTTGTTTTTTTTGTTTTTCCATTGTTTTTTGCAATTTGGTCAAAACCTCGAGAAAACCAAAAAAAAACAAAAAAAAAAAGTTCAGACCCATGGGCAAGGTCTGGGGAGAGGCCTGGCTGGGGACATGGGTCTGAACTTTTTGTTTTTTTTTTGGTTTTTCCATTGTTTTTTTGCAGTTTGGCCAAAACCTCGAGAAAACCAAAAAAACAAAAAAAACAAAAAGTTCAGACCCATGGGCAAGGTCTCGGGAGAGGCCTGGCTGGGGACATGGGTCTGAACTTTTTGTTTTTTTTGTTTTTCAATTGTTTTTTTCCATTTGTTGTTTGCATGTTTTTCATGTGAAGATGCTTTCATCACAGTACCTCTCAAAAAATGCGCGTTTCTAGAATTTGCACACCTGCGCCCCCCATGAGTACCCCTTCTGAATATGTATGTGTATGTATAAATGGGTATAAGTAGTAGGGTCCCATCATTGCAAGCCCCCACAATGGTGCCTCACCCACAAAGGGCAGCAGGCGACCACAGGAGCCATCTGACAAATGGACCTTGAGCGAAATGGCACGCAAAACCATGGGTCTGGGCGTATCATGGGCGTATTCTGGGCGTATTATTTTTGTATCATGGTGTATCAATGTCATTTATTTATCTCATTGAGAACATGTTATCTAATCCTTCTTTCAAAATCTTCCGATCCCCTACTTCTTCGTCTACTTTTTCAATCCATCGATCTGTTGGTCCACCCATCTGTAATCCATCCATCAAACTAAACATGTCACAGGGATGTGTTCTCAAGACTGGGGATATATATATATATAGTATAGGTATATACTATATACATTTACCAACAATGTCACAATGATGCCCAAACAACCTGGTTCCAGCTACAAATACTGTTCAAATCTATCCAAACGACCTGATAAACTTTTGCTTCAGGGATTTTGAGGTTCATTTGATCACATTTGACCCTCAAAATCGGATGATCATTTGTGTGTGTTTGTGCGTTACGTCGTAGTTCTATCAGACAGGGAGAGAGATCCGCAGCAACGACTGGGCTCCGTGACGCCCCAATTGTGCAAACGGTTGACATCGAAGTTGCCTTCGTCCTGGATGCTGGTTGTGGTCTACCAGCCATTCAGGTATCATGGGGTCTGGGGGGATTGTCATATCGCTGATCCATGTTGATCCCGATGATCCCCAGTTGCTGGTTTCAAGCCATAGCTATGACTGCCATGATTCACTTTAAGGAGCAACCATCCCAGAAAAAGTCAAGCGAATCATTCAGACAAATCAACAAGTTGACTATCTGACATCATCAACCAATCAATACCAATCACTATCCCCAGTTTTTGCCTTTGACTTCCTGAGCGTCGTCTCCTGGATTAACTCCCTTCCACTGTTCTCATCGATCGCCATGAACCTCACCATGGAATCGAAATGCGAAGATATCGAAGCGACCAGGGATAGGGATTGAAGCAGAAATGACCAAAGCATTCAACACTGGAATGTTTGAGATTTAAAAGGACATTTACCAGCCCATAATTGAGGGATTATTTTTTTGGCCAACAAATTAATCTGCCGAAAAATGGAGGATTCATTGAAACAACAAAAATCAACAAACCAACGGAGGCTTTGCAAATTAACCCTGCCTTCGCCTTCGTCAAAAATGTTGGGGGACTTGTTCAATAACTAGGGGCATCAATCTGGAAATTCTACCAAAAACATTGGGATCTACCAAACATGGGGGGAACATTGCAGGCATTGCACTAACCAAGCCCCGACGCCCGGGATTTCCATGTTGACACGTCTCTTTTCTGGCTATGACTACACCTGACATTAACTTTGGTATTTATCTATCCAAACTTGGAGGTTGATTCGGTTTATCAAGGTCTATCTATATATATATATATGTGATATGGGTTTACCACATTGTCCAGGTTTTCATTAGGTTCATAGTGAGTCTATTGCTTTTGTTGCAAAAAAACATCTCTAACAACTCACCAAAGTGGCCCATTGTGCCCCCTTGCCGCTCAGGAATCCAAGTGACACCAGGTATTCGATGCTGTCCATCAAATGCTCGCGGCCCTCCATCACTTCGCAGGCGCTCCAAACCTCAGAAATTGGCAAGATCAATGAAGAAATCGGGTCATTGAGGGGGTTCTCCTGATTTTGTTCAAAAGGACCAAGGAAAGCTAGATTGAAACCAACTGGAGAAAATGTTCAAACAACTTGAGGCTCTGCTTCACCGCAAAACACTTCCTAGATGTGTCCGTGTGGCCAATAGATCGATATAGAACTCACAAATGCTCACAATCTATGGATATCTATGGCCATAGAAACCACAAAATCAATCAAATGCGTGTGTCTGAAAAGGTAATTCAGGTAATGGTTGCCACTTTAAGGGGTATACAGACAAACCCAAATCTTGGGTACCTGGGTTACCTTGACCCATACTCTCCGTTGAATCACATCAACACCTCCCTGGACCATTTTTCGTCTTGCCATCTCTGCATGCTTGTGACCATCCGTGCTAGTGCGATCATGTAAACTTAGTTCCCTCGCTGGGTCACTCATGTTCCTAAGATTTCCCACTATTTTCATGGATTTTCCGAAGTTTGCATTTCTAAAGCTTTGAGAAATGCACAGAAAAAGAGAGGCAGGGACAAGTTGTCAACGGTCTTGGTGTAGACCTCCAGTAAAGCTGTCAGAGAAGTGGCCAGCAAGAATGGCAACCAAGCGGCCTGGCGGAAGGTGCCAAATGGATGTGGAGATGCCTATTTTGGGCATTAAGGTCTAGTATTGGTGTAGTAACAAACAGAAACTTGTAATATGGTTTGTTTTTCCCCAAAAAAATACATATCGCTTGGAATCAGAGTCAAAACCATTCAAAACCCATGTCTTTTGAGGTAGAATACCGGTCAGCTATCATACCTCATTCCCCCCGAAAGCCACATTTTGGTTCACCTAAAGGTGTTCAAATTTCCCAAAGTATCGGGTTCCTGATCTTGCCTACCTTTTTTGGAGCCTTCGTCAAAGGCTGCAGTTTTCCCTTTACACGTGGTAAAAAATATGTTCAGAACCCAACAATTTGGATACAGATGACAACAACTGCAATCAAACGTGTCATTACAAAAAAATGCTCTTGCATGAGCTGCTCGGATAAAATTGATTAGCAAAACCACGAAGTTTGAGTGCCTCCAGGTTTTCTTGGGAAACAATGCACTGAGTTGTTTTGAACGGGAAATATGGGTCGTCAAACCCAGACAATCCATCAAAACAATGCACGATCCAGCTGAAACCTGTCGTTTGGAACCGTTTTTGGGACATCAACCTATAGCATCACATAGAAATGGCAAGAAAAACGAAACCAAACAGAGATCCAACAGAGATCCAACATCTATCTGAGATCAGTTTTCAAGTAATTTGCTACCGCGTTCCATCAATTCAGAGAATTCCAACAAAAACTAGACGACGGATGGCCCGAGAGCGTAGAGGAGCAGGGCCTTCTCTTGTTAGTATGGAGATGCAATTTTAGAAACGGTATATGAAAGCTGTGTTATAGGCAGTCGAGAAGAGGAGTATCAAGACAAAATAGTGAGAAGTGCAAGACAATAGTTTGCATCGCAAACACTTTTACACACAGACGCTTTTACACTGACGCTTTTACACACAAAGCTTTTACCCACAGAAGCTTTTACACACAGAAGCTTTTACAGACAGAAGCTTTTAAACACCTCTAAGCTTTTACATACAAACACTTTTACACACAGACGCTTTTACACACAAACGCTTTGACACACAGACGCTTTTACACACAGACGCTTTTACACACAGACTCTTTTACACACAGACGCCTTTACACACAGACACTTTTACACACAGACGCTTTTTCCACACAGACACTTTTTACACACAGACGCTTTGACACACAAACACATTTACACACAGACGCTTTTACACACAGACGCTTTTTACACACAGACGCTTTTTACACACAGACGCTTTGACACACAAACACATTTACACACAGAGGCTTTTACACACAAACACATTTACACACAGAGGCTTTTACACACAAACGCTTTTACACAAACACTTTTACACACAAACACTTTTACACACAGACGCTTTTACACACAGACGCTTTGACACACAGACGCTTTTACACACAGAGACGCTTTTACACACAGAAGCTTTTACACACAGACGCTTTTACACACAGACGCTTTTACACACAGACGAAAGGGTTGCTCCGGGGCAAGTCAAATCGCAATTTTACGTCAGTTTCTACCGATCGACCCTCATTTCGTGCGAAAGGGTTGCTCCGGCACAAGTAAAATCGCAATTTTACCTCAGTTTTTGCCGATCGACCCTCATTTCGTGCGAAACGGTTGCTCCGGGGCAAGTCAAATCGCAATTTTACGTCAGTTTTTGCCGATCGACCCTCATTTCGTGCGAAAGGGTTGCTCCGGGGCAAGTCAAATCGCAATTTTACGTCAGTTTTTGCCGATCGACCTTCATTTCGTGCGAAAGGGTTGCTCCGGGGCAAGTCAAATCGCAATTTTACTTCAGTTTTTGCCGATCGACCCTCATTTCGTGCGAAACGGTTGCTCCGGGGCAAGTCAAATCGCAATTTTACCTCAGTTTTTGCCGATCGACCCTCATTTCGTGCGAAAGGGTTGCTCCAGCACAAGTCAAATCGCAATTTTACCTCAGTTTTTGCCGATCGACCCTCATTTCGTGCGAAAGGGTTGCTCCAGCACAAGTCAAATCGCAATTTTACTTCAGTTTTTGCCGATCGACCCTCATTTCGTGCGAAAGGGTTGCTCCGGGACAAGTCAAATCGCAAATTTTCCTCAGTTTTTGCCGATCGACCCTCATTTCGTGCGAAAGGGTTGACGTTTCGTGACTCGCCGCCGGCACCACCCTCGGCCTTAAGAGAGAAAGATAAAAAGAAGGCGTGAGAGAGAAGGTGAGCAGGTGTGAAGATAAGAAAATGTGAAGATGAGCAGATGTGAAGATGAGCAGATGTGAAGATGAGCAGATGTGAAGATGAGCAGATGTGAAAATGAGCAGATGTGAAAATGAGCAGATGTGAAGATGAGCAGATGTGAAGATGAGCAGATGTGAAAATGAGCAGATGTGAAGATGAGCAGATGTGAAGATGAGCAGATGTGAAGATGAGCAGATGTGAAGATGAGCAGATGTGAAGATGAGAAGATGTGAAGATGGGAAGGTGTGAAGATGAGCAGATGTGAAGATGAGCAGATGTGAAGATGAGCAGATGTGAAGATGAGCAGATGTGAAGATGAGAAGATGTGAAGATAAGAAGATGTGAAGATGAGCAGATGTGAAGATGAGCAGATGTGAAGATGAGCAGATGTGAAGATGAGCAGATGTGAAGATGAGAAGATGTGAGGATGGGAAGGTGTGAAGATGAGCAGATGTGAAGATGGGAAGGTGTGAAGATGAGCAGATGTGAAGATGAGAGGATGTGAAGATGAGAGGATGTGAAGATGAGATGATGTGAAGATGAGATGTGAAGATGAGAGGATGTGAAGATGAGAAGATGTTTTACAGACCCCCACTATTGGAAGAACCCTGCGCTCAGACGCTCTCGGGAAAAACAACGTTTTCCGCAATTGACACAAGATTGAAGAATCCTACAAGGTGGGAGCCCCATTCACGATATGCCAAGCATAAATCATACTTTTTAAGTTATTCATAGTTAACCTAGTTATACACCAACTAGTAGCTATACCATAAATCCACTCTTTAAATCAATATGTTTGCTGGTTAAATCCCAAAGATTAATGTTGAAATAAAATCATGGTTCAATCCTATAAATCATGCTTAACTCACGGTTAAATCATGGTTAAATCCCATAATGTGGGTAAAACAATGCCATCTGCACTATCCCCCAGTCATCACCATTTTTATAGGTGGTATTTGTTCCATTCCCAAATTAGGGTGGTTTATGGCATTGTTTTTCCCACATTAACGACTATAAATAATGGGATAATTCCTCCATTTATAGTATATGTTCCCATGTGTTCCCAATTTTCCCAAGTCATGGGTGGTTTATGTCAAACGATAATAACCCCTTGCTCCGCCGTCCACCTCCAGCAAAGCCACGGGGACCAGCGCCGCAGCGAACAGCGACACGCTCAGCACGAAGGCCAGGCTGCCCAGCAGGCTGCGGTGCGAGCCCGGCCAACGACGCTGCCCGAAGCGGATGCCTGGCAACTTATTGGGCATGTTTGATTTATATAGTGCATGTATTTTTATATAACATATATATATTATTATATATTATATATATATTAAATACATATATATATAAATATAAAAATGTGAACAATGTGTGTATATATATATATGTGTATGTATATACATATATACACATATGTATATATATATGTATACATATGTATATATATATATATATACACGTATAAATGTATATAAATATAAATATATATATATATATACACATTATGGTACGTATGTATGTGTATATATATATATACACATATAGAGGTATATGGAAGATGTGTATGTATATGATATATATATATATATAATACATATGTGTATAGAATGCATGGAATATTGGTGAAATGTAATGTGGGTTATCACAAGCTACATCTGGTAGATGACAGTAGCCGAGCCGAATACTCCAAGTAACAAGCACCGCTGTAAACTCAGTCAAACTACTGACAGCACCAATCACCTTTAATTTAGAACTCCTACCATGAACAAATGCTCATCAAACCAATCTGGAAAACCATGCCCATCAAACCATCTAGAAAATCTAGTGATATTAATTATAGTCCAGACTGAATCCAAGCCATTCATGGTTTTCATTTTTTGACTTTGACGTGGTCCAATATGGCCATGAACTTCTCCCCAAATCTATTCAGATCCATTAAAATCTATTGGTATTTCCTGGTCCCAGGGGCCCAGGCACCAAAAAGGGCCGCGCAGGAATCTCCAACGCCAATCAGCAGCAGGCCCGCGACTTTGCGGAGCGAACCGGAAGGTCGGGAGCTTTGAAATGTTTGAAAGGATTCAAGCCACACGGGCAAGGAACAGCCAAGGAGCAAATACAAATGGGTGAGCACCTGGCCATGGAGAATGGAGAATGGAGAGCCATTTGGATCATTTTTCTAGAGATGTTAGCCGCACCCTCGTGGCCACGAAGCGGAAACACGACCACGAGGGGGGGATGAAGGCAACCATTTTTTGGGGGGAACAACCAACACAAATGGCTCTTCAACCCATCAGAGTTTAAACCGGCAAAGAAGTGGCACAACCTAGAGAACATGAATCAATGAACATGACAGCTGAAAATGATCAACAAATCTTAGGATACAACTCTAGAAAATAGAAATGTGTGTTTCTGAAACGTGCTGGTATCCCTACGTATTTTAGGGTGCTGGCTCTGTTCAACTATCTTTTGAAGAGCTTGCAGCTCTAGCTACAACTGCGATCATGGTCATGGGATGCTCTTAGTCCAAAGATTCATGGTTTAGTAATCCCAGCCCCCCATATTCAACACTCCCATTGTATGCTCTCCAAAATGTGTAAATCTCCTATCAAGCCATGTTTTCTAAGGGCTGTTTAATATTCTTTAATAATTAACGGGGGGCCACCCCAACTCTCCGCCCCAACGGTCAACGTCAACGTCACCAAGGAACCAGGTCGCGGGAAATATCCTCACCAGGGAGATGCAAAAGATCGTGGCAGTTGGATGAATCAAGCGGAATCTTTCACACTCTGGAAAAAAACACATTCAGTGTTCGTGTTTGCAAAACACATACTCTCTATAGTGACGGACAAATACTTAGAACGTTCGTTTTGGAATTCCAAAACGCGTTCTAAGTAGTGATCCTGGACCACTACTTAGAACGTATTTTTCTAGGTTGTGTTCTAAGTAGAGGTTTTGGTAGTTCTCCCGTATTCTAAGTAAGAATCCCACCAGCTATCTACGTGCATTTTGGAAAATCCTGTGTATATATAATACATTTTGAATATTGTAGTTGTCCAGCACTATATATTCATATAATAAAAACTTTCCAAACCTGATGTTCGAATCCTATGTACATCGCTATATATATATATACATATACACATGTGTTTAATTACAGAACCATTAAGACGTGTGGTGTCCTCACGATTTTTTTGTCTTTTAGGAACCTGTGCTCCGAAGCATTGGCCATTGTGTTGTTAGTACTTATACATACATACATACATACATATATATATATATATTCATAACGGCTCATCTGGGGAGATACGTTCTAAGTAGAGAAATCACCAGCTAATATGGTCATCCCGTACTTAGCGGAAAAGCTTCCTGAGTAGAAAGATCCGTTGAATATATATATATATATATATACATTTGTTTAATTACAGAACCATTAAGACGTGTGGTGTCCTCACGATTTTTTTTGTCTTTTAGGAACCCGTGCTCCGAAGCATTGGCCATTGTGTTGTTAGTACTTATACATACATACATACATACATACATACATATATATATATATATATATATATTCATAACGGCTCATCTGGGGAGATACGTTCTAAGTAGAGAAATCACCAGCTAATATGGCCACTCCGTACTTAGCGGATAAGCTTCCTGAGTAGAAAGATCCGTGGAATATATATATATATATACATATACACATGTGTTTAATTACAGAACCATTAAGACGTGTGGTGTCCTCACGACTTTTTTGTCTTTTAGGAACCCATGCTCCGAAGCATTGGCCATTGTGTTGTTAGTACTTATACATACATACATATATATATATATATTCATAACGGCTCATCTGGGGACATACGTTCTAAGTAGAGAAATCACCAGCTAATATGGCCACCCCGTACTTAGCGGAAAAGCTTCCTGAGTAGAAAGATCCGTGGAATATATATATATATATATATACACATACACATTTGTTTAATTACAGAACCTTTAAGACGTGTGGTGTCCTCACGATTTTTTTGTCTTTTAGGAACCCGTGCTCCGAAGCATTAGCCATCGTGTTGTTAGTACTCCTATATGTATATATATATATAAATATATATATATATATTTAAATATATATATATATAAATATATATATGTATATATACGTTCTAAGTAGAGAAACCACCAGCTAATATGGTCATCCCGTACTTTGCGGAAAAGCTTCCTGAGTAGAAAGATCCGTGGAATATATATATATATACACATATACACATGTGTTTAATTACAGAACCATTAAGACGTGTGGTGTCCACACGATTTTTTGGTCTTTTAGGAACCCGTGCTCCGAAGCATTGGCCATTGTGTTGTTAGTACTTATACATACATACATACATACATACATACATACATACATATATATATTTATATATCAATATATATATATATCAATATATATCAATGTATTCATAACGGCTCATCTGGGGAGATACGTTCTAAGTAGAGAAATCACCAGCTAATATGGCCACCCCGTACACCCAATCGGGAAAGTCAGTGCACCGTCTCTTGGAAACACAAATCACCATGGGACGCCGCGCATTCGGGAAGTCAGAGAAGTCAGTGCAAAATCATGCAAATCAGCATGGGACGCTGTGCGCCAGCAATCATCTATTTCGTTTAATGTTTGGTGTTTTTTATGGCTCCAAAATGCAGAATCATATTGTGGACGCTGCATCTATGCAGTCATTGTTTTAGGTTATTTTGAATGATTTTGTTAAAAACGCAATGGGACGCAAGTTTCACCACAACTATACCGTCAAAGCGAAGCGACCAACCAAAGGGTGCAAGGACGGATGCAGTCCAAACAAACAGACAAGCCTCCCTTGCCAGGCACAGCCTGAGGCCTATAGGCTCACGGCCAAGGTAAGCAGCAGCAACAGCAGCAGCAGGACCAGCAGAACCAGCAGCAGTAGCAGCAGCAGCGACAAGACAAGACAAGGCAAGACAAGGCAAGACAACTCACGTATTTCGGGCGATACTCTGGCGATACCCCGGCGATACCCTAAAATGGAAAAAAAGAACCCCTCGCCACCAATCCCCCTCATCATTTCAACACAACCACATCTCCAAATTTCAAAGTGACAAATCCCAATGCGATCAAATTCCCAATGGTACTGACACGATAGGTAAATTCCAAACTTGCAAAAACGCAGGTAAAAGTATCAATAATCAAAATCATGTTTTCCAAACACAAGCTGGACGCAGCACGCATCGACTTCCACAATTCTTTCCCCCCAACTAAACGCAGCAAAACATGTGAACGCATTGAGTTTCCAAGTGGAGAGTACTTAGCGGAAAAGCTTCCTGAGTAGAAAGATCCGTGGAATATATATATATACACTTTTGTTTAATTACAGAACCATGAAGACGTGTGGTGTCCTCACGATTTTTTTGTCTTTTAGGAACCCGTGCTCCGAAGCATTGGCCATTGTGTTGTTAGTACTCCTATATATGTATATATATATATATTTCAATATATTCATAACGGCTCATCTGGGGACATACGTTCTAAGTAGAGAAACCACCAGCTAATATGGTCATCCCGTACTTAGCGGAAAAGCTTCCTGAGTAGAAAGATCCGTGGAATATATATATATATACATATACACATTTGTTTAATTACAGAACCATTAAGACGTGTGGTGTCCTAACGATTTTTTTGTCTTTTAGGAACCCGTGCTCCGAAGCATTGGCCATTGTGTTGTTAGTACTCATACATACATACATATACATATATATTCATAACGGCTCATCTGGGGAGATACGTTCTAAGTAGAGAAATCACCAGCTAGTATGGCCACCCCGTACTTAGCGGAAAAGCTTCCTGAGTAGAAAGATCCGTGGACTATATATATATATATACATATACACATGTGTTTAATTACAGAACCATTAAGACGTGTGGTGTCCACACGATTGTTTTGTCTTTTAGGAACCCGTGCTCCGAAGCATTGGCCATTGTGTTGTTAGTACTTATACATACATACATACATACATATATTTATATATATATATATCAATATATATATCAATATATTTCAATATATTCATAACGGCTCATCTGGGGAGATACGTTCTAAGTAGAGAAATCACCAGCTAATATGGCCACCCCGTACTTAGCGGAAAAGCTTCCTGAGTAGAAAGATCCGTGGAATATATATATATATATATACATACATTTGTTTAATTACAGAACCATTAAGACGTGTGGTGTCCTCACGATTTTTTTGTCTTTTAGGAACCCGTGCTCCGAAGCATTGGCCATTGTGTTGTTAGTACTCCTATATGTATAAACATATATATATATATATTTATATGCAATATATTCATAACGGCTCATCTGGGGAGATAAGTTCTAAGTAGAGAAACCACCAGCTAATATGGTCATCCCGTACTTAGCGGAAAAGCTTCCTGAGTAGAAAGATCCGTGGAATATAAATATACATATACACATATACACATTTGTTTAATTACAGAACCTTTAAGACGTGTGGTGTCCTCACGATTTTTTGTCTTTTAGGAACCCGTGCTCCGAAGCATTGGCCATTGTCTTGTTAGTACTCATACATACATACATACATACATACATACATACATACATATATATATTTTTTGATATTTCAATATATTCAAACGGCTCATCTGGGGACATACGTTCTAAGTAGAGAAATCACCAGCTAATATGGCCACCCCGTACTTAGCGGAAAAGCTTCCTGAGTAGAAAGATCCGTGGAATATATATATATATACATTTACACATTTGTTTAATTACAGAACCATTAAGACGTGTGGTGTCCTCACGATTTTTTTGTCTTTTAGGAACCCGTGCTCCGAAGCATTGGCCATTGTGTTGTTAGTACTCCTATATATGTATATATATATATATATTTATATTTCAATATATTCATAACGGCTCATCTGGGGACATACGTTCTAAGTAGAGAAACCACCAGCTAATATGGCCACCCCGTACTTAGCGGAAAAGCTTCCTGAGTAGAAAGATCCGTGGAATCTATATATATATATATACATACACATTTGTTTAATTACAGAACCATTAAGACGTGTGGTGTCCTCACGATTTTTTTGTCTTTAGGAACCCGTGCTCCGAAGCATTGGCCATTGTGTTGTTAGTACTCCTATATATGTATAAATAAATATATATATATATATATATATATATTTATATTTCAATATATTCATAACGGCTCATCTGGGGACATACGTTCTAAGTAGAGAAACCACCAGCTAATATGGTCATCCCGTACTTAGCGGAAAAGCTTCCTGAGTAGAAAGATCCGTGGAATATATATATATATATACACATACACATTTGTTTAATTACAGAACCATTAAGACGCGTGGTGTCCACACGACACTTTGTCTTTTAGGAACCCGTGCTCCGAAGCATTGGCCATTGTGTTGTTAGTACTCCTATATGTATAAATATATATATATATATATAAATCAATATATTCATAACGGCTCATCTGGGGAGATACGTTCTAAGTAGAGAAATCACCAGCTAATATGGCCACCCCGTACTTAGCGGAAAAGCTTCCTGAGTAGAAAGATCCGTGGAATATATATATATATATATATATATATGTACATATACACATTTGTTTAATTACAGAACCATTAAGACGTGTGGTGTCCTCACGACTTTTTTGTCTTTTAGGAACCCGTGCTCCGAAGCATTGGCCATTGTGTTGTTAGTACTCCTATATATATATATATGTATATTTATATTTCAATATATTCATAACGGCTCATCTGGGGACATACGTTCTAAGTAGAGAAACCACCAGCTAATATGGTCATCCCGTACTTAGCGGAAAAGCTTCCTGAGTAGAAAGATCCGTGGAATATATATATATACATATACACATTTGTTTAATTACAGAACCATTAAGACGTGTGGTGTCCTCACGATTTTTTTGTCTTTTAGGAACCCGTGCTCCGAAGCATTGGCCATTGTGTTGTTAGTACTTATACATACATTCATAAATATATATATATATTTATATTTCAATATATTCATAACGGCTCATCTGGGGAGATACGTTCTAAGTAGAGAAATCACCAGCTAATATGGCCACCCCGTACTTAGCGGAAGAGCTTCCTGAGTAGAAAGATCCGTGGAATATATATATATATATATATACATACACATTTATTAAAGAACCATTAAGACGTGTGGTGTCCTCACGATTTTTTTGTCTTTTAGGAACCCGTGCTCCGAAGCATTGGCCATTGTGTTGTTAGTACTCCTATATGTATATATATATATTTATATTTCAATATATTCATAACGGCTCATCTGGGGACATACGTTCTGAGTAGAGAAACCACCAGCTAATATGGCCACCCTGTACTTAGCGGAAAAGCTTCCTGAGTAGAAAGATCCGTGGAATATATATATATATATACATATACACATTTGTTTAATTACAGGACCATTAAGACGTGTGGTGTCCTCACGATTTTTTTGTCTTTTAGGAACCCGTGCTCCGAAGCATTGGCCATTGTGTTGTTAGTACTCCTATATATGTATATATATATTTTTATATTTCAATATATTCATAACGGCTCATCTGGGGACATACGTTCTAAGTAGAGAAACCACCAGCTAATATGGTCATCCCGTACTTAGCGGAAAAGCTTCCTGACACTGAGTAGAAAGATCCGTGGAATATATATATATATACATATACACATTTATTAAAGAACCATTAAGACGTGTGGTGTCCTCACAATTTTTTTGTCTTTTAGGAACCCGTGCTCCGAAGCATTGGCCATTGTGTTGTTAGTACTTATACATACATACATACATATATGTATATATCAATATATTCATGTATATAGACATCTCCATGTATCTTAACGCAACATCACACCTCCTGTATATATAATATAAATATGCAGTGTTAAGTTGTATGTATGTATACATATATATATATATATTTATTTTACATGTATAAATGATGGCGTGTTCTAAGTAGAGGTTTTTAAGTTACTTAGAACGTACGTCCCCTATTCGCCGAAAATGTTCTAAGTAGAGGGTTCGTACCCACCGAAACATTTCCAAAACGATGTTCTAAGTATTTGTCCGGCACTATATATATATAATATATAGTATATTATAGTACATAGTATATATATATAGTATCTATACATGATATTGTCAAACATGTTGGAGGTCATATGAGGTCATCAAACCTTTTGCTGCCGCGATCCTCTCGTTTGTCCAAATACTTGGACAGGAATCGATCTTGGATGTGGCATAGTGGAGCGCGACAAGCTCGGCAAACCTCCAAGGCAATGAACAACAACGCTGCCACCAACTGCGCAAGAGCCAGAAATTCCCCTTGCCCTGTTAGCAAAGGAGGGGCAAAAAGACAGATGGCGAGCAGATGAAATGACTTCCGCAGCAGATGCTTCTTCATCAAGGAAAGTTCTCCATTTTGGAGGAGTCGTCTGCTAAGCATCTCGACCACCAGAAGTCCGACGCAAAGAAGTCCGGGCCATAAGAAAAGCAACAGTCTCAAGTTTTGCTCTTCCAAGATGTACCTCGGATCATTGGTGCCGGCATAAACATGTATCTGTGCTGGAAATTGATGGTTTGGTGAATTCACTTTTCGACACTCTTAGAGCTAGAAACAACAAATCATTACTTTATTGCATTAATGTTGTATCCTAGTACTTTATTGTATTGATGTTAAAATCGATCATCATATAAATTATGTATTATTTTATAAACGTACATGAGTATGTATATATTATTACATACACTATAAATATATTGAATTACATATATAATTTAATATATATATACATACGTATATATGTATTGTGAACAAATACCCTGTACATTAATATGTTATTTAAGAACGTATGTGCAAATAGAGACATGAATACACATGTGCTCACATGCGTGTAGGCTATGCCTTTCAGCTGCCCTGAAGTTCATGTCCATCAACACATGGGGACTTAACCATCGAACTGGCGCTGTTAATATAACCAAACAGTGGATGATTTTAAAGGTAACATCATCTACAGCAAACTATCATTATCTCTTTTATGTCTTCAAAAAAACACAACACACAGCATTCCGAGCCAACGCTATCTTTCGTTGCTTGCTGTTCCCAGCGAGATGTAGGCGAATATCACATGTTCATCATCCGAACTGGCGCTGTCCACAGTTGCAAACAGCTTATTAATTTGACACACCATCTTCTCGATAATCTCTACTGCTTACATTCCCACTTTTGCTAGTTCAATTCCCACAAACTTGTCACTCCATCGATTTATGGTTTGACCTAAATTCCAAATATGTGTTGCTCAAAACCCAACTTTACCTTTATTGAATCCCAATTCTTTGTGGCTATGGTACGTACCCCCCCAACGTACGTGTAGGTCAATCAGCCACCGCCATCCTCGGCCCAAGGTACCCCACAAACCACCAGATGGCTCCGCCGATCGCGGAACTGAGTCCCCACAGCCCAAACAGCAGCGCTGCGACCAGTGCTGCGAGCAAAGGGGCGAAGCAACCAATGTGTTCAAAGCATACCTGGTTTGCTGCGATATGTCAATGGAGACATGGAGACATGGGTCAGATCCACCATCTCAAAATAATGAAGGCCAACCTTGTAGGGGTCGCTTGCCTCGTTTTTTTTGTTGTGCATCCAATCTAGATCTATCCAGCTTAGGAGTTGCATATATGTATTTTTTTATTCCAAACATGTATGTATATACGTATAAATAAATATATATATATATACATACAATATATATATATATATATTCATATATATATACGTATATATATATATATTATATACATACACTTATATCTTATATCTAGATGCATGCGTAGATACTGTGGACATATGGTTGTATAAATAGATGACCAAGGGATAGAAATAGGTGGCTAGATGGACAGGGGGCTAGGAAAGCCACGTTGAGCATCACACATAATCGATGTCTGAATCTCAAAGCAACAAGACATACATAGAAATAAATCTGTATCAATTCACCTGAAAGCTTCGGCTTCTGGGGATAGCTATTGTAGCTATAGCCCAATCTTAGGTCCTTAGGTATCCAGGTGCAAAATCCCAGCTGCAGTCAGCACTAAGAAGACCAAGCCGATCGTTGCAAGGCTGCTCCAAAATGTGCAGATCGGTCGCCAGAACTGAAAGGCCTCCCATGTGGAATCAAGCAGCGCTGGTAATGTCCCATTGAAATCACCATAGTTGTGAAATTAATGCAGATTTCTATGTTGAAATCCACTTGCTATGCCCATGAAATCCACTTAGACTTTTGGCGCTTGCTTTTTTGCTTTTCCGATTTCTTCAAACAGGCTAACGATCCCTTTCTTGTTGCTTCATCTTTCTCTGCTGTTTCATGATTCAATCAGTAGTTGTCCAGGGGGAAATCAAAGGCCTGGCTAGCCCTTTTGTGCTGTTGATGGATCCATTTCTTTCAAGCTTCACCCGCTTGAAACAACAATTCCGGGCGTATGCTCTCATAAACAACAGCATGCAAGAAATAATTGACCAGCCCATGTCTATGGAAAAATATGATAAGTGCTCCAATCTCATTGAGAATTCTAGCAGCAAGTGACTAAAACAAACAAATCAACATGACAACCATCACAAGAATTGAGTTGAATCGGGAATTCGACAATCCTTTCAGGAAAATTCAATGTGTTACCAGTCAGAATGGGCATTTAAGCATCAAAACTGTGGCCTTAAGTTAAACCAATGAATAATGGCTATATGTACTTGTCCATACTTGCCCAACAATGCAGTATACCCAACATTGCCGCCACAGCAGTAAGGTGAAAATTCCAGGGCTGAATTTTCCAGTCCTGTGGCTGCCATGTTTTTTTTGACAAACCCATACAGTCAAGCCAAATGACCATGAGAAAAAAAAGAACTACTTAGCAATGGGGGTTTCTAAACCAACCCTTGTTGGCTCATCCCATGAATCGTAAAACCATCAAACACAGTGGTTAACCATATTACTAGTTGGTCACCAAAACGTTAACTAGTTAAAGGTATATATATATATGTTATATATATAATTTAAATATATGTTATATATATAATTTAAATATACACAAGACACCAAACATCAAATCGTTAACCTGGGTACAATTTTTCATATAAACCCATTAAATCAACGAAGCGAAAGGTCTCAACGTTGCGACGATCTTTCCAGTGGCGCCTCCAGCACTCCTTTCACAAAGACCGAGGTGATGAAGCCACTCCTGCTGGGATCAGCATTGGTTGGTTCCCAGATTTTGGGAAATTCCACATTGGATTTATGTGGGATTTATATATGGGAATTGAAATTTAACTGTATATGGATTTATAATGGATTTATATTGGATTTCCATCATTGTATGGGATTTACAATATTTTATATAATGATACCGTTCCAGCTTTTTCAGCGACCATTTTTGGGGGCATCGGCGAGCATTGGTTGGTTGAGCGTCGGTCAAGTGTGATATCTGCCTGATTGGTGCTGATATCCCACTATTGGTGAAACTACCCTCTCAGCTGCGGGCTAACTGTTTCAAGTTTCAGGTATCACCTCGCTTCTCAATTGGAAATCTGGAATAAGATCTGTCTATGTCAAGTCCCTTTATGACCGGGTAGAAAGTGTTTCACCCAGTGAAAAACCACACATAATTTCAAGAACACATAAAGTTGTTTCCTTCTTCAAGAACACAACCCGAGCATCAAAAAACATGAGGTATATTGAAGTAATACCTGACAAAACATGGAGTTGTTGCTGGGTTTATAATCTTTTCCCATCTTTTCCCAATGATTTTGATGACTGCCATGTACTGCCATGGTACAGCCCTCCGCGCTGTCCCTTGTGACCAGAACATGATCTCTGCCAAGCTGAAGCAATGCTCGTAGCTGCTGTGCTGGGCTCGCCAGTGACCAAGCCTGCTGGTCTGCTGTGACCGACCAGATTTACAGTATCCAAACTTTGCTTTTGAAAGAAATAACACACACACATAAATATATATATACACATACATTTTTTGGTTTATTTATTTCTATTATGAGATAAGGTATCGGCTTAGGGGTGTCGCAGTGACACAAGGGACCCCCGACGCTCATTTACCTTAGCGGCGCGCCATAGCTGCCGCGGGCTTGCATTAGCTGCCGTTTGCTCGGCCTCTTGCTTCGCCTAGTGCTCTGCCTGATTGACCAACAGGCATCACCTTCTTGCTTGGTCCCGTGTCCTTTGTGATCAAGGTCGGGCTCCTTGCACCTTTTTCCTTGTGGTTGTCTTCACGCTCGGGCTGCATTGAGGTTGACTTGTCCCTCATTGACGTGACCGTGGCCCTGAACTTCAACACTGGATTTCTGCCGTATTTTTTCTGGGTTCTGCAGTGTCCCGAACACTGGATATTTACAGGGATTTTTGAACTTTGGCCACACTGACTGCGGTATTGTGTATGATCCATTTCATTTTCTTCCTGGCCCTGTTTCTATACGCGATCTACTTTGACATTTGTCACGACGAAGGACACCATTCGTCGCAACCTTCGCCGTTCTCGTGCCAAGGCGCGATTGGATTGGTATCTCTTTCAGAAAGGCTTCAAGTTGCTCACAACTGGACGACTTCAAGCCATTCATCAGGTTCTCTCAGCACATCATTCTCGCGACCCTGCGCTGCTGTCTCGCATCCATTTGGCTACAATGGCGAAGATGGAGAAGGAGTCTTGGCGTTGTGGATGGTGCTGGAGACTATGCAAACAAAGTCATCAGCGCTGCCCAGACTGTGGAGGTGTTTGGGAAGACAGAGATACCTCCTATGTCCATCAGGCACGTGGATCGAGCCAGCGGCATCGGACACAACAGTGGGACTATGCTGGTGGAGCAGCTTGGAGTCAATGGGACGATCAACGGTCCTATCAGCAACCTCAGCACCCCAAGTCCCCAAGGAGAAGTCAGAGCAGAAGCCGCAAGGGCAAGGGCAAAGGAAAGAACAAAACCAAGGCGTCGTCCTACATGGCGGAGTCACAGTTTGGACCATCAGCCCTTGGGATTCAACTTCCTGCACCTCCCTGGCAGCCCGCTCCGACCACAGCGACTACTACGTCCAGCTCAATGATGCCAGCAGCTCCCAGTGCAGGTGGCGATGCCCAGCTCCGTGGCTTTCTGAACGAGATGAAGCAGATCCCAGATATGCCAGCAGATGCGCACACCATCATCCAAAAGTATGCCAGGAAGCAACGATCTTCCACCACCAAGAGCATGCACCAATCCGTGACAGATCTGAGCGAGGCTCGAGAGGCCCTGGACCAAGCCCGACTGGCCCGACATCAACTGCACGGATCTTGGCGCACTTTCTTGGGAGAGGCTCTGGAAACATGGCAGGCCTATACCGAAGGCTTCAAGCAGCAAGAGACTGCGTTATTGGCACGTATCGAGGACGCCAAGCAGAACCTCAATGCAGCCAAGGAAGTCTTCGAAGAGTGCCGAACTACGTTGATCGACCTGTCCAAGAACGACCAGCAGTTGATCGAGAGTGCAGAAGCGGCCATGGCGACCGAGCAGGGCGACGATCCTGCTGTTGCCCGGCTTCAGATGGACCTCGACTCCATGCATGGCCATCTCAAGACCTTGAAGGGCAATGCCGATGCGATGGCAGTGGATGCTACATCCGCCAAACGGCCACGCCTGTCCGAGCCAGGGGACATGTCCAACGACAACGAAGATGGAGAGCCATCCAAGCCTGGGCCATTGGAGCCTTTTGGCACGGCCCGCAAGTGACGTCCGCATCGCAGAGTCCTTGCGCAGGCCTTGTGGCCCCGGAGGTGAGTCATGCGGCCACTTTGGCCTGGACGCATTATCCTGCATGACCCTTCGTTCACTACAGTATGGCAAGCTTCATTTCGTGCTCTTTGCCTGTCTTTTGACCTTGGCACCTTGCAGCCCAGAAGCCATCATGACGTTGAGCGCTCAACTTCACGCCCTGCTTTGGGGAGCAGTCGACAGGTGAAGTTCAATCCAAATGTTTCTGTAGCGCTTGGCCTTGATGATGACTGGACTCTGCGCAGTTTTGAAATTCAAGAGTCATCACTCTCCACATGGACGGACAAACCATGGAGTGGAAGGCGATTCAAGAAGCCTCTCACTCACCGGAATGCTGATGAACGTATTTTTCCATTGCAACATCTTCCTCAAGAAGGACAAACTGGTGCCCCTCCTCAAGATCCTCCTGTTGGGCCCTTTTTGCATGAAGCTCCCCAATCAATCCAAGACCTGTTTCAAGTCTTCCTAGAGGAGGATCTCATTGAAGGCGAAGAACTCAATGAGCCTGTCCCCATTCGAAGTTGGTATGTTCATCATCGCAGAGTACCTGAGTGTATTGTACCTCGATTTCATGAACTACAAGGTCATTGGCGTTTTTGGGCTGCAGATATCCTTTCGCAATGGGATGATCAAATCTCTCGTGATGACGATGTTGCTCTTGCGCTTGTCTTCCCCAATCCACCTCGTGATCAAGCAGTGATGTTTGACTTGTTGGTGATTCAAGGGCTTGATCTTCCTCGACGTGCTTGTCTTGCAACTGTCATTCGCTTGAACGACCCTCAACAGCGAGCTGAGCGATCCCTTGCAATATCCTTGCCTCACCTGGTCAGTGCAAAATACATTGCTGCTCGGGCACATCTTGTACAAGATTGTCATGTGCATGATTGTACTGTACGGCATGGAAGAACATACTTGACATGGAATGATGTGCCTGCACACGATGCTCGTGATGGTCAGAGCTTTATCATTCGAAGGCTACCTGATGACCCTGGCCTTGGTGCTTCGACACATCCAGCTGCCTCATCCTCTGGACCTGTCGCGTCACGACCGGCTGACGGTGGTTCTCCTGATGAAAGTCTTCACGCAGATGTCAATCGGGATTTGGATTTGGACTATGATTCCAATGTTTCCATGGCATCTACACCAAACCGACAATCTGTTTTTGTGTATCGACTTGCGGCACCAACGACGTTTGGACATGCAGACTGGTCTTCGCACAACTCAATGATTGCCTCCCTTGCACGTATTGCAGAAGTACCTCTTGACCAAGTTGTCACTGCGCATCATTTACAATGCCAACTACCTGACCAACCGCCGCATGTTGCTGCTGTGATCCTTCAACACGTACAAGACATTCAGCCGGCCTCAACTGAATGCCTTATAGTGATTGATCTAGAACTTCATGCGCATCCTCGTATTGGTGCTCCTCCTGTGCCTCCACACAGCACGAGACAGGTTCATCGTGTGTACCCTCTCCTGCGACGAGCCAACATTCTCCAATTGGCGCGCGTTGATGCCTATTGTGAGTGGGTCCACAACAGCTGTCTGGTGTTTCACAACGACCGGGGGTGGCCTATTTTGGAGCTTGCACCTCGTTTCATCCAGCATGGAGCACATTTCAAAGTGATGGTACCACCCCCACCTGATGGTCATGGTGACACTGCCCATGCTGTTCGGGTGGCGCGTGAAGCTGCTGACCTCTTTGACTTTCCGATGGCCAGTCAAGTCATTCCGGGCTTGTTGCTTGCTGACAATCATGCCTCTGCACAAGCGCCAGCTGCTGCACCTGCAGATGATGTTCATGTACGAACCTGCAGAAATGGTGAAGATCAGGAGTTTGACGATTTTCCTGTGTCAGAAGCATCACAACGACCTGCTGCTCCTCTTCGACCTGACGTTGATTGGAGCAATGAATGGATGTCTCAGCTTGCACATGTTTTTCGTCTGCATGGTATGGAAGAGGTTCTTGATGGCCCCGCTTACCTCTACCTGCAAACGTGGTACATTCATCATGATCGACATTTGTGGTGCCGCCATCCTCGACCTGTACGCCTTACCAATGAGGCAATTGGATGGTCCTTTGATCTGCGGCAAACCTTGATTGATCTTCTTGACCCTCACATTGCCGTGACAATCCGAATGGTTCAACCCACGCCGCCACAATCACCACTTCAATCGTACTCTGCTCACCTGATTCTTGAACAAGCTCGACCACCTGGGCGCAGTGCTGTTGTTGTCTCGGCTCTATTCGAGTCTCTACAAGGCAATGCTTTGATGCAGTTTGCCAAGTCAATGCCCCGACATGTCACTGCGAACGACGTCATTCAAGAAAGTGAGCTTGTGCCTCATTGCAGTGTTCGACCTTGTTCTGTTTGGGTTGGTCCTCGTCAAGTGAATGTCGCAGTTGCGACTGCTGTTGATTCTGGCACTGGGCTGCGAATTCATCTTCGACCCCTGCCATATGAACCATCTCAACTGGCACAACCACCGTATCAAGCTGATGGGATGCACGCTGAACCATCTCTACTGACGACTCCTTTGATGCGTGCTGATGGGACCCACTTCATTGAGGATGAGCCTCCTGACAACACCATTGATTTCCTTCAACGTCGTGTTCTGGCACTTCAACGCAATTTACGGACTGTTCTAGCGGTGTCCTCCGGTGCGGCTATCCAACCTGGTGTTGTTGAGGGCCCCGTTGATGGACCTGCTGTGAAACATCCTTTACAATTGGAGTCGCTCATTCCTCACCATTCTACTGTGATCAAGGCTCCATGCCACAAAGTTGCCTTTTTTGCCAACCACCTCTTGACCATTGACATTGGTGCGATTCAACCTTTTGCAAGTGTTGTCAAGTGGCATGATCCGACTTTGGTGGCGCGTGCTTCTTGCCCGGATTGGAACTATGAAGCGCCCCTTCGAATCTGGTTCTATACTGACGGAGCTTCAAGCCTGAAAATTGATTCTCAACAACGCTGCGCTTCAGCCTCTGCAGTGCTCATCATTGAGACAGCTGTTGGCTTGAAGTTTGGTGGCTTTCGGACTTGCACAGTCCCAGCACCTGCCACTGCACCTTTTGCCGAACATGTTGCGTTACAGTTGGCTTCTCTTTGGTGTATTCAACTTCATGAGTGGTGCAGGTGGGCATTTGGGCTGAATGGCATTCAAACTACGTTTGTTTTTGACTGCCTTGCTGCGGGCCACGCCGCTCATGGCTCATGGTGTTGCACTCAACATGCTGCCTTGCATCACCGAACCCGAGCGCTGCAACATTGGATTGAGAGCCGCTACTCCTGTACTCCTGCGTTCATCCATGTTCATAGTCATCGCGGCGACCCTTGGAATGAAGCAGCTGATGCGATCTGTTGGGCCACGCTTCATGATTGGATTCCTGGAGTTTCTTTTGATGAGCTTTGTCATCAACAGCTTGTCCCATTTGATGATGTGGTTCCATGGCTTTGGTATTGGCAGCGCTCTCTTCAAGGTGCCGTTGGGTATCCTGATGTCTGTGATGGATTTTTCAACTTCTCATTTCAACATGTTGATGCACCTTTTCTTGACTCCTCCACGCATTCATTTTGTCAAGTCCAGCAAGATGATTCTGCCGCATCACAACAAACTGCAACACTGACACTGCGTGCTGCTACGGCGAATGTGCTCACGTTGTATTCGAACCAAGCTGCCCATGGACATTACATTTCTGCACGGCATGAAGCTTTGATGCATGAATTTCATCGTCATGGTGCACACTTAGTTGGAGTTCAAGAAACACGATCAAGGCTAACTGGCCACCACGCTGCAGAACACTATCATGTCATTGCAGTTCCTGCGCTTGCCAATGGTCATGGAGGTTTACAGCTTTGGATTGCAAAAGTCATTGAAGTTGGCTCAACGCAGCTCCTTGTTCGTGATTCTCATCTTCATGTCCTCCAACAATCAGTGCGTCATCTGATTGTGCGGATTTCTGTGGATGGTCTCAAACTTGTTGCTATTGTTGGACATGTTCCATGCATGCCTGATGTCTCTGCTGCAGCTGCATGGTGGAAACAGATTTTGCAAGGGCTTCCGCCAGCTTACCAGCACTGGCCACGGATCATGATGGTCGATGCCAATGCTCGTGTTGGCTCGCTGACGTCAGCAGCAATTGGACCGCACCAAGCGAGCACTGAAAATGAGCACGGTGAGATGATGCATCAGTGGATGATTGACAATGGGATGTTTGCACCACAGACGTTCGATTGCCATCACATCGGCTCTGCCTCGACATTTGCTCATGCCAAAGGTCCTGAAGGACGCATTGACTTCGTTCTGGTTGATGAAGCGCTGCGCCATCCTTCTATTCAATCCTTTGTCACTGACATAGATCTGGCTACACAGAGACCTGATCATTTTGCAGTTGCTGTCGACATCCCTATTACTATGTGGCATCGCTCTCGGCGTATTCGTCGACAACCAGATGTGGCGGCTGTAAATACTGCTGGTGCTCCTCCACAGCAAATCCCATGGAATCTTGACGTGCACTCCCATGCTGCTCTTTTGCACCAATGGCTGCGTGGGTGGCAACCAAAACGACCACATCTTCCACGAAAAAAGCACTTGACACCTGACACCTGGAATCTTGTGCAGACAAAGGCATTTCATTGGAAACGATCACGACAAATCCGTGCCACTTTACACACCGCCACCTTGCGTGCGATTTTTGATGCCTGGCGTACTTGTGACGTTCCTCTGGGTGACCATGATGCTTCGTCTCAATGGCAGACCAGCCAGATGGATCTTGCTTGGCATCTTGATCAACATCGACGTATGGGTGTCATTGTTACTGATGCTGTCCGTCGTGATGACATTGCCTTCTTTGAATCCTTTGCTCAACGGCACAATGATGAAGCATTGCCAACCTTGTGGAAAACGCTCAAGCCTTTGCTCCCACGTGCTTGCTGCTGCGAGAAGACGCAACAACTTGAGGTGCATTGGCCCTGCAACCCACGACATTGTGCAACACTTTGACGCCCTTGAGGCAGGAGAACCTGCTCTATATCCTGATCTACTTCAACAATGTCACGAATCCCAACAACAAGCACTTGATGAAGCTCCTTTGGTTGTGGCTCTCACAGACTTGCCCAATCGAGTCGACCTTGAACAACTTTGCTGCCGTGGCAAACGAGGCCGAGCGCCTGGACTTGATCTGGTGACCACCGAAACTCTTCGTGCGTGTTTGTTGCCTGCCTCTGACACCTTCCATGTTCTGGTTATGAAGGCCTTCCTACAAGGATCCGAGCCTCTTCGATGGAAAGGCGGAAGGATGCATGTCATCCCGAAGAAGACCAACGTGATGCGAGCAGATGCAATGAGGGGCATCATGGTCCTCACATCCTGTGGTAAACTTTATCACGCGCTTCTCCGACGCATGTTGCTTGCTTGGACTACTTCGCTGAGGTTGCCGGCACAGAAGGGAGGCTTTTGTGGCCAGCAAACTAGTTTCGCAACCCATCTATTGCGTACCTACTGCAACCTGATCACCCAGGCCAAGATGTCCTATGGAGTTCTCTTCTTTGATGTCCGAGCAGCATTTCACAGCATGCTTCGTGAACATGCCTTTGGAGGAACTGGACTCCCCACCCGGCTTTGCAGTGTGCTTGATGCTGCTGGCCTCAATGTTCAACAACTTTGCCAGGACATCCAAGTCCATTGCCAGCGCTTTGAAGAACATCCGAATCCATGCCTTCAACGAGCAGTTCGTGATGCACATTGCTTCACCTGGTACATGGTTCAGGGAGACCCTGAATGTCATCCGACCCATCGAGGATCGCGCCCTGGCAGCCCTTTGGCAGACATTGCTTACAACATCACTATGCTGAATGTGCTTCGGGATATTCTTCCGTTGCTCCATGAGCAGGTCTCGCTCTGCGCTGCCACGGCACAATTGCCCATTTTCTCGCCCTTGGTGACATGGGTAGATGACTTGGCAATTCCTGTCCCTGCCATCCGTGCACAAGATTTGGATGCCCAGATCGTTGCTGTGTTGACATGCGTCAAACAAGTGATGGCTTCATATGGGTTGCAATTGAACATGCAGGCTGGCAAAACGGAGCTGGTGTGCCAATATCATGGAGCAGATGCAATCGCATGTCGACACAAACGGTTCATTGAACACGCTGGCCGGCTTGAACTTCCTGATGGCAGTCTTCTTCATGTTGTTGGTCAGTATCAGCATTTAGGCACTGCCTTCAGCCAATCGCTTTCTCTCAAAGCTGAACTTGATGGTCGCATTGGCAAAGCTGCAGCGGCATTTCGGCAACTTTCTCGTGCTGTATTCAACAACAGGCGATTGACTTCCAAGGTCAGGTTGCAGCTTCTTGAGTCCTTGGTTCTTTCAATCGTGTTCTACGGCTCTGGAACTTGGCCCTTGCTGAATCATCGCCAGTATACGACGTTGGCGCATGTCATTGTGAAGTGGCAGAGGCAGATCACCTTGGATGGATTTTGGAAGGATAATCCTACTCCTGATGCTGACCTTCAGGCCAAATGGCAACTTCCTGTGCTTTCAGCACGGCTTGCAAAACACAGGCTTTTGTATGCCTTTCAGATGGCTGCCAATGCTCCCCAAGATCTTGTGACCTGCCTTACTGCTGAAGATGCACTCCCCAGTGGTTCTCCTTGGTGTGTTGCTCTTCGCCATGCTATTTCTTGGATGCGATTGCATGATCCTGATGGTATTGCTACGGCAGATGTGAGTTCACCAGAGTCTCTTCTCCAATGGCTTCACGATCACCGCGCTGATGGACCACCCTTAGTGCGACGTCTTGCTCAACATGCTCTTCAGCAAGACTTTGTGATGTTTGAGTTCAAACAGAAGACTCGGCAGATTGTGGAGGCTTGTCGTTCTCATGGAGTTCAGCTTGACCAGACACCAGAGGTTCCACTCACTGCGCATCATGTGGATTTTTCATGTCATGTGTGCGGGCAAGGATTTTATTCTGTGCAAGGGCTGCAAGCCCATCTCTGGCGCAAACATCATCTCTTTTCTGAAGAACGCAAATATGTCTACGACACCACGTGTCGTGCGTGCAATCGCTGCTTCTGGACTACCCAACGCTTGCAACAGCACCTTCGGTGGAGTCGACGGCATTCAGATGGATGTTTTGCCGTGTTGAAGCGCTATTTTCAGCCTTTATCTGCACCTGAAGCTTCTGAGCCCCGGCTTTCATCAAAGGCATTTCGAGACTGCCCGCTTGCACTGTTGAGGGGCCCATGCCTGATGTCATGGACACTGTTTGGAGTCAGCAGCAAGCTGAGTGCCGGAGGGCCCTCACCGCCGAATGGACTCGTTTGGGCTTCCCAGATGCTTTGGATGCGAATGTCAAGGAACAGGTGTTTGCACAATGCTCCTCCACTACGTTGCACTGGATCCGTGACACTCATTTAGATGAGATTTCCATCGACCACCTCATGCATGTTTGGTTAGCAACTTTGACGGAGTCCGAGAACTCTGACTCTTCTGATTTGCTGATGAATGCAGTGACTTGGGCATTTCTCATTTGGGGTCAAACCATTCTCCCGGACATCATTGAGCAGACGGAAGACCCAGATTACCAGATTTGCATGGATCAAGCGTTTCATGAGGTCTCGAAGCTCTTTGATATGTCTGATCTGTTGGCCAAGTTTGACAAGCTGGATCGTGCTCGGGAGCCCATTGACATTGTGCCCATTGCACCAGTCACCGTGGCTGACTCTCGAAGTTCAGCTGTTTTGGAGCCCTTCTCTGTGACCTACTTTGAGCAGCCGGCGCTCTTAAAACAGCTCGTACCACCGGTGATTGACTGGCCTGGTGCACAAGCAGTTCCTGTTGTCATTGGCCTTGCCGAGAAGCCGACCTTATTTGTCCTCCACATGTTCTCTGGACGTCGACGCCCATTTGACTGTCACTACTGGATTGAGACCCTTGCTCCCCAGTTGTTGCCTGAGTTCAATGTGATTTCGTTATCCATGGACACAGCCATTGATGCACAGTTGGGAAACATGATGACTGGCCCCAGTTTTAGTCATGCCACAACTCTTGCCCACGCTCGAGTATTTGGTCTTGGACTAACTGGACCACCTTGTGAGACATGGTCTGCAGCTAGGCATTTGCAGTGTGATGCTTTGGGTGCTCATGGTCCTCGACCTCTTCGTTCGTGCTTGGACGCTTGGGGACTTGCCGGGCTCAGCGTACGGGAGTTGTTGCAACTTTGTGCTGGCTCGCACTTGATGTTGCACAGCCTGCTGCTGGAAATCCTCATCAGTTTGAGCGGAGGTGGCAGCATCATGGAGCATCCTGCGCTCCCTGATGACGAAAGCTTTGCTTCGATATGGCGAACCGTGCACCATCGTTGCATTGTCATGCGCGCCTACCTGGCCCAGATGATCTACATTGAGCAGTGGAGGTTTGGAGCCCAGTCGGTCAAGCCGACTATCTTACGCGGATTGGGACTGCCAAAGCTGGCTCGGCACATTCATTCTTGCCGTGTTCCTGGCTTACCAAGACCCACCAAAGTCCTTTCCGGATTTGACAGAACAGCCAAACAATTTCGTACCTCAGCTGCGAAGGAATACCCACCGCAGCTTTGCGAGGCATTAATTCGATCCGCCTTTTTGAGCCTGAAGATGCGAGTTCAGCGCTCTGGCGTGCATCATGTTCCTTGGGACAACTTAGATGCTGGTGCCCGTGAGTGGGTCCAGGCACTAGCAACTTGTAGTTGCACCTCATTTGCGGCGTCGTATTTGCCCGATTACCAGCCAGCTCTGTAAAGTGTACAATTGGCTGGTCTGCGATCGATGTTGCATCTCATTTGCATGTCCGCACAGTCGTTGACTTCTGCGATGTGAATGAAAAAAACTATTATGAGATTAGTAGTGAGATTAGACTATTGAACCATTTTTTGTTTCAAATGGTTTCAATCAACAAGGATGGGATAAAACGTAACGGGGCCACCACCCCGGTGACACGGCACCTACCAACCGACAGCTTACGCCATGGCACTGGTGCACCACCAGAAACGCCACTGAGGGCCAGAATGAGAGGCCAAGCCCAGCGCAGGCCGAAACAGCCAGTGCTGTGACCGCCAGGGGCGGAAGCAGCAGATTTCCCAAACTCTGAGCAGACGCTAACCTGTGAAGCCATGGAATTTGCTCATTAGAACTTCATAAGCAAAACTATTGAACATTACTTCTACACGACTAACCAACCGACCTGAAGCCCGTTTTGCAACTCACATCAACTTGCTTTGGCCACGGAATGACAACGTCAACATGACCATCTGACACGGTGACAAATCATGACAAATGTGGCCTGGACCCACCAAGAAACACCCATAGCATAGAGTTGGCCGCGTCACCAGCATGGATCATGGCCTCCTCTTGATATGCGCAAGCCAAGATAGGCCCCAGGAGCGTAGCGAAGACAACCTGCTTGTTGCAGCTATGGGTCATGAATGTCCCCCCAAATGCCCCCGAAACCCGTGTCATGATTATCACCCATATCAATATTTGATAAACATAGGCATGACTGAGCTTAGCACAGGCCAATACTGCCCTCCCATGTTTTGAAGAGACTACCTGGAGTAACATCCCACTGTTGACCGTGGAAAAAACAACTGATCGCAAGATGTCACAAGTCCCTGGTTCATGTGCTATTCCATTTATATCTGGATATTAAAGTGCATATCATAACATATTAAACATATAACATATAATATATATATATATAACTTATAACATATAACATATAGCATATCACATATAACATATAACATATCATACCATATTGTAACATATTAAAACATATTACACCATATTATGATTAACATATTACATCATATTAAACCATATGATGAAACATATGATATAACATCTGATATATCATATGTTATAACATATGATATAAAATATTATAACATATTATAACATATTATAACATATTAAACCATATTATAACATATTATAAACATAGTGAGACATGTCATAAGATGTTGTATATCATATCAATACACTATAAACAATTATAACATATTATAACACGTTAAAACATATTCTAACATGTTATAACACATTATAAATAACAAACTATAACACACTACAACATATTATAACCATTAACCTATTATAACATAACATATTATATGCAACGTATTCTAACACATCGGAACAAATTATAATAAATCATAACGTATTGCAAAATATTGTAACACACATTATATCTGGGTGAATTATAATACTTCACTAACCTGAATCAAGGCCATATTGAGATGATTCCCCTTACTAACCATCATTCCCAGTGAGGTCGCATTGAGGTCGTTATAATTTACCCACATATTACACTATACACTCTGATTGTTTAGCATAGCCATGGAAAATAACCCATATATATATAATTATATAGATGATAAACATGATGATTTACCTATTAAAATGATGATTTCCCATAGCTACGTGAAATAACCAGATGGTCACCGCCAAGCGTCTCCACCTCCTCGCTCCGCCTTCCTGCCTTTTCTCAGCGCCGCCGCCAGCGCCGCCAGCGCCAGCGGTGCCAGGGCCGCGGCGCGGTGGCCCAAGGCCAGGAGCAGAGGGAGCACCAGGAGATCTTCCATCAAGATGGCCATGGTGGATGGTTACCCGGGAACTAACATCATCTAAGATGGCCATAGATGTGGAAATGAACAGCACCTATGAAAATAGATGCGTATTACTACAAGAATGGTGATTCTCCACATCTATGTTGGTTTACAGGAGGGTATCATTCTCATTCGCATTGTTTTCATCTGTTTCTGACATGACCAATCTTTCAGACAAACATAGAAAAACAACCTGCAAGAAATCATAATAAGCTGGCAGGCATAATGATTACAGGAGGGTTATCATATGTCATATGTTATCATGCTGTTCAGCAAGGATGCGCTCTGGCGGTTGAGCTCTGTCGGTCAGTTTGGACAAATCATCAAGAAGAGGATGGAAAATAACAAACACAACAAACATCTGCCACCACCAAGCAGCATTGTCACTGCATGTCAACTCCATGTTCTGGATGTGGTTCTGGAAATCTGGTAACTTGATGCAAATTGCTTCTCCAAACTGACGCTAACTAATTCGAAGACAGTTTCACTGCAAGCCATCATTGAAACCCTTTGAGATTGCTATAACTTGGCCGACTTGGCCGAAGGTGTGGATTCAAGCTACCATTGCGTGCTGCTTTGGGCGAGCAAGGGTTGCACCACACGGCGACGGTACTTTCTGTGCGGATATGTCTTGGAATGGCGCTTTTAGGGCTTGCGCACGGTTACACACCCATTCTACCTCATCTTCGTTAATTAAAACCAAAATCTTGTGCTCAAAACTCTATTTTTGTCGGTATAGATACAGTAAGTTCAAACACGTTAAAATTCTACTGTATTCTTCGGTTGACATCACACGATTCGCTGGTCACAGGCTAATGTGGTAAACTCAATCATAAACCATACCCAATAAATTCCCAGAAATGTGATTGAAACCAATCCCACACTTGGAGGTCTGTGGCACGTGGTCTACCACATTACTGTGAGTATCTCGATATTATTGGTTGTAACACATTGACGAAATCCACATGATTGGCTTTACCACAGGTCCTGAAAGACACCGTATTCCAAAGTTGCTAAATTTGAATGCCAACCATTCAGCAATCTCAACATCAAATGAAATGTTCATGTCAAGCTCCAACTGATATAATTCATCATTAATTCACAAACCAAATCATAGGGTGAATATGGGTGAATATCATTGATATCACCCCCCAGTTCTTTGGTGTTTCACCATGAGTCACGTAACCGCTCAAAACCACTACCAAGGAACCACCTTCACCACAGTGGGTTCGCGGCGGTTGAAGATCAAGCGAACAGGCCTCGATAAGGTGGTACCCTCTGGTAACACTTTGCTGTTGAAAATGGTTCATGAATCCGTGAAATAGATAAACATATGAAAACATATAAAAACTAGCAACATGGTGATGTTCCCAAAGATGTTAGCTATGTTAAATTAGCAGGTAGTAAATGAGCTCATAAAGCATCATGGGGATGATGTCATCGACCAGAAGTTCAGCCGCAAAATTGCGGAATGTCATCCATGTCATTATCATTTCTTAATTAAATAATAAAAAATCATATACCATATATCTAAAAAAATATAACTAGATGTATTATATATGATAATGGTTTATCATTATCATCCATGTCTATTTATATATAGTTCTGTCTATTCAACTTATTTATATAGATCTAGACCACGAGAACTGGGCGAGTTGGAAACCATGAAAACGGGGAGTTGGAACTCAAAACTAGAAACATCGTCAACAAATTCTGCTGTTCGGGTTCGTTTCTATGACTCTTGGATATGTTTTGTATGAAGATCACAATGAAATGAACCCAGAAATCTGGTATCATCAAACCTTATGGTTGAAACATTGGAGCTGATCATGCCATACAACCCTGGACCTGTGTGTTTTCATCCCCAACAATAAGAAGTCAAGGAGTTTCTTCAAGAAGCACAGCCAACCTCAGATGTCTCATGAGAACATCAACCTTTAGAAGGAACTGCCAAACACATACTTAGCAGTGATGATATACATAACCACTAGATAGATAGATAGATAGATAGATAGATAAAAAAATATAGATAGATTAGAATAGATTAGAATAGATTAGAGTAGATTAGATTAGATTAGGTTAGATCGATAGATAGACAGATAGATAGAGAGATAGAGAGATAGAGAGATAGATAGAAAGATAGAAAGATAGAAATATAGAAAGATAGAAAGATAGAAAGATAGAAAGATAGAAAGATAGAAATATAGATAGATAGATAGACAGATAGATAGATAGATAGATAGATAGATAGATAACTATATAGATAGATAGATAGATAGATAGATAGATGGATAGGTAGATAGATAGATAGACAAATAGATAAATATATAGATAGATAGATGGCTTAAAATAGATTAGATTAGATTAGGTTAGATTAGATTAGGTTAGATCGATAAATAGACAGATAGATGGATAGACAAACAGATAGATAGATATATAGATAGACAAATAGATAGATTGAAAGATGGATCGATTGATAAATGGATAGATGGGTAGATGGAAAATGGATAGATGGACAAATGGACAGATGGATAGATGGATGAATGGATAGATGGATAGATGGACAAACGGATAGATGGATAGATCGATAGATGGATAGATGGAACAATGGATAGATGGATAGGTGGAACCATGGATAGGTGGAGATGGACAGATGGACAAATGGATAGATGGACAAATGGATAGATGGATAAATGGATAGATAGACAAATGGATAGATGGATAGATGGACAGATGGACAGCTGGAAAGATGGACAGATGGACAAATGGATAGATGGATGAATGGATAGATGGATAGATGGGTGAATGGATAGATGGATAGATGGACAAACGGATAGATGGATAGATCGATAGATGGACAGATGGACAGATGGATAGATGGATAGATACAGTAGATATGATATGTATAACTAGATAAGCGGTTTACCCAAAAATCTCCCAGCAGCGACTGGGCACCCAAGCCCTGCCAGCTTTGGGATTGGAGGTGCCAGGCCCTGTGGCTCCGATGGATTGGACCAACTGGACCAGCCTGGTGTGGCAGCGGCAGCCTGGGGGTGGCAGGGGGATTGGGTTTGAGTACATTCATATTATTATTGTATATATATATATGTATATATGTTAATATATGAATGTGCTATGGCTGCTATATCTAATGTCCGAACATGTACTCAATATATCCATACATTCAATTGGATATATCCAATATTGAATTATTGCATTATTGTAATATGTGAATGTGCTATGTATTAATATACATGTATATATATATATTAAAATTATATGGACATGAATGCATATATAAGTGATATGGGTATATACAATAGAACTAATACATAGGATATTATAGGAGATACTTCAAATTTTCCAGGCGGAAATGGGGATGGCCCCCTGGGAACACCGGACGCATGCCATCAGACACGCGCACACGCCATTCCAAGGCATGGCTCGGTCCTTGGTGGGCTGGACATCCGATGACACTTGACAGGTTGTCTTGCCAAGATAAGTATCATTTCACGTTAAATGTTTCAGTTGTACAATTGACACTTCACAAAAAATAGAGTTGTAAAAATGTCAGGCATATTATTGTGAACTGACAAGTATTAGTCAATTGGGCTCATCATACAAGTACCAGCCACAAGATGGTCTCTCACAGTTCAAATGATTTGTATCAAATATGATATCTAATTAAACAAACTATGTATATATATATATACAGTATATATAATAAAACTAGGG